GTCCTTTGATCTCCCCATACATTCGCTGGAGTGCATGCCTGTGTGCTGGCACACAAGCTCGTGCACACACACACTAAACAAACAAATGTAATAAAAAGCTTAATAGAGACTATCCAGAGCTTTACAAAGCTTTGCATTTATCTGGGAAGTGACGACAAGCACCTTCAGAGTTCACTAGTTAGTGCAGGACTTACTGGGTGATTTAAAGAAGGGGGTATGGATTTCTTTCATGAAATTTCTAATCCTTGATACCTTTAAAAATTTAAATAACACATAACTGCAACAGTGTGTAAAGCAGCCTAAAAGTGTGGGGAGGAGCTGAGAGGTGGTTCAGCAGTTAAGGGTACTGACTGCTCTTGCAGAGGACCAGGTTTGGTTCCTAGCACCCATGTGGCAGCTCACAATGTTCTGTAACTCTAGTTCTAGGGAGTCTGATGCCTGTTGCTGGCTTACATGGGCACCAGGTCTACGCATTGTGCACATACATACATATGTATAGATAAACATTCATACTTATTAAATATTAAATATTAATATTAAATATTAAAAACTAGTTTTTTAAAAAAAGAAATGAACACATTCAGGCTGAGATGTTATTGGGTAAATTGCCTGTTATGTAAACAGAAGGACCTGAGTTCAGATCCCAAGCAACTATGTAAAAAGCAGGGCATGAGAATGTGTGTCTGCAACCCTAGTGCGGAGTGGGAGCCAGTGCAGGAGAGGGGGTGCAGAGACAGGAAACTGCTGGAGCTTGCTGGACAGCCAATCCATCCAAATTAATGCACTCCAGGTTCAGTCAAAGAGCCTGCCTCAAAAAATAAGGTGGAGAGCAACAGAGGACAGCAATGTTGACCTCTAGCCTACACCACACACACACACACACACACACACACACACACACACACACACACACACCTATAGATATAATCCCCTTTAAAAAAAAAACCTTCTCCCATAAGAAAACCACACATGCAAACCTGTCCCTTCAAGGAAAAGGTAACAAGCTATGAGAATAACAACTTTCAAACAACCCATGCCAAGAATAGAATCATAGTGAACGTAAATGTCTGAACACAGATGTGTTGTGGTTTGGATCTTGTGTGTCACCTGAAGGCCCATATGTCAAAAGCAGAGTCCCTAGTTTGATACTATTGGTAGAAACTTTAATAGGTGGGGCCTGGTAGGAGGTCAGGCCTCACACCATTAGCACCTTTGAGAACTCTTTTTGGACCAAACCATGAAGTCTGCAGCATTCAAGTTCCCCACCACAGTGTACTACCTTACTATAGGCCTCAAAGCCATGGGCCAAGTGACCATGGGCTGAAATAAGCCTTTTTGTAGAGTTACCTCAAGTATTTGTCAGAGCAATAAAAAGCTGATAAACATAACACAGTTAATAATTACATTACACTGCCACAGGTATATGCCAAAAAACACTCAAAAAACACTCAAGACCAGAATTTGCATCTTTTCTTTTTACCTGTAAACACACACCAGCCCAAATACATCCAGAGCATTTGCATGGCAGATAAATGAGCTCAGACCTAGGAGCACAGCACCTGTGCCTACACAAGGTATGTCATATTTATCTGTAAGTTCAACAAGAGCTGGTTCCTGAAATAAACAGACTGAGAACCAGCATAGGAGCCTGATCTAATGGCTTTTGTTTTTCAAGGCATGTTTATACTGTAATTTTTGTTCTATTAATATATCAGAAATTTTTCATGTTAATTTTACCTCTTATCTCTTTTTGTTTGTTTGTCTGTTTGTTTGTTTGAGAACAGAGTTTCTCAGCATAGTCGTGGCTGTCCTGAAACTCACTCTGTAGATCAGGCCGGCCTCAAACTCAGAGATCAACCTGCCTCTGCCTCCCAAGTGCTGAGATTAAAGATGTGCACCACCACTGCCCAGCCTCAACTTGTATCTCTTTAAAAGGTCCATATTCATCTATATCTCTGGTGTCATTTGTTGGGATTTATTATTTGACTATATATGGACACTCTCAAATTCTTTTCTATATAGCATATACTAGGAAAGTGTATGGGGATGACTTGCTTACACAGTGGCCCTGATATGGATGAGGGGTCATGGCCTGCAAGCCAGAGCCTGTTTCAGAGTTCTAGGAAGCCAGGTCTGGGATGGAGTGATTTGTAGACAAAGAACTGCAACTTCTTGAAACATACACTCATCATTACCTGCTCTGTCCAGAGCTGGTGGCAATGGTCTCCCTAGAATAGGATGCTCTTGGTGAGAATCAGCAGGGTATATTTTAGGCCAAATATGTGGCACAAAGAAGGTTCTATGAAGAGAATTCCAAAAAATTTCTGCTGCTGCTATTTGCTTTCCTGCCTAATCCCCAGGCTGCAGTCTTTGTCTCATTCCCAGGATAGCTGGTTTCCCTGCCTTCTTAGGCATGGGAAATGAGGTAATGAAGCAACAGGAGTCTCCAGGGAGGTAACCATGGATCTTCTGTAACAAGCAAAGCATCAAGAAACACATTATGGATTCTGTAAAGGTGACCACTGACCTGTTAACTCCTGGCCTTGTGCCATTCAACGGGAATGGGCATCAATGCAGGGATAGGCCCACAGGCCATTCTCTCCACACATGGTATGGACCTTCAGCACTTCAGTCTGCTTAGAATATCACACAACGTACTGCTCTACCTGGTGAAACCCTACCGTTTCTTGGCCTACTTTGATGCCAGGCCCCCTGTAAGGCTGTCTCTGGTAAATAGGCGTTCTTTATTTTAGCTGCAAAGCAGACTCTTCTAGGGGTGTTTCTGACAGAAACTGATGTTGTGGCCTACCCATGAAGATTGTGGGCTCTGGTCTGACAGGGACATTTCTCTGTGCAATTCTAAAATGCACCCTTAGTTCAGATCTCCTGCCCCTAATTGAAACTACTCCTTTGGACACCCGTGGCACCTATTCTGGATGTGTCATGTGCTACTTACCTCATTCTTTAGTAAAAAAAATACAGCGTTTGTTTATTTATTTTGCTGTGGTGGGGAGCATGCTTACACCATGATGTCTATATGAAGGTCAAGGACACCCTGAAGGAGGTGGTTCTCTCCTAACACATGGGTTACCACATGGGTCAGGTGTGATTGCCAAACATCTTTACCACTGACCCATTCTGCCAGTCCTTATTCTGTTCCCCCCCCCCCAGTTTATTGTGAGTAAATTAGTGCCATTCTAAGACCTCTAAGATCAGGGACAATGTCCAGTGACTCAGAATCCTGCCTGGAGCCTTGCTCATTAGAAGAGTGATAGGCATACCTACGAGTTCTAGAATGTAGCTCCAGATAAACTCAATAGCAAAGAAGCCGCCTGCCAACTGCCAGAAACAGGGCTGGAGGAGAAACCATAAACTCCATAAAAGCCAAACTAAGCCTTCTCAGTTAAGACTATGTTTCCATGAGACTTGTACAGCACCTTAGAGGAAGGTGTTATCTGTTTGCAAGGGCTCAGTTCAAACCAATGTGGGTGAAGGAGATTCCCATGGCATCCATTTTTATCAACTTTTCCTCTTCCCACCCCCCCCCTCCCCGACTTCCCATGAGGCAAGCTTTCTAAAATGGTTTCAGTCTTTTCAATCTTAACAACGGCACCACAAAAACTTTCTGAACGAAATAAGGCTGCTTAAGAGACAAGGGTGGAACTCCTTAAACTTCGATTGGGCTTCCACACTGTTACTACAGAGCCTCCGTCGATCATTCTGGGAGCATTTCCCGAGTGCTCCCGACATCGAGTCCTATCCCTTCCCGGCCCGAAGGCACAGGGCAAACAGAAATACCCTCTAAGACAAGGCCCGGATGGGACACACACAGGGAAAGCAGGTTCTCTCAAGCATGCAGCACCAGGAACACCTGGTCTGGACCCAGGCTCAGAAGGCGACCAGGGGCTGGTTTAAGTTCGGAGCACCAACACCGTGACACCTGACCTGCAGGACCCACACTGGCAGTTCACCCCTTGCGTCTAGTCCTTCACACTGGGGTCTTCACCAACTTCAACCCCGACCAAAGCAGCCCCTTGAACCCTGAGCCCGAAGTTCGTGAAAATGAGAGGGTGGAGCTTGAAGGACTCTGATGCTGGCCGGGCGCGCCGGGTGCGCCAGGAGCACTCAGCCGGCCTGCTACCCGGCAGCCAGGAACGCGCCAGAGGGCGGCGGCTGTCTGTCCATCTCCTGGGCCCGCACAATGGACCCCATAACGACCCTGGCTGTCTGAACTGGTTCCTGAGCGCCCAGCAGTCCCGCTATAGCGGGACACACCCAGTCTCGAGGACGCCACCAAAGCAACACCTGCGGCAACACGCGCCAACAGTGCCGGCGCGAGGCAGGGACCCGGAGGCCCCAGGCTGGGGCGCTGCCCGCTGGCAGAGTGGAGACACGGGCAAGGACCGGGCAACCTCAGAACCCGGAGCTAACGCGCGAGTGGCGGGTCCTAGTGGCACTCACCGACCCTCAGCGCCAGGGTGGCGGCGGTCGGCGTAGCTCTCTCGCCAGGTTCCCTCCCTTAGATTCCCGGTTCCGCTCCAGCCTCGCAGGGGCGGCTGCAGCCGGCGCTGACAGCCCTGCGGGGAGGAAGCACCAGAGGCAGACGCCGGTGGAAGAACGCACCAGGAAGCTCCGGATCCTACAGGGGGCGCGTCGGATCGCGCGTGCGCAGTGGGCCAACCCTGCAGGTGCCGGGTCTTTGCTCCCGGCCCCTTAGCCTCGCCTAAGCTTTGGGTTCAGCGTCTGCGCAGTGCCTCGCACATGTTGCCCACCTCCGACAGAGGGCGCTCCACGTCGCGCGTACACTCCCTCCTAGTTCAACATTCCAGATCCTGCGTCTGCGCAGTACTCCACGCAGGTCGCACCTCCAGTAGGGACGCGCGTGCGGGTGGGGTGGGGTGGGGCTGTATTGCGCGTGCGTGATGGGTTGCCCCTGCGGGTTTTCACACGTCCACGACTGAGCATGCAGCGCGCCCTGGTCTGTGTCCAGCAGGGGGCGTTAGTCTAGGGGTTGTGCTCCCGAGACTGAGCGTGCGTCACGGGGGTATGGAGCCCCGGGGCGGTGGGCCTAAGGCTAATCTCTGGAGTTTCAAAGCAGTTAAAGCTGGAACATTAAGTATTTCACTTTCGCGGCGGTTTTAATATTTCAAGTTCCTCTTTCTCCTCAGGGCCCTCGCCCCACCTTACTCCTGTCACCAAGGGCAGGTGCTATTTTCTGCTCCTGCCTGAGCAGAGGAACCCAAGCCTAGTGAGGCTAGGTTGAAGACTATTCCAGAAGCAAGTAAAGCAGCAAGTAAAGCCAGTGTCATGACCCAGCCCAGCAGAACCTCTGGGAGAACAGAGTCTGAGTAGCGGGAGGTGGGGTGGTGCTGGGAGGAGGGTTTTAGTGTTCTGGGTCCCCTCAGACAGGAGACGATTGGGCCGTTGGGATCTCTTCAGGCAGTAGACTGAGGCGCGGAGGCACTCTCAGGGGACAGGGTTGGAGGTCGTGGTTCTTCAGACAGGGTGCGAGCGTCCGCGTGCCCTCAAGCAGTTCTGGTTGCCTCAGGCCAGAAAGAATGGCGGTGAAATCACGGGTTCCTGGACTCAGGTCTATGCAGCCGCGCGGCCGGCCCGTGAAAAAGTGGGTCACCGGGTGGAGCGTGGGCGATTGCATCGCGGGGCCAACAGTCGTCGCGGGCGGTCCAGCGGGTCCCTGAGTGCCCGCGGCCACTGGTTAGGTGCGGGCGGTGAGTGAGGCACAGCTTTCCCTGGCTTCCGGGCTGCGAGTGCGGACCACGGCAGGTGCCCTAAGGTAACTCTAAGGTAATCGTGACTTCCAAGACAAAAGATGACAGTTTTACTGTGGTCATAACCTCTTGCTGTCTGGGGTCCAATATGGTTAATCCAGAAGGTGGGCTCCTCGAGGAAAGAGCCCTTGCCTGGCACATGGTCCGTTTCCCTGGCCAAGTTTGCTGAATAAAGAAGCACAAAGATCTGGCTTCAGGTCTGGAATCCTTCACTAGAGTATTCAAACCATTTTACTTTTCCTATTCCTAAAACTGAAATGGTAACAATAGCAAATTCAAAGGTTGTTGTTCCCTCCCACTCACTGCTTTTTTAAAAGTGAAGTGAGAGAAACGCATGTTTAAGTGATAATTAAATGGTAGTAAGATGCATGCTGATGATGAGGGGGAGGGGCGCAATTAAAGCACGGTGGGGATTTGATTATTAATATACTGCAGACATCTCCAAAACACTTTCTCTCTATCATTCCTCCAAATAAAATGTCTTTCCCATTTTTTCCTTCATGCCAGAATATTGTGTGAGCCTGGCTAACTAAAACTTTAGCCTGCGTCTTCAAATGCTTTTCTTTCAAACCAGTGCTTGCCATTTCCAGCTTTAAATTGATTAAAGCTTGCAACCCTTTATTACTTTCCAAACCCAATCCTAGTTCTGCAGAACTAAATTTAGGAACAAAGCTGGATGACTTGGTACATTCCCAAATTTAAAATTCAACAGCTAGTATATAGCTATATATTCTTGTTAAAAAATTAAAACACCCTATTGATGTGGGTGTAGATAAACCAGTGAGAGGATGAGAGCTTGGGAGATGTATGTTGTCTCCCAAAGGGTAAGTAGTGATGTAGAGGTAATAGGACCTTCGAAAGGTAGGACCTATTGATAAGTCCTTAGGTTATTGGGAGACCCTTGGAAAAGAGTAACCTCAGTTAGTTCAGTCACGCTTTGACATCTGCCTCATGATGCAATTTTTCATATATGTGTGTTTCTTACCAATGTGGTACAATCTGCCCTGAGTTGGTGAAGCCACAAAAACCACTGTCAGAGCTTGGTACTATGTTGGACTTTCAACCTCTAAAGCTGTAAATCTCTTATTTCATAAGTACTTATTCTCATGTATTTCATTATAGTAAGAGAAAAACAATATAATGATTTGATGTGTGTGTGTGTTTTAATGTGGGGGGTAGCTGGTTATGGTGGCACAGTCTAGGTAATGCATCATATTTTTTAGTATTTTATTATTTATTTGTATTTGTGTGTCTGTTTCTCTCCTGCCTCCCCACCACTGTGTGTGTGTGTGTGTGTGTGTGTGTGTGTGCCCCTATAGAAGCCAGAAGAACCCATCAGAACACATTCTGAAGCTGGAATTACAGGCAGTTGTCAGTGGCCCCATATGGATGCTAGGAACTGAACTTGTGTCCTCTGGAAAGCAGGATGGACTCTTAAATGCTAAGCCAGATCTCTAGCCTGTGCGTCTTATTTTTTTTTTTTAAGGCTGAATTTAAAGTTCAATGTTTCAGCTAAACTACCTGGTCAGTGAGCCCCCAAGATCTGCCTGCCCCTGCTCAGCTATGCCTGCCATGCCTAACTTTTACATGGATGTTGGGGACTGAATTCAGGTCCTGCAAGCATTTTGTACAACAAATATTTTACCTACTGAGCCATTTTTTTTTTAGCCATCTCCCCAGTCCTGAAATAAAGAGTGTTTCTTTGTTTTAATAATGCTAAGAAGAAAAATAAGCATGAAAAGTAGATATAGATGTTTTAAGAGATTGAAATTTTATTTATATTGGTCAATGAAAACCTTATTGAGAAATTAACTTCTGAATAAATATCCAAAAGAAATTGTAGATTTCTCCATATAAAGACATGAAGGAATTGTGTACTTGGCAAAATAAATCCAAATGTTGGTGCAGTAATGTGTTTATTGTGTTTTGGACAATATCTAGGGCTGTGGTGTAGTAGCAAGAACAGAAAATTAGATGGGTGAAGGGTAAAATAACAGAAACTATATACTGTAGAACTTTGTAGGTCATTGTAAGGCAAGGCCTTTGCATGGAGAGAGATGAGAGCCATTAGAGTTTGTGGTGGAAGAGTAGAGGTGACCTGACTTGAACTTGGTTGCTTTTGTCATTGCACAGAAAATTAGTTACAAGATGACAAGACCAGATGCAGTGACTGCACTGCAGTAGCTGGGACCACTGCAAACTTCAGGCAAGGCGAGGGATGATAAGAATTAGGGTGGTGAAAGGTGCCAAATTCTGGGAATATATTTCAAAGGCTAGACCAAGGGGTTAGTGATAATCTGCATTTAGGCTTCAGAAGAGAAGGCAGTAACAACTCTCAACTTGAAGAATGGGACTGATATGAAGAAGAATGGGTGAAGAAGACCATAAGATGACTTGTTTTTGGTGGACCATGAATAGATCAAGTCAGTTTTGAGATAAAACAAAGTGGAGCAGGGATAGATATCATACAGTTGAATATCTGTGAAAAGAGCTTGAGGCAAAGTCCAGGCTAGAGAAATCAAAGTAGACATTGTCTGGAGGTATGTGGATCCTACATGGCTATCTGAGGTCACATGTTGGTATGAAAAGGAGTTCAGAGACTGAGCCCTGTAGCTCCTTAATGTTTATAGGCTGCTGAGAGGAGGAAGAATCAGCTAAAAAAGATGGAAAAGGATTAATAATAGAAAAGAAGAAAAGTAAACTTTTTTTTTTTTCGAGATAAGGTTTCTCTGTATTGCTTTGGAGCCTGTCCTGGAACTAGCTCTGTAAACCAGGCTGGTCTCAAACTCACAGATCCGCCTGCCTCTGCCTCCGGGTACTGGAACTAAAAGCATGTGCCACCAATGCCTGGCTTGAAGAAAAGTAATTTGACAGTGTTCTGAGAATCCTCAAGAACAAAGTTATTCAAGGATGAAAAGAATACTTCTATTTTTGTCCCCCTGCCCCAGGACAGGGTCTCACTATGTAGCCCTGGTTGTCCTGGAACTTACTTTGTAGGTCAGGCTGGCCTTGAACTCAGAGATCGGTTTGCCTCTGTCCCCCCCCCCCCCCCGAGTGCTGGAATCAAAGATGTGGACCACTACATGTGGCTAAAAGAATACTTCTTAACATTTTTGTGTTATACATAATATTTTCTCAATTTTTTTCCTGACTAGTGGTGAACATCTTCAACTGGGGGAAAATGACAGTGTTCAAGAAGTTAAAACTTCTTCTCTGGAAGAATTTCATCTTAAAGGTATGGGCATGCTTCTCTGTGGGGAGGACAGGTCCTGGGGAGCAGCTTCATGCTTAAGTTAAATAAGTTACAGTCATAGTGTCTCTCCCTGTGACTGTGATAAAACACCCTAACAATGGCAACCTAAGGGAGAGGGTTTGTTCTGACTTACAGCTTAAAGCCATAATTATCACAGTGGCGAAGTTGTGTCAGCTTGAGGCATGTGGTCAAATCACATCCACAGCCAGGGAGCAGAGGACAGTGAATGCATATTGTTGCTCTGTTCCCTTTTTCCACAGTCTGAGATCCTAACTACAGAATGGCTAAGCAACGCCTCACCTCAGTTAATAAAAGTTAATCCCCACAGACATGCCCATAGGCTTGTCTCCCAAGTGATTTTAGATTCTGTCACTAATAAAGAGTTGAAGAACAATTAAGAACTTCATTTCTAAAGATTCACAGTCCCACTGTAGTTCTGTTAACTTTCATTGTTAAAAAACAACCCATGTCATTTATTTCTAGCCATTGGTGGTTTTGAAGTGGAGATGCCTAGCTAATTCTCATCCTGTCTGTTCCCTTTTTGTGTGTTTTTTGTGTATGGAGACTAGAAGAAATGAAAGAAGCTTTCCTTTTCTTTTTTTTATTTTTGTTTGTTTTGTGTCAAGGTCTCAAAGTTATTTCAAAGGATGGGCTCAAACTTCCTAAGTAGCCAAGGATGACCTTGAATTTTTGATTTTTGTGCCTTTAAACCTCTTGAGTGCTAGGATTACAGAAGTAATTACATTTGGTTTATTCAATACTGGGGATCTTGCTTCATGTATGTTAAGAAAGTACTTAGAAGGTATCTCCAGTCTCAGGGTTTTAAATAGAAGAATACTTGGCCATGTAGAAATTTACACTTGAGTTTTTTCTGGGAGTAACACACAGCTGTTGTTTCTGTTTTAGAAGCGGAAGACTCTGATAACACTTCTGGAAATCTTGATGCCGTTAATATTTTCTGCAATTGTATTGTATCTTCGTTTCAATCATATGCCAAAATATGTATTGTCTACTAACTACAAAGCAATTGATATCAGTTTACTGCCAGTGTATTTCCATAATTATCCTCTGAAAAGTAAATTTCAGTTGGTTTATATCCCTTCCAAAAGCGAGACTTTGAAAGCTGTTACTGAAATGGTGGAACAGACCTTTGCTGTTGACTTTGAAGGTCAGATATAAGATGGGATAGGGAGGGCATTTCACTTTTTCATTGTACTAACATGTTTTATTACAGTTATTGTGGGTGTGGGTATAGGTGTGTGTATGTGTACATGCCATGCCACAAAAGTGGAAGTCAGAGGATAACTTACCAGAGTCATTTTTCTCCTTCTATCTGTGGGTCCCAGGGACTGAACTCAGACTGTCAGGTTTGCTGGAGTTATCTTGCCATCCTGGGAGGGCATTTTTATAGTGTAGCTTGAAGCTTTTTTTTTTTTTCCTGAGAGTTCTTACAAAAGTGATCCAAAATCTGGAATCTCCAAATTGTAGAGTTTGAGGTGGTAGTTTAAGGAAAGCTGTCCTTGATGCATTTTTATTATTTTACAGACCACACTGGAGGCCTGTATACTTGTATCTCAAGGTTTAAATGTTTTTTTTGTTTTGTTTTTAGGCAGGGTTTATGTATATAGATCAGGTTGGTCTTGAATTCACAGAGATCTGCCTGCCTCTATCTCCCAAGTACTGGGTTTTAAAGATGTGCACCACTACCACCTATCCTAACTACCTTTAAAAAAAAACTCACTATCATGACACTTATTTCCTATTAGTCAGTAGCTTCTATTTGCTAATTCTTATTCATCTCTGACTAATCAAGAATTGAAAGCACACCTGGAGGTAGACTTTTTGCTTGACAAGCCAGCTCACAAAAAATGACACAGAGACTTATGAATGCTCAGCTTTAGCTTAGGCTCTTATAACTTTTAAATTAACCTACATTTTAAAATCTACATTTCCCCCACATGCTTGTTACATCATTTCTGTTATGCCCATCCTGGTTATTCCATGGAGACTCTGCATTTCCTCTTCTCAGTATCCTCTCTTCCCCCAAATCCTACCTAGCTATTGGCCATTCAGATTTTTATTAAACCAATCAGAATGACACATCTTCATAGTGTACAAAAATATTATTTCAGCTGGGTGGTGGTGGTGCACACTTTTAATCCCAGCACTCAGGAGGCAGAGGCAGGTGGATCTTTGTAACTTCAAGGCCAACTTGGTCTATCAAGTGATTTCCAGAACAGCCAGGGCTACACAGAGAAACCCTGTCTTAAAAAAAAAAAAAAAAAAAAAAAAAAAAGAAAAGAAAAGCAAAATATTATCCCACAACACATTTATTAGTCCACAACATATTTACAGAGTCTAACAGGTTTTTCTGCTTCACTTTTCTTATTGTTACTTGATATCCAAGCAGAGGCAGAAAGATACTCAGCCACTAGGATTTTGTCCATTCCCTGCTTACACCCTCCTATGGCTTCCAGATAGACAGAGACTCTTTAGGTTTTGCCCCTGCTCTTCTATCTAGCTTCCTCTGCTACTACATTTCTCTGTGCTTTCTTCAGTATCTTCTTTATGTAGGTCACTTTTCACCAGCCATTCCTATGCCAGTCTCCCTTAGTTTTAGGAAGGCAACTAAATAAATATGTAGCATGAATTCTCTTTGGTCTTAATAATAAAAACTCAGAGTCAGCTATGAAGTGGGTGAAAGCTGAAAGATCAGAGAAGCATGGCGGCCAGATATTAGAGAGTTGTTACCTCTACCAAGGCTCAAACCAAAGGGGCCATCCTGTCCTCAGACTACTTCCTCAGACTGCCTGCTTCAGACTGCTGCCTCAGACTGCCCTGAGCTCCTGTTTCCTCCTGCCTTATTTATTTATATTCCTCTCTCTCTACCCAGCCACATCCCTTCCTGTCTCCACCTCCTTAGTGCTGGGATTAAAGGCATGAACCTCCAAGTGCTAGGATCACCTTTGGGTGAGCTCTGTTTCTCTTTTAGACTGGATCAATTTCATGTAGCTCAGGGTGGCCTTGAACTCACAGAGATCTGTCTGCTTCTGTCTCCTGAGTGCTAGGATTAAAGATGTGTACCACAATTGCCTGACCTCTACAGCTAACTAGTGTGGCTAGCTTTGCACTCTGATCTCTAGGCAAGCTTTATTTGTTAGATCATAAACAAAATATCACCACATAAATAGGTTATATTTTTCTCAACCCTTTATTCTCCTTTACAAAGTCTTGTTTGACATTTTATTAGTATTTTCATAAAGGTCTTAATTACATATATACTAGTTTTCTGTGTATTGTCCATCTTTTCCCACTGTACTCTTATCTTCACAAGGGCAGAGGACCATGTCTAGTTCGGTCATCACTGTGTCCTGGAATATAGTAGATGACCCACTAAATAGTTATTGAACATGACAGTTTGACTAAATGAATAAAAAATTTCTAAATGTAAGTGTTGTAATTTCAAAAAATGCCATGAAGAGAAGTCATCCCATATAACAGGACTCCCTTAGGAGGTTTATTGGAAGAGGAGAGAGAAGGGGCAGAAAGGGAGGCAGAGACCAGTCACTGGGGACAAGATTGGTGAAAGAGAAAGAGGGAGAGAGAGAGAAAGAAAGAGTGAAAGTTGGGAGGTGGACAGGGCCTTTTTAAAAGGGAATGAAGTGAATGTACACAGGACTCGTAGTGGCTGCAGCTGAGGGTGTGTCCTTGCAGAACCCCAAGAGCAGGCCAATAGAGATGCCTGAATACTAATATTGAGTTCATACAAGAAGGTTCTTCAACATTATGTGATTATTATACATGCTATTATATGATTTTGGAGAGGAGAGCATGTGGGACTAGGAAGATTGAGTCAGGGGAGGAATAGAGAGAGAGAGAGAGAGAGAGAGAGAGAGAGAGAGAGAGAGAGAGAGAGAGAGAGAGAGAGAGAAAGAGAGAGAGAGATACCATAAAAGAGGGAGCCATTATAGGTTTGAAGAGAAAATTGACTATAGAGAAATGTCCAGAGACCTACAAGGATGACTCCAACTAACAATCTGAGCAACATTGGAGAGGCTACCTTAAATGCCCTTCCCTGATAATGAGATTGATAACTAACTTATACACCATCATAGAACCCTCATCTAGTAGCTGATGGAAACAGAAGCAGCCACCCACAGCTAAATACTGAGCCGAACTGGAATCCAGATGCAGAGAGGGAGGAGTGATAAGAAAATGGGGACAAGACCAGGCTAAAGAAGCCCACAGAGACAGCTGACCTGAACAAGGGGGAGCTAATGGACGCCCCCAGACTGATAGCTGGGAAACCAGCATTGAACCAACTCAGACCCCCTGAACATGGTCTCAGTTAGAAGGCCTGGGCAGTCTAAAGGACCTCTGACAGTGGAACCAGGATGTATCCCTGGTGCATGAAAGGACTTTGGGAGCACATTCCCCATGGAGGGATACTCTCCTAACCTAGAGGCAGAATGGAGGGCCTAATTCCTACTCCAAATGACATGACAGATTTTGTTGATCCTTCCTGGAAGGCATCACCCTCCCTGTGGAGTGGGGGGGGGGTGGTGAGTGGGATGGAAGGATGGGAGAGTATGGGAGGGAGGGAGAGGGAACTGGGATCGATATGTAAAATAAGAAAAAAAATAATAATAAAAGAATTTTTTGGGGGGTGGTCCAGACAGGGTTTCTCTCTGTGTGAGTTCCAGGACAGTCCTGGCTATCCTGGAACTCACTCTAAAGATAAGGCTAGTCTTGAACTCAGAGATCTGACTGCTTCTGCCTCCTGAGTGCTGGGATCAAAGGTGTGTACCACCATACCTAGCTTTAAGAATTTTCCAATAAGACAGACAAAACAAATTTATGGGAAAGGTTGCTTTATCCCCAGCTTCATTGCCATTCATTGTGGACAGTTCTTTTTTCCCCTTCATTGAAAGTAGATTTTCACATAATATATGCTGATTATGGTTTCTCCTTTTTCTACTCCTTCCAGTTCCTCCCCACCTCCTCTTACATCTAGACCCACCCTCCTCCTTTCTGTCTTTCATTGGAACAATCAGGCAGTGGTGGTGCACGCCTTTAGTCCCAGCACTTGAGAGACAGAGGCAAGTGGATCTATGTAAGTTTGAGACTTCGAGACCATCCTAGTCTACAGAGTGAGCAGAGTGAGTCTAGGACAGCCAAGGATACAAAGAAAAACCCTATCTAAAATAACAATAATAATAATAATAATAACAAACTATAATATAATACAATAAAACAAAAACAAATACATTGAAATAGGACAAAACAAACAGAAAGAAAAGAATCCAATAAACAGATATAGATAGATGCAGAGACCCACTCTTTCACACAATCTGGAATACCACAAAAACATTAAACTGGAATCCATAAATATATATATGTATATGTGTATATGCAAAGACCTAAAAGATAAAAAGAAAAAATAAACTATATGTAAATAAAATAAAAGTAAGATACATTTTTCCTAAAAGATTTATTATACAAATATTGTGAAATGAATCAACAGTATAGCAGGCAAATGATACAGGTGATACATTTTTTTTTAAAGCCACAGTACAACATTACAAGATAAGTAACCTACAAAGGTGTCACTGGTTTTCTGTTGTCCACTGAGTGCTGAGCATACATCCTACCATTAAGAGTAGTTTGTTTCAGTCCAGGCAGTGGTGGCACACACTTTTAATTCCAGCACTTGGGAGGCAGAGTCACGTGGATCTCTATGAGTTCAAAGCCAACCTGGTCTACAGAGTGAGTCCCAGGACAGCCAAAACACAGAGAAGCCCTGACTTGAGAAACAAAACAAAACAAAAACCAAACAACAACAAAAAAGAGTGGCTTGTTTCCCCAGTGAGACTCCCTTAAAGAAAACTAAATTTGTATTTGCAAGTGTTTATCAATTAGAAATAGCTTCTGGGTTAGGGTTAGGGATGGGGGCATGTGTCTACTCCTTACAGCTCTAGAACCCCATCTGGTGCAGATTGGTGCAGGTCTTGTACATGCTGTCTCAGTCTGTGAATTCATACTGTTGATTTATAGGACTTTATTTCTGTAGTATCCTCTATTGCCTCTGACTCTTACACTCTTTATGCCTCCTCTTCCTCAGAGCTTTCTGAACCTTGAGAGAAGGGATTCTCTCTATATTTTATCTGGCTGTGGGTGATAGTTGAGCAAGGCACTGATCTATAAGTATAGCAGAATGACTTTAGGAATAATTTTATTGCTACACTCCTTTAGTAGAACAGTATTTGGTTTTACCCTAGGTTTCTGGGCCATCTAGTCTCAGGTTCTTGATCACCCAAGAAGTGTTGGGTATATGTTCCATCTCGTGGAGTGTACCTTAAGTCAAATCAGATATTAGTTAGTGTATTAGGGTGCTCTAGAGTCACAGAACTTATGGAATTAATATATATGGAATATATATATATATATATGAGTTTATTGGAATGATTTATAGGTTTCAGTCCAACAATTGTGAATGGAAAATCCAAGAATCTAATAGTTGCTCAGTCCCACAAAGCTTGGTGTCTCAGCTGGTCTTCCATACATGCTGGAATTCTGAAGGAGTAGGCTCCAGTGCCAGTGAAGGAGTGGATGTACCGACAAGATGAGGGCAAGCAGGCAAGGAATGAGCACACACCCCAACACACCCCAGTCATTCTTCCCTTGTCCTTATATAGGCTTCCAGCAGAAGGTGGGACCCAGATTAAAGGCTGCCTTCCAGCCTCAAGATCCAGATCAAAGGCATGCTTGATCTTGCCTCAAGATCAGGATCACAGTGTGCCCTCCATTTCTGTATTGTAGTTCATCCCAGATAGCATCAGGTTGACAAGCAAGAATAGTCATCACAGTTGATCACTCCCACAAAGTTTTGTGGCACAATTGCACTAGCATATCTTGCAGTCAGGACTCTATTGTAAAGGAAAGGGTTTGTGACTGGGTTGGTGTTTACATTTCTCCTTTGGTAGCATGCAAAGTACTATCCTGTACCTAAGATGCTAACATGTAGGGGTAAAGTCTCTGTGTAGGCACCAGCTCAACTTCTGCATGTTCAATGAGTTGTATAGGTATTGTCTTCAGCAATAGGGTCTTGATGTAAGTCTGTAGGAAGCAACCTATAGTCTTGGCAACAGCCTAGGTTTGGGGATTCCCATGGGATTCCTTTGGCCAATAACTCCATGAGATGTAGCCCGTTCCCAGTAGTGGGATCAGTCTGGCTTCAAATTCGGAGATCCCACCTGCCTCTGCCTCCTAAGTGCTGGAATTAAAGGTGAGCACCACTACTGCCTGGCTAAAAATCATGCCTTTTAACTAATCTTATTGTTTGTGTTTCTCTCTTTCTCTCTCTGTTAGTTCATATGTTTGCAGAATGAATGAGTGAGTGAAAGGAGAAGTAAGCTGGAATCTTAAATCTCCTTAGGTAGATGGTTGGTAGCATCACTTGTTTTCTTGCCCAGCTATTCACTGACTTAATTTTTCTCTTTGTAGTTCTAGGCTTTCCTTCAGTGCCTTTATTTGAAAACTATATAATAAAGGATCCCAAGTCTTTCTACATATTGGTGGGAATTGTTTTTGACCATAGCTTCAATAGCAGCAATGAACCTTTGCCACTTGTGGTAAGAAAATCTTTGTTTAACAATCTATGACTGCACCCTGAGTGTAAGTCAATCAGGATCTCTACCACTCAGCTTTCTTCTGTGGCAGCTTTGTCGTCTTATCTCCAAAGGAAATGAGTGGATATTCCAAATTCATATCTTACAGCCCACTCCATACTTTCAACTTGTTTAAAAGAGATCTGTTCTGAGCAAGTCTCTATCCTTAGTACAGAGTGGAGTGTGTTCAGCTGTTTAGGTACAGAGTCTGACTTGACCACTTGACCGAAGAAACTTGAATCCCAGCTCTAAAATTTAGCAGTTGTATATCCTTGGGAATGTTATTAACATTTCTAAATCAAATCTCTGTTTTGTTACCTGTGTAGTTGAGTTTAAATTAGTGCCTGGATTATGAGTTGGTTTTCAAGTTTATACAAGTAAAGTGCTTAGAGCAGTTGGTTAGGTGGGGAGCAATAATTTTCTGGTTGGATTAGTTAATTGTCATTACTACTAATCACATAGATTTAGATATGATAGCTCTACATGTGTATTTAAAGAAAAAACAGTATGTTGAACAAGAATATTTATGTTTAGCAAGGGTAAAACGTTTACAAGTAGCTTTTTGCTATATAGGCTGTCTAATGACTTTTAGAACTTGCTCTGTGAGGCCAGGCAGTGGTGGCACACACCTTTAATCCCAGCACTCAGTAGGTAGAGGCAGGTGGATCTCTGTGAGTTTGAGGCCAGCCTAGTCCACAAATAGAGTTCCAGGACAGCCTCCAAAGCTACAGAGAAACCCTGTTTCAAAACCAAAATAAATAAATAAAACAAAACAAACAAACAAACAAACAAACAAAAAACAAAAAGAAGAACCTGCATTGTGATTAATAAAAACCAACAATATTTTACAAGCATATGTTAATGTTACCTACATGTCAGATACCACATTGTATAATCTTCCAGGCAGTTAATCAGTCAGAGGATGTTATCATCCCCCTTTCACTGTGAGGGAGCCGAGGCATAATGATTAAGTGAGACTAAGTAATTTGCCAAGGGTGGCAGCATTTCAATAAGAAATTTGGGGCTAAGGTCTAGGTGATGTCATTCCAGAGTATTCTACAGTCCATTGCTCTTTTCCCAAGTTGGCCACAGGGATAACTTGCAGAGAAATACAGGGAAGATCATTGTGTGGTTCCAGGAGGGACCCCTGCCTGTGTGGGCCTTAAAGAATTAAAGTCAAATAGTTTTGCTCTGTCCTGTACCATTGCTGAGTTCCAGGATCTCATGGCCACATGTTTTCTCCTTGTTTTTCATAGGTTAAGTATGACTTGCGCTTCAGTTATGTTCAGAGGAACTTTGCACCATCATTGAAGCATTTATTTTTTCCAGAGGAGATAGAAGGCTGGTGCACAGCCTTTCTTTATCCTCCTAACCTAAGCCAAGAACCCCGGGAATTTGCATATGCTGATGGGGGAAACCCTGGTGAGGAAACTCTAAAGCCTGTAACATTACCATGAGCACAGCCACATTTGCCCTCTACCACATATTTGTGTTATTATTTGTGATACTGTTTTGCTAACTAAATGCTTGCCTAAGAACAGCATTTCAGTAGAGGTCCAAGGAGCTGCTTTTGGAAAATGTGGCACTTAATAAAATGATTATATTCCAGTGTAAGTTAAAACAGCAGGTATGTATTTTGATTGTTTATAATGACTTTGAATTGCTTGAAAGAATGAAAGCATTTTACAAGAACAAGGGTGATGGGAGATGTCATTCTGTATATGTTTCTCATACTGGTTAATAATAAAGCACTGTTGGCCAATAGGAAAGGAAGATAGGAGGGACTAGGAGACAAGGAGGAAATAGGAAGTAGGAAGGAGGAGCCAAGATGGAGAGTCTGGAGAAAGCTGTATGCCGCTGGCTCCCTGGTAAGAGAAATACATAGATCAGCAAAAATGGGTTAATAATTAAGGCAGAGCTAGCCGATAAGAAACAAGTAACGGGCCAACAGCATTGTATCAAATACAGAGTCTCTGTGTGTTATTTGGGGCTGGTGCGGCAGTGGGACAAGACCAGCTGTGGCAGGCAGAAAAACCGTACTCGTTACAAATGGCACCCACGTGGTATAGATATGGATACTTTGTATTGGAATGGATTTTCATTTATTGATACAATTTAAGGTCAATTTTGTGATGTGTATATTCTCCTTTTGTTTAGGTATTGTGTTTATATAACTCATTTAGAAATGTAATGTATAATGTAGTACAGATAATAGATAATTATCTATGATAGTCAAAGTTTAGAGTTAAGTTAGTTAGGTTTTTCAAGATACACAGAGATGTAGTTGAGATAGATAGGCATTCTTCAAACCTTTCAAAGACTTACAGAATATGGCATTTAAAATGATTTAGGGTTTTACTTGACAATGAGACATAAATGCTCCTGGTAACACCACCTGCGTCAAAAAGGAAGATGGACATTAAAGAAACACGTTATGGAGTTTACTTCCAATATGGCAAGACTAGCCATTTGGACAAGATACTGTCTTGTTTGGACTGTTTGACTTTATGCTGTATAAACTGGACATGCAGGACCCACAGAAAAGTGACTGCTGATTCAAGATGGACATTGCTACAGAGTTCCTGCTTCATGGAAGAGTCTGCGAGACAGTATGCAGGACACAGAGAAAAGTGACGGTCAAACTGCCAATACAAAAAGACAGTTTAAAGTTTCCTGCTTTGCTGAAGAGTCAGCTAGACACACTATGGCCTATGGGCTGAAGATGGAAGATTACAAAAGAACTTTGGGTGACCAGGCAGTGAGTTGTCTCTGTCATTTCTAGAGTTTATACTATCCTTCTGTGGTCTTTGAGGGACTTGAAGACAGAGAGTTATGGTTACAGTTTTCCTTAGTATTAAAGATAAGTTACTTAGACAAAGATATGATAGATGATGGAATATTTTCTTCAAATCTTGCTAAATGTTAATGGACTAAATAGTGTTAACTGTGATTCTTATTTGATAACTGTTATGTGATATATTTTGCTATGTTAAGGTTAAAACCCTTCTTTTTATTTAGACAGAAAAGAGGAGATGATGGGAGATGTCATTCTGTATATGTTTCTCATACTGGTTAATAATAAAGCACTGTTGGCCAATAGGAAAGGAAGGTAGGAGGGACTAGGAGACAAGGAGGAAATAGGAAGTAGGAAGGAGGAGTCAAGATGGAGAGTCTGAAGAAAGCAGTATGCCGCCGGCTCCCCGGTAAGAGAAATACATAGATCAGCAGAAATGGGTTAATAATTAAGGCAGAGCTAGCCGATAAGAAAGTAGTACCTGGCCAATAGCATAATATCAAATACAGAGTCTCTGTGTGTTATTTGGGGCTGGCGCAGCGGCAGGACAAGACCAAGCGGCAGGCAGAAAAATCATACTCGTTACACAAGGGTTGTGAGCTTCTATATTTGTAACATTTGCTTTTTAAATTATGTTTGATACTATTCTCTACAAACTATAACTTAAGTGGCTTTCTTTAATTTGTTGAAATCCTATAAAATAATGACCCCTCTACCTTTCCCTTTTCATTTTAGGAAAGCTACTACCAGGCTGGGGGTGTACCTCAGTGACACTTGCCTAGCATGCAGAAAACCTCATGCTCAGTCTCTAGTAATACCAAAACAAGCATGAACTGCTGACTGTTAGGAATGCTGTGTGGGAATTCATCTGTGTAATGGTAGCCTCCAAGGATACCGACAGGAAAGGCCTCCCAGAGGCTAGAGAACACAGCATTCATGGACTCTGGGCTTTCTGCCATACTAGCCTATGCCTGATGGTGTGGGTGGGGACCAGAACTCAGCCAGAGAACTGGGGAGACACCAGTGTATTTACCTTGAGCACAGCCACCTGGTCCTTGTTGTTCTCAAGTAGCCTGTTGAGAACCCATGGGCATTATCTATGTTTCTTGGGCAGCACACATACAGGACCAGAGTGGAACCATAATAACGCAAATGGCCAGTTACTTAGTAAAGGCATATCCTTCATCATGAAAGAAACATGACTGACATTTTGTGACTACGTAATATTTATGTGACCTCCCTTTTCTATCTGTAAGTAACACTCTCGTTTTCTTCACCTTCCCCAAATCCTATAATTTGGGGGATCAAACCCAGGACTTTCCACATAATAGGCCACCACTCTACTACTGAGCTATACCTCTAGCTCTGTTCTGTTGTTTCTTTACTTTTACAGCACTGGGGACAGAACTTAGCATTTCACATATACTAGTTAAGTATATTTCTTATTTTACATATTGATCCCAATTCCCTCTCCCTCCCATCCTCCATCCACTCCCTAGAGAGGGTGAGGCCTTCCAGGAGGGATTATCAAAATCTGTCAAGTCATCTGGGGTAGGGCCTAGGCCCTCCCTCTTATCTCCAGGCTAAGGGAGTATCCCTCAATGGGGAATGGGCTTCCGAAGTCTGTTCATGCACTAGCCAACTATTCTGTCAATAAGCTGTCTCCCAAGACTTGTACTGTTTTAGCTACCCTCCTTCCCTCCTTCCATCCCTCCCTCCTTTCTCTCTCTCGCTCTTTCTTCCCTCTTCCTGTCTATCTGTCTCTTTCTTTCTTTCTTTCTTTCTTTCTTCCTTTCTTCCTTTCTTCCTTCCTTTCTTTTCTTTCTAGCCAGGGTCTCATGGAACCTAAGCTGACCTCAAACTCACTTCAGAGTCAAGGATGTTCCTGCCACCACCTTTCAAGTACTGAGATTACAAGATTGTGTCATCACACTCAGTCTTGTTATGTTGTTTTGAACACCCATCCTGTTCAACATGTATGTTCCTTTTATTCATGTTTAGTATGTCTCATTCACTCTTCACTAAAACTACTTCTTGTATCATCTATTTTCCTTTTAATTTGATGAAGAAGGGACAGACACCTGTCTACACTGCTGTAGGGCTCCCTGCCTGACTGCCTGTGTTGTTGTAAAGATTCTGCTCCTGAATTGAAGGACATCTCTAGGCTCTGCCTCCAGAATTCCTGGAATTTGAGACTAGGGAAATAGTTTAGTTTGTAGAGTGTTACTACACAAGCTGAGAACCTGAGTCCAATCTCCAAGATTTATGTAAAGAACTGGGTGTGATATCACATGTTTATAATTTCAGTGCTGGATGGCAAAGATAGTCTGATTCCTAGGACTCACTGGGCAGCCTACCCTAATTAGCAAACCCCAGGTCCCAGTGAGAGACCCTGTCTCAAAAAATAAGGTTGATAGTGTTGTGAGTTGTTTTTTCCCCCCACCAGTCAGGTTCCACAGCCACACCAGCCCCAAATAACACAAAGAGATGCTGTATTAGATATAATTTTGTTGGCCTGTTACTAGCATCTCTTATTAGCTAGCTCTGTCTTAAATATTAACCTATTTCTATTAATCTAAGTATTTCCACGTGGTCTCATCTTACCAGAAAGAAGGCCTGGACCTCTGTTCTCTCCAGTGTCTACATCTTGACTGCTCCCTACTACTTCCTCAAATCCTCCTTGTCTCCTAGTCCCGCCTACTTGCTTTCCTATTGGTCACCAGTGCTTTATTCATTAACCAATACAAGAAACATATTTACAGAATGACATCTCCCATCATGATGGCTCTTCAGGAACAACACCCAAGGTTGTCCTTTATCCTCTACACACAGCTCATGTGTACACATGGGGGTGTTGGGGACAGTGGTGGGGCAGAAATGGGGCAGGTTCTGAACACATGACCTCTGCATTGGCTATTATTTCATTTGAATTTACTTGCTCTTTCTGAACATTAAAATCAGAAGACAAGGCATTCCTAGGAGCTCCTATGCCCTAAGGCATAACATGTGGCTGTGAAGCTGGATTGTAGCTTCCAGACACCGTAATCTTTCTCTGCAGGAAGCACTGCTGACTTTCTTCTTTGGAACTTTCCAGTAAGAACACAGGAGAGTTTTTCTTAGTGATTGCTTTCTGACATCTTGTTCTCTGCTATGGAAAGGGACATAATTGTATCTAACAGTGCAAACATCCCTACTTAGTACCCAGTTTCCCTGGACCTGCCCATTCCATGACAGTTCCCAGTTTCCACTCTAGCAATTCCAGACTTAAGGAGAAGTGTTGGCACATAACTGCGATGCTCTTTCCTTCACATGAAGCAATGTATTCCTGAGTGAGGCCCAGAGCCACTTTTCATGTGAGGGATACATATTCTCTAGTTCATTTTAGGTTTCTTACTTTCCTTGTTTGAAAGAAGTTGGACATGAACACCAATTATGCAACTGTTCCTCCAAAATTGATCATCAACTGGGTAGTGGTAACAAATGCCTTTAATCCCAGCACTTGGGAGGCAGAGGCAGGCAGATCTCTGTGACTTCAAGGCCAGCCTGGTCTACAAAGTGAGTTCCAGCACAGGGCTACACAGAGAAACCCTGTCTTGAAAAAAAAAAAAAGATCAAAAATTGATCATCAACCACTCATAGGATGACCACATAATTGTCTTTCAGTCTTGGGCCTATATGCCTACCAACTCGAATTTAGTCTGAGTCTAGAAAATATCCTATAATTGTTTAGTGAAAACACTCCTACAAAACAAACAAGAATGCATAACAATATCCAGGACATGTCTAGACAGTGGGACACAGTGGTCACCTCTACTGCAGGGCTCTATAGTACACCTCTACTACCCCTCCATCGAGGCTGGTTACCCTTGCTTAGAACTAGATACCATTCAGGGGATCCTTACCTTGCAACCTATTTTTATTGAAAGTTAATCCTGACACACCAGCTAAACTGCTGGAATGAAGGTTGCTTATGATAAGGACAGTGTTTGTGCCTTACCAGCAAAATACAGAAAGTTAACCCTTGGGCTATGCAGCAGTCACAGCACAATCAGGAAGTCTGTGTATTTGAGTTTAACTATCCTGTATTTATTGTGTAATCAAAACTACAGAACAAGTGCTCTGTCAAAAAACGCAGAGAATGAAGACCCTTATATAGAACATGCCATATTTTTCTACCAGAACTCATTTTCTTTCTTTCTTTCTATCTTTCTTTCTTTCTTTCTTTCTTTCTTTCTTTCTTTCTTTCTTTCTTTCTTTCTTTCCCTCTCTCTTTCTTTCTTTTTTAGATTTATTTATAATGTATACAGTATTCTTTTTTTACATTTATTAAAAATTTATTAAACAATTCATAATGTGCCTTCAGGAAGAATATATTTACTGCATATAAAGAATATGTTCTTTAACCTTTGCCAAATCATATAAATAAAAAACAACCATAACAAAAAAATGTATACAGTATCCTATCTGCATGTATCCTGCAGGCTGAAAGAGGGCAGCAAATCTCATTACAGATGGTTGTGAGCTACCATGTGGTTGCTGGGAATTGAACTCAGGTCCTCAGGAAGAGAAGCCAGTGCTCTTAACCTCTGAGCCATCACTCCAGCCCCCAGAACTCATTTTCTGATCAATACTTCCATGGCTCTCCAAAGTGACTCCCCTCTGTCCTCTAAGAATCCATTCTGGCTGTTGTCTGTTTTAATGACTAGCCAGGATCCACCTGAATTTTCAGTCCTTTTGATCTTCAGGCTTTACTTTCTTATGCTTGATATTCTGGTTTCTTGTAGGCTACAACAAAGAAGGCTTCCTGTCAATACAGCATGCAGTAGACAAAGCCATTATGTGGCACCATGCTCCCAATGCAACATCCAACATGTTCAAGAATCTCAATGTACTGCTGCAAAGATTCCCATTTGGGCCCCATGTCCGGGACCCATTCTTAGTGATCCTCCAGAACGAATTCCCTCTATTCCTCATGCTCAGCTTCATTTGTGTTGAGCTCATAGTCATCAATTCCATTTTGCTGGAGAAGGAGAAGAAACTGAAGGTAACTCTATCTACTCAGATGGGAAGTGCAGGGCTATGGGGTGGCTGCTAATAAATGTCTAAAGTGGGACTGAGGCCCAAGCAGGTGGGAGGATTCATCAGCCTCTTAGGTGAATTGGAAATCAGACGTACTTTCATATTTTTATCCTGTTTGCAGTTTAGGGAGCCGCATCTCTTGTTAGCACACATATTCCAACCTAGTAGGTCCACTAGGTTATCACACTGCCACTAACAGGGCAGGTGTTCAGACAATGTCCACACTGAGGGGATTTTTATCCACAATAAACTCATTCCCATTTTGTGGAAAGATGATTGAGAAGTATCTTCTAGAAAAATACAACCTAAGACAGGGCCTTTTCCCTCTGATTTGGTTCCAAAACTGGTTTCACTATTCACTTTTTGTGCTCTTCTACTTACATAACCTCTATTACTTCTTTTCTCACTTTCTCCCTTTAAAAAATACATTGTTTTGCTTAGGATTTTATTTCTCAGACATGGTCACATTCTGTAGCCAATAGTGACCTAGAACCCACTGTGTTATCCATATCCAGGCTGACCATGAATTTATGATCCATTTGCATCAGCCTCCCCACTGAGAGGTACATCTGGCTAAAATCTTTTCACTTTAATTTTTTTCCTCTTTTTAAAATTTATGAATTTATGTTTTCATCTGCATGTACATCAGCATACCAGGAGAGGGCACTGGATCCCATGGGTTAGTTAGAGATGGTTGTGAGTCACAATATAGGTGCTGGGAATTGACAGAGATGATGTGACCCACCATGTGGTGCTGGGAATTGAACTCAGGAAGTCTGGAAGAGCAGCCAGTGCTTTTACCACTGAGCCATCTCTCCAGCCCCAATTTTCTTCTCTTTTTTTCTTGATTCTTATGATTGTATTAAAATCTTTTGAGGTTTTTCTTGGCCTCATTGATGACATCTGTGGCTAGAGAGCTGTTTTCCCTGAACTGCTTTGTCTTGTGCAGTCAGTTGGAAAAGGCAGACTGACTGGGGTACTTCTTGAGGCTGCCTATGTGATGGATGACAGTGGGACAATGGCTGACAGGTAGATGCTCTATCCAACTTTATACTCACTGGAAAAACCCCAGGAAACTAGGAGCTTCTGGAATGTGGCTAGGATACCCATTTAGTTTCCACTTGTGTGATGAAATTGGACCTTCCCTATTTTTTACTTCAACAACCAATGTATAGACACTGGTAGGCATAAAAAATGTCTACACTTTGGTCTTGTTTTATTCTTTATACTCGAATCTTCTTTTCAGATGAACTTAACACTGTAGAAGTTAGGCTTGAAGACACATGATAAATATGCTGTTGGTTTATTCATTTACTGAATGTCTCCTGTAAGTAAATGGCTCTGAGAATAAAGTCCAAACTTTTCTTTTTTGAGACAAGGTCTCAATATATAACCCCCTAACTGGCCTGGCACATGCTCTGTAAACAAGACTGGCATTGTGTTTCTGACAGATTTTGTTGCCTCTGTCTCCCAAATGCTGGAATTATAGTCATAGACTACTATACTCTGCTTTAAAGTCTAAACTCCTTATGTGTCCTACTTTTAAACTCACCTAGCAGTTGTTTTTAATGTCAGTTTATACAGTGCCTACTCCACCATAGTTAAACCACATACCACTCCCTGTTTAATTCTCTTGCCTTCTAGCTGCATCAGTCTCCATCAGCCCTAGTAGCTGCCTCTCCACGGTCCACATAACCTGTCATCCTAACCTGCTGAGTTTCAGTAACAGCCTCTCAGATTCTACCTAAGACAAATAGACTCTAACACTTGGTTCTTTCCCTTTTTCTAGGAATATATGTGTATGATGGGATTGGAGAGCTGGCTGCATTGGGTTGCTTGGTTCATTACGTTCTTCATTTCTGTGTTAATTGCTGTTTCTGTTATGACCATTCTTTTTTGTACCAAGGTATGCTCTGTTCTTTAAAATATGGTGAGCTATGAATAGATAGGAAAGAACCTGGTATAGGTGATACAGTTATTGATAACCATTTGGGAAAACTCTGATGAATATCCAGTGGTATTTGTTGAAATTCTGGGGAATTGAGCATTCTTCCTCCTCCCTCCTCATTTTTTTCTGTTTCTTTTTGAGGCAGAGGCTCGTTATGGAGCCCTGGCTGGCCTAGAATTCCCTATGTAGACCAGTCTGACCTTGAATTTGTGTTAATTCTCAACCTTACCCCTAAAGTAATGGGATTCCACTCTTGTACTATTATACATAATGTAGTATTTAGGAACTTAAGGATCACAAAATGCATTTTTATAAACTTTAAAAGATAAATTTCATACTGTAAAATAGTTGAAAATAGTTACTATAATACATTATTTTATTTCCTTGTTATCATGTATTTCTTTTATGCTGCCAATGGAGTTTGATACTAACATTTGCCTCCTTTCATTTAATAACCCACTATTTGGATAAATAATAACTTACCTTCTAAATTGTTAATGTTATGTCAGTGTGGTGAAAGGAAGGAAGAAAATCCAGACTAAATAGGAAAATATTTCAAACAAAGGAAATAACCAGAAAGCATTAAAACAGAAGATACAAGGTAACAAAAGGAATACCAAATACATGTCATAGTGACCAATGTATTGAACTTATGCTGGGGATGTAGCTCAATGGTAGAACACGTACTATTCTCCCAGAGGACCTGGGTTCAATTCCCAGCACCCACATGGTAGCTCATAACTCCAGTTCCAAGGGATCTGACACCCTCACACTAATACAAATGTAGGCAAAACCTGACTGCACATGAAATAAAAATAAAAAGAAATTATAAAAAATATATGTGTAATTCTAAATTAAGAATATTTTCTATAGTGTTTTATGGGTACTTAATACTTTCTTCACATCTGTGGTTGTTTTCTAGGTAAACAATGTGGCTGTGTTCAGGAACAGTAACCCTAGCTTGATATTTATTTTTCTAATGTGTTTTGCCACTGCCACAATTTTCTTTGCATTCATGATGAGCACATTCTTTCAAAGAGGTGAGTACTGATGTCATTTTCTGTTGGGGATGTTAATGATTATTTTCTGAAAGCATTGTCATTCCTGTTACTTGGAGCATTTACTATTATTCCTCCACAGCTAAGTTTTCAGTTTCGTAGTTACTTCAGCAATGGGAGAATTCTACTCTCTAGTAAAGCCTTGTTAAAATACATGAAATACATACATTTTTGTTACATTTAATTTCTTAAAATAATTCCAAGTCAAGGTAGATAATAAGTGTCAGTTTATTTATTTTTACTTTTACCTGTGTGTCTCTCAGTTGGTATGTCATGCATGTGCTAGTGCTCCAGCCAGAAGAGACCCTTGGATCTTCTGAAGCTGAAGTTACAGGCAATTGTGAGCCATGTGACTTGGGTGCTGGGAACCAAACTCAGGTCTTCTGGAAGAACAGCATGCACTCTTGACTCCTGGGCCCTCTCTCCAGCCCCAATAAGTCTCAGTTTAGAAGAAAACAGAAGGGTAAGGCATTTCAGGCAGAAAATCCTCCAGATCATGAGTGTGAAGTTGGGGCACAATAATAAAATGGCTTCTATGATACCACAAAGGACTTCCTGAGAATTTGGTCCTGTTGGAGGTCTTACATCTAAAATATTTATACATTAATTGATGAATCATAGAGGATAGAAATGATAGGAGCTAGAGTCAAATCTAAGTGCAGGAGAATTGGAGTTACCCTATAAAAGTAAAAACATTAAGAGAAAACAAGCTCAGCAGTTGCCCCAAAAAGACAGTATTTACAAGAACCAGGAGAGAGAAATGTATTATATCAAATAACATGCTCTAATATGTGATTCCTGGAAAACTGCTGACTTTGCCAAGACAGAGAAGGACTCAAATTTAGAATTCCGCCTCCCCTCCATAGTTTTATAGAAAACACAGAGTGGTACTAGTCAAATCAGGGAGCTTAGAAAGAATATGAGCATGGAAGGGTGCCTGCAATTAAGGTTTAAGAGCGCTCAAGGTTGCCAGGTGGTGATTGTTCACACCTTTAACCCAGCACTCAGGATGCAGAGGCAGGTGAATCTCTGTGATTTCGAGGCCAGCCTGATCTATAGAGCTAATTCCAGGACAGCCAGGGCTAACACAGAAACCTCTCAAAAAATAAAAAATAAAAAAGAGTGCTCAAGGGTAAGACCTCAAAAGTTAAACTTTGGTCAAGTACAATAAATAAGCAGACATTTAGAAATAAAAGATGAACAATGAATTTGGAAATACAAATCGTAACCAGAAGGAAGCAATACCAGGGGCAAGGGACAAATGAAAGCAAAAATAAATCATGTACTGAATCAAGTGCTTTTGATAAGTGCTTTTTAACAAACGATGCTGGAACAACTGGAAATCTATCTTCAAAAGAATTCACATGGAGATCTTCATCACATCATATCCAAAAATCGACTCAAATTGGACTATAAATCTGGATGTAAGTGATATGCCATATTAGAAGAAAATACAGGGGGCTGGGGAAATAGTTCAGTGAAGTGCTTGCCATGCAAGCATAAGGATTGAGTTCAACTCCTCAGGACCTACATGACAGATGTTGGGTACAATACAATCCTATCCTGACTCTGAGGAAGTGGAGACAGAGGGGTCACTGTACTTTAGGTTCACTGAGAGACCCTTAGCAAAGAAAACCAAAAAAGAATGATTACCTTAGATACCCAGTGTCAACTCTGATCTCCACGTGCATATGCATATAAATCCACATGCACACATACATGCACGAAAAAATAAAAAAGAGGACATGAAGCCAGCCAAGAGGGGCATGTGCTGATGGTTTCCCAGTGGGAACTGAGTGGATGAAGTCAGTGGTGGATATAATCAAAATACATTAAATATAAGTATGGAATTTTCAAAGATTAAATAGAATTTTTTTGGGGGGGTTGGTTTTTCGAGACAGGGTCTCTCTGTGTATGTAGCTTTGGAATCTGTCCTGGAACTTGCTCTGTAGACCAGGCTGGCCTCAAACTCACAGAGCTCTGCCTGCCTCTGCCTCTCGAGTGCTGGGTGCACCATCACCACTCGGCTTTTTTTAAAAAAAATATTTATTTATGTTATGTGTATTGATTTGCCTATATGTATGCATGTGCACTATCTGCATGCCTATTTCCTGTGGAGGTCAAACGAGAATGTTAGATCTCCTGGAACTGGAGTTACAGATGGTTGTGAGCCACCATATGAGTGACTGGAATTGAACCCAGGTCCTTTGGAAGAGCAGTCAATGTTCCTAACCACTGAGCCATCTCTCCAGCCCAAATAAAAATATTTCTTTAAAAAATAAGAGAAAATCTATATGGTTTTACATTACATGATAACTTCTTAGGATACCAAAAGTATAACTGGTAAAACAGACAATTCATAGTTGAATTTCAGAAAAATTTAAAACTTTTGTACATTAAAGTTTCCATCAAGAAATTGGTAGTGGCTGGGCAGTCATGGCACATGCCTTTAATCCCATCACTTGGGAGGCAGAGGCAGGACGATCTTTGTGAGTTCAAGGCCATCCTGGTCTACACCATAGCAAGATCCAGAACAGCCAGAGCTACATAATAGATAAACCATGCATCATCAACAATGATAAAAAGAAGTGGTGGCACATGCCTATAATTCCAGTACTTGTGTTGCCGAGACTGTGAGAGCAAGGTAAATTGGAGAGGATGAGTTATCCATCCTCAGAAAAAGCCACCTTGAGAAATTCCCCTAGTCCCCATGTCAATGAATCCAAAGGTCACTTATGCTTAGTCAATCCTGAACAGCCAAGGCATGTACCACCCTGCTTGCGGTTTTTCCTTTATAACCCCCTTGCAATTGAGGCCAGCCACCCTTTTCCTGCAGCTGCTGTGCCAGTTTGCTGGACAGGGTCCCTGCTGAGGCTTGTAACTTAACAATAAACCTTGTGCGTTTGCATCAGTGAGTTGGCTCCTTGGTGATCTTTTGGGGTTTCACGAACTTGGCATTACAGAGACAAGACCATTGCTCTGAATTCAAGGTCAATCTTTGTTACAGAGAACCAGACTAGTGAGTGCAGCATAGCAAACATGTACAGAAAAATAAAGTAAAAATATAATCTGTGTCTTTGGGGAAACATTCTTAAAATTATGAATACTACAAGAAACTTGTATCCAGAATAAATAAAATAACTCATGCAACTCAAAAATAAAAAAAATAATCCTATCTCACACCAAACTCAAAAAAAGGCATCACAATTAAGACTATAGACCAGGAGGCTGGAGAGATGGCTCAGTGAGTTAAGAGCACTCAGTGTTCTTTCAAAAGACCCAGGTTTAATTCTAGTTCCCAGGAATCTGATGCCCTCTTCCATGTTCTGTAGACAGCTATATGTATGTGGTACATACAAGCACACAGAGATACACATACATTTTAAAAATCTTTTTTTTTAAAAGGGGGAGTGCCTGAAGAGATGGTTCAGCAGTTAAGAGCACTTCCTCTTTTTTCTGAAATTATAATCATAACATCATTTTTCCTTTCCTCTCTCTTTATGTATGGCCCCCCTTTTAATTATTGTTACATATATACATATTTCTAAATATATAAAGAAAACCTGATCAATCTGTACAATGTTACTTGTATGTGTATGATTTCAGGGCTAATAATTTGGTATTGAATAAATAACTGGAGAGCTCTTCCCTGGGGAAGAATATTTCTCCCACTCTCAGTATTCCTTACTTGCATGTAATTTATTTTTTCGGGTTGGGATCCCATAAGATTTCCTGCTTCCACGCTAATATGTTTATTGGGTCATCTATGTTTGGATTTTGTTTAGGCAGAGATGTTGGTGAGACTTCCTGGGTACAGCTTTTCTGATATTTTCAGAAGATGCAATATCACAGAAAACTTCCTTATCTTTTTGATCTTAAAGTTTTTCCACCCCCTCCTCCACTGATTCTTGAGTTTTGGTGTTGTAGATGTATCATTTGGGGCCGGCATTACAAGATCACTTGTTCTCTTCTGTAATGGTCTCCATTTTGTTGTTTCCTTTGATGGAGGATGAGACATGTACACATGGATTTAAATATGGGTAGGATGAGACATATACACATGGATTTAAATATGGGTAGGATGAGACATATACACATGGATATATAAATATGGGTAAAAACTTACAATGAAATTAGGGATTATGCTAGTTTAGCAAAATGACAGTTCTTTTCCAAGATCTGTGACTTCACTTGCCCTGGGTTGTTTGTTGCTTTCTGGTACCAGGCATAGTTTCCCTCTTGTTGAATGGGTCTTAAATCCAATGAGAGAGATGTTGGTTATTGCCAAGGTATGTGTGCCATCATTGCACCCTTAGGACTATTGTGTTGTGGTAGGCATTGTTGTAGCTCATAGGCATCATAGCTGTGTAGCTGTGTAGCTGTGTAGCTGTGTAGCAATATGGGTTGCTTTCCTAATTTGGTGTCATCATGTGGCCCTGGCTGATCTGGAACTCACTTTGTAGACCAGAATGGCCTCAACTTTAGAGATCCATTTGCCTCTACCACTGCCTCCCAAGTACTGGAATTAAAGGAGTGTGCCACCACATACAGCTACTTTCATTTTTATTAAAGTGCTGCAAATGTTTTCATCTTTTACTAGTAAGAGTGCAAATATGAAAGGAGGTTGTTTCCCTTCAGAAATGCTGGAACAGTCACAAAGACACTTCCTTTCATGGCAGGGAAACAAGGTTTATATCATAGTAACTTGCATGTTACTGATGAAATGCTTCATCTTTTCCTCTCTGAATCTGCAGCGCATGTAGGAACTGTAATAGGTGGCATCGTCTTCTTCTTGACTTACCTCCCCTACCTGTACATCACTTTCAGCTACCACCAGAGGACCTATATCCAAAAGATAGCCTTTTGCCTCTTCTCAAACGTTGCCATGGCAATAGGAGTCCGATTCATCTCTCTGTTTGAAGCAAAAGGTAAGATTTATCTTTCTCTATTAGGCTACCTACATGCTTTGAACTGAGTAAGGCTGTCCTCCATTTCCAAATACACATAAGTGACATATTTGTTTCATTTAGTGTTTGAGCATTTACATTATAATAGGTACTCTGCGGGATGCTAAAGAGATATATATAATATGCTTCACAAACCTTACAGCATAAGCTGGGTGATGGTGTCATATGTCTTTAATCCCAACACTTGGGAGACAGATCTCTTTGAGGCCGAGTTCCAGGGCAGTCAGGTTTACACAGAAAGCCTGCCTCAAAACCAAAACCAAAACCAAACAAACAAAAAGCCTCCCAGCATAGATATGGATATGGGAAGGGAAACTAAAGCATAGTAAAGAAAGGAAATTGGAGCCAAACAGTTTGGCATGGGCCTGTAGTCCTAGCTACTTGAAAGGCTGAGGCAAGATTACTGGAGCCCAGGAATCCCATCCAGACATCTGGGCAACAGAGTAACTCTGTTTGAAAAAAATGACTAGAAATTATATGTTTACATAGTTCTATAGATATGAAATATATATAACTTTATGATTAGAAGCTCAGAAAACAGTGAATATTACTGTAATGTGTTTTCACATATTTTAGTCTCATTGATTTTAGTGTCTACTCTTTTACAGGTTTGTCTAGAAATAATTAACATTTTGATTTACATATCTGTAAATTCTAGTTGAAGATTAGGTAGCCTCCTTATGTTGGACCCCTGGGTGTCCAGCCCTTCATGAGAGATGTAGACAGCAAAGCAAACTACCAGGGAATGAACAAGAAAACAAAGGGATCCAAGTCTCATATTCTCTTAAAATACTCCCCCAATAACATAAAGACCTTCTGCTAAGCCCACCTCCCCCTAAGCCCCACCTCCCCCTAAGCCCCACCTCCCCTAAGCCCACCTCCCCCTAAGCCCCACCTCCCCTAAGCCCCACCTCCCCCTAAGCCCCACCTCCCTTTAAGCCCCACCTCCCCTAAGCCCCACCTCCCCCTAAGCCCCACCTCCCCCTAAGCCCCACCTCCCCCTAAGCCCCACCTCCCCCTAAGCCCACCTCCCCCTAAGCCCCACCTCCCCCTAAGCCCACCTCCCCCTAAGTCCCACCTCCCCATAAGCCCACCTCCCCCTAAGCCCACCTCCCCCTAAGCCCACCTCCCCCTAAGCCCACCTCCCCCTAAGCCCACCTCCCCCTAAGCCCCACCTCCCCCTAAGCCCACCTCCCCCTAAGCCCCACCTCCCCCTAAGCCCCACCTCCCCCTAAGCCCACCTCCCCATAAGCCCACCTCCCCCTAAGCCCCACCTCCCCCTAAGCCCCACCTCCCCCAAGCCCCACCTCCCCGTAAGCCCCACCTCCCGTAAGCCCCACCTCCCCTAAGCCCCACCTCCCCTAAGCCCCACCTCCCCCTAAGCCCCACCTCCCCCTAAGCCCCACCTCCCCGTAAGCCCCACCTCCCCGTAAGCCCCACCTCCCCGTAAGCCCCACCTCCCCCTAAGCCCCACCTCCCCCTAAGCCCCACCTCCCCCTAAGCCCCACCTCCCCCTAAGCCACATCTTTTGGTTTCTTCCAACTCCTACTAGCATCACCCTTGTGATCAAAACTTTTTAAAATGTTTTTAAAATTTTTTTTTTAATTTAAATATATTTTTAATATTCTTACATATTGATTCCAGTTTCCTCTCCCTCCCACCCTCCCATGCCCCACAACACCCCCTAGTCCCATTTCCCCACCCACTCCACAGGGAGGTGATGCCTTCCAGGCGGGATCAACAAAATCTGTCAAATCATTTGGAGCAGGGACTAATCTGTCAAATCATTTGGAGCAGGGACAGGGCCCTCCCTTCTGTCTCTAGGTTAAGGGGGTATCCCTCCATGGGGAATGTGCTCCCAAAGTCCATTCATGCCCCAGGGATACATCCTGGTGCCATTGTCAGAGGTCACTTAGACTGCCCAGGCCTCCTAAATGAGACCCATGTTCAGGAGATCTGAGTCGGTTCAATGCTGGTTTCCCAGCTATCAGTCTGGGGATTCATGAGCTCCTCCTTGTTCAGGTCAGCTGTCTCTGTGGGTTTCTGTAGCCTTTTCTTTTTTTTTTTTTTCTTTTTTAAAATTTATTTATTTATTTATTTGATATAACCAAGTCCATTTAAATGAAAACAAACATTTATAGACAATATTTGGGAATTTGGGCGTCATTCTTTCCAAACTACTTCCTGCTGGTAAGTAGCGCTGTCATGGGGGATTCTAAGAAGATGCAGAAATCCTGGCTGTAGTCTGTAAGGCTGCTTTGTCCGGCTGTTTGAATGTAGGATCACCTGGTACTCTGTTTCAGGTGGTCTGGCTTGATCAAACCACATTAGTCTGGAAGGAAAACACAGCTTTTCATTTTCTGGAAACAAAAATAGAAATCCTTTTCCCTGACCCCTTTTCTTATCACTCCTCTCTCTCTGCAACTGGATACCAGGAGTTCAGCTCATTGTTTAGCTGTGGGTGTCTGTTTCTGTTTCCAACAGCTACTAGATGAGGGCTCTAGGATGGTGGATAAGTTAGTTATCAATCTCATTATCAGGGAAGGGCATTTAAGGTAGCCTCTCCACTGTTATTCAAATTGTTAGTTGGGGTAATCCTTGCAGGTCTCTGGACATTTCTTTAGAGTCAGTTTTCTCTTCAAACCTACAATGGCTCCGTCTATTATTGTATCTCTTTTAACATATTCTGTTAGTCAGCTTCCCATCACTGTAGCAGATACCTGAGAAGATCAGCATTGAAAGATCCCAGCTGTAATTTGTTTTAAAAGTTTTTAAGGTTTCAGTCTATGGTGTGTTAATCCAGTGTGTGTGTGGGGGGGGCAGATAACAAAATATCAACATTAAATTAAGATATATGAGAAAAGGAAAAGACATGTTGAATAAGAGAAGACACACATGATACTAGCAAGTGGTTTATGTTCAGAATATTTAAAGGACTCACATCATTAGAAATTTGCTCTTGTAATTTAAAACAATGAAACAAAAACACTTGTCACTTTATGGGGAAAGTGATATTCAGAAGGCTAACAAACATGTAAGTGGTGGGAATCAAACCTGGGGCCTCTGGAAAAGCAACCAGTGTTCTTAACTGCTGAGCCATCTCTCCAGCCCCACTACATTTCTTTTTAAATAATACATCAAAAGTGGAGATAAAATGAAACCATAAAAGGGCTGTGAGATGGCTTAGTGGTTAAAGCTGCATACCTTCATGCCTGATGACCAGAGTCTAGTCCTCAGAAACTGTGTTAGAAGAAGAGAGCTGACCTCTTCCACATTGTCTTCTGACCTACACACATGTTCTATGGTACACATGCACATACACACCACATACATACAAATGAATAAATGAATTAAAAACAGAAATAAAAAATTCTCCACTAACTGAGTATTGTGGCATATTCCAATAATTCTAGCCACTAGAGAGGCTAAGGCAGGAGGAATGAGAGCTCATGGTCAGCCTGGAAAACTTAGAGACCTTGTCTATTAAACAGAAAAATTAAAGGACTGGGAATACAGTTTGGTGGCACAGTACCTGCTAATAGTATCAGGTCCAGTCCCTAGTACTATTACAATACATACTTTAAAAATCTGTGATGGTTAGTATTGGTTACAAACTTAATTGGAGCTGGCATCAACTAAGCAATATGTCTTTGGCTATATTTGTGAGGGTGTTTTCTCTGAGGATTAGCTGCAGGAGGTAGGACCTCTAATCCAGGGTGGGAAGCACACTCTAGCAGTGGCCCAAGTTTAAAGATATTTGAGGGACAATTGGTGCCTTCCCACCTGTTAGTAAGTGAATTGTTGCTGCTGCTGCCATCCTTTACTAACACAAGAACCCAACTTCATTGCTTTTCCATTGTGGTAATGAAGACCAGCACTCCAGGAATCCCCCAGGTCCTTATCTCTAGATAGGACTGCTGAGTGTTGTGGAACGAGCAGACTTCCCAACATGCAGACAGCACTGTCCTCCTCCCTTGTCACAGGCACAGGCATCCAATGGAGGAACATAGGCAGTGTCCGAGGAGACTTTAGCTTTGTTCAGGTGCTGGTGCTGCTCCTGTTGGACTCACTCATGTACTGTCTGATAGGCTTTTCGGTGGACTCTATCTTCTCAGGAAAGTTTGGAATACCTAAGTTTTGGTACTTCCTTGCCAAGGTAAGTTCTGATTCTGTTTTAGAGACAGATATTAAAATTTTTATATTTGTCATCTGTGTTCCTCTGTCTCCCAATGATGTACTAATTGAGATCCCAAACACCAGTAAGTCTTAACCGTGGATTCACCTGCTAACTATCAGCCTGACGCTGCCTGTGGAGTCTTAGCTTCTCTGTACTTGCCGCACAGCTGATGCAGTGGACTTGAACATGAGACAGGGAGGATAGCTTCATGCAGTGTACCTGGCAGTGTCTTCAGATTTGAATATATGCCTGTTGAATACCAGGCTCTGCATTATCCCACAGAACTCCCTCCCCAACATGCTAGAGTTCTCAACACCCTTTCTCAGTTGAGCTGCATTGGTAGAGGGTCCTTTGAGATCTCTATGACCACAGGAGGATGCCAATAGTTGTGTCACAATTCCAGAAATTCACAGATGAAATTTTCCTTACAAATATGAGCCTTTTTGTGCTTAACTAAACTCTCACAGTGGTCTGTGGTGGTCTGCCCAGGGGCTGGGACATCTGCCTTCCTTCTTGGGTTATGAAGAAACAAATACATTGTAACACCAGCATCCCCATCCAGGTCTCACCACCTCTGTCCCTCCACCCCACCCCCAGGGATCATGGCTGATGGTAAGGCAGCTTTCCAAGGACAGTCAGAACCTGGTCATAAGGCCACTTCCTTAGATCCTCTTTTAGTGCTGGGGATTATAGGCTGAAATGCCACTGACCTGTAATGCATCCATCAGTGAGCTGATAACTTCTCCAGGTGCCATTAAATAATTGATTCAACAACTAACTCTCTGTGGGGCAGATGTCTAATTTGCCAAAATTTATCTTCCATAAGAGAAAAACCACATAAGTGGTTAGTGTATAAGTTGACTTTTCCTGCAGTGCCTGCCTTGTCTCAAGAAGCCTGTTCCAGTAGTACTGCCACTTCTAGACATTGGGGATCCTGAGAAACCTTCAAGAAGAGAGTTCATGCAGGATGGGCCAACTGATCAAATGAAAGCAATCGAAATCCAACATTTGTATAAGGTATTAGCTTCAAACCTCCTTAGAGGGACTTGAGAAGCAACTCTTTTAAGTTTGTGTTTTATTCTAACAGTGCTTACAGGAATCTTTGGCATCAAGAGTTGTAATTCCCTATGTGATCCTACTCTCAAACATTAGAAACATGGTTTAAAATGCCCTGTTTGCCATCATGAAGTTAAATGGGAAGAGTGTTGATCTGTTTGTTTGTTTGTTTGTTTTTGAAACAGTGTCCTCTCAACCTCCGTTGGAGATAAGCCAGAATGCAGCCATTTGATGGATAACATATCCACCAAATCAAAATGTAAACCAGATCTCACTGTTTGCTTCTAGAAATAGAAACAGGCAGTGGTTCTTCTATAGGTGCTTGCAGAGACTTGCTCCAAACAGGGCCCTGTTTACTAAGGGTTTCTGCAACATGGAATAATCTCAGTGTGTACAATACCTACAAAATGTGGTTGTCTGTTTGAACTCTCTGGTCTTCAACTATAAAAGAAAGCAGTGGGACCTTCTCTACTTCCTTGGTATTGTCACCTTAAAACTCTAACTCAGCTGAGTGTGGTGGTACAAGATTTTAATCCAAGCACATAGTAGGCAGAGACACGTAGATCTCTCTACTTTTGGGGTCAGCCTGGTCTACAGAGAGAGTTCTAGGCCAGTCAGAGTTATTTAGTTAAAACTGTCTCAAAATGAAAACAAACAAACCACTCAGCCTTGTGTTGCCTTCTACTGGGGTGGGGGAGCATGTGGATTATATCCCAGACCAGGACACTTGTGACTCCTGTCCAGGTTCTCTGTGATAGTAATTAGGTGTCTCCCTAACTTTCTATGGGAATTCGATCTTGTTCTCTCACTCTCTTCAACTAGCGCTCTAGCTCTCTCTTCTAGTAAGGGCTGGAGAGATGGCCCATCAGTTAAGAGCACTGGCTGCACTTCCAGAGGTCCTGAGTTCAATTCCCTGTATCCACATGGCAGCTCACAACTGTCTGTAGCTCCAGTTTCAGGGGATCTGACACCTTCACACAGACAGGCATGCCCAGCAAAACAGCAATGCATGTAAAATAAAGGTAAATAAATCATTAAAAAAGAAAAGTGATCTCTTTATAATATGCAGTCTTGGGGCAGATGGTTCTGTGTGGTTTCAGCTGGTCTACAGAGCCAGCTTACAGCCCTTTCTGACTGAGTATCATATAATAATTGCTTTTCCATATCACGAGATTTTCTGACTGCAAGATGGCTGGAGTAAGTAGCTCATTTGTGGTGAAAGAGCAGGTTAGAATGCTTCCTTTGCCGTTTCTTCTCCTTCTTTTCTCCCTTACTTCCCTTGACTTCCTCTTAGCAGACTACTTGTTATCCTTGTCCAGAACTTGGTCACATGGGCACCTCTACAGAAAAGGAGACAGAAGTTAAAGAACAATATTGTCACACTTGCTTCAAAACATAGAGATCAAACAGGACCGGGGAGTAGGGGGTGTGTGCCAATCTTTCTATAATTCCTCTTCCAGGCACCATTAGGTGACTTGTGAAAACTGACATCTAAGTCGCAGCCAGCCAATAGGGTCTGCATTTCATACCCAAAGTACAACCCAAATACCATTAGATGGGATAGAAATATTCTAAATATGACACTAAAATGTGATTGCTGTCTCTGGTGTGGCATTATAGGGTATTTTTGCTTTCTTCCTTATTCTTTTTGAGGGGGGTGGGGAGGTTTATTTATTTATTTATTTAATGTTTATGAGTTCTTGCTGCAGTCCAGAAGGCAGCATTATAGATGGCTGTAAGCCACCATGCCACCAAAAGGTTGTTGGGAGTAGAACTTGGGACAGCTAAAAAAAAACAGCCAGTGCTCTTTCTTTCCAGTCCTCTCCCTGCTTGATGAGCTTTCAAAGGAAGTTGATATGGATATGAAGCTTGCCATACTCCTTAGAAACTCCTCTGTGTGTGGTGTCACCCTGCCAGTCACACCCTAACTTTCCCACAGGTTTTTTATAGGGGAAGGAGTAAACGCATAGCAGTCAAAGATCTGAGCATGAACCTGTATAAGGGACAGATCACTGTTCTCCTGGGACACAATGGAGCAGGGAAAACCACGATCTGCTCCATTCTTACAGGTACCTGTGTGGGTCATTTGTACAGAGGAAGCCCTTAATAAATCGTTTCACAGATCTAGATTTTGGACTTTCTGTTAAATTTCATTGACATTTCACTATTAAACATGGTTTGTTATTAATTGTACCATCTTGATAGTATCTGGTTGTATATAGTTAGAGTTCAATAACTGTACTAAGAAAAGGAAATCTTTGCCTCTTTCAGTCAGTCTGCAGAACTCAATTTCATTCACCATGACAAGACATGAACACTCCTTTCTAGATAGAACTTTCCTGTTCAATGTGAGACACTGTTAATTTCTGAACATCTCAAATCTCTCAACAAAAGTATCTTTGGATTTTGATTGCCACTCGTACTTTTAGAATGATACCCATGAGTTATTCTAAAATAACCATCCAGAATAATTTTCATGTTTAAATAATTATTTTACATCCTGTCAATTAAATGATATTCTATGAAATTGGAAGCCTCCCCCAAGAAACATTTATTGGAGTTTTAACACGTATAAAGCTCTGGACAAAATCAAAGGCTTCACACCCAGCTTTGGAGGAGCTCCAAAACCAACACATTCTTACATACAGAATACCACAGAGCTGGGAGCCATGAGCATCTTGGTCAGCCCGCTCTAAGTCTGTCTTCACATGTGAGCATCTTTCGCTTGCTGTTAAAGACACTTGAAGAACAGCACAATTTAGTGACATTTGGTGGAAGGTGCTCTTGGCCATACCAAAAGCTGCTATCAGGATTTTGAAAGCCAAATACATACACATATATAGAGATAGAGATAGAGATAGAGAGATACAGTGTTGTTCCAGACTGGGGACTGAACCCCACAATTTCCTGTACAGAGGTACAGTAGTATTACTAGGGTAGTTAGGGGGTAGTAGACCTCAACATGTTAGGTTGAGGAAGCCATCTCCCCCAGTCGTAGTGTGTGAAATTCTCACTGCTGGAAAAGAAGCTCTCTGTACCCCTGGGCTAAGTGTCAAGGAGGCAAGTCAGATACTGGATTGTCAAGGAAGGCCATGAGTCTTTTACTTTACTCATTGTTCCCTGTTATAATCCCTTGTTTGTGACCAGGATTCCTCCACGTCCATATTTTGTTTGCCTATATGTTTATGTATATGATATTTCTCATTCCCTAAGAAACTGCCCTGTTTACATCTGGACACACAATGCCACAACAATGTATTTGCATAGAATACACACTCAGTTTCATTAACTAAAAGGCTGAATTGCAAATACTGTCAAAATGGCAGCTATGCATGTAGTATCACTGAAGCTCTCTCACAGAAATCGAACAAAATGACACAACACACAAAAAATTTAACTCTGGCCTGGTGAAAGGGATACCACTAGGTGACATATAATAGTATTCACGAGCTCTGGAGATATTCAGTGTAGAAGCAAAGTCTGGCTGCTTCCCCAAGACATTGGCTAGCAAAGGATTTCCACCATAATTTTTATTTTCAGATGTGATCTATTGTGTAGCTCAGTCTGGCCTCAAGTGCCAAGTGCTAGGATTATAGGTATGTGCCAACTCCATACTATATTTTTTGGCAGAAAAAGACCCCAAACTTTATGTATTATAGACTTTGTTTTCCTACTTTGTGAAGTTTTGTGTTTCATCTGAAATTATTTAATTCTTCAATTATTATAAATCGACATAAACACTTTCTTCCTTTTTTTTTTTTTTTTTTTTTTTTTTTTTGGTGTTTTTGGAGACAGGATTTCTGTGTATGGCCTTGGCTGTCACTCTGTAGACCAGGTTGGCCTCAAACTCAGATATCCTCCTGCCTCTGCCTCCTGAGTGCTTGGATTAAAGGCATGTGCCAACCACTGCCCAGCATAAAGACTTTTTATAATTATTCTAGAGTAATGACACCTTTTACCCTTGGGATGTGAATGTGAGTGCCTGTGGCTGTGGGTGTGTGGATGTGTGTATATGGAAACCAGAGGTCAACTTCAAGTGTCATTCCTCAGAGCTGTGCACCTTGTTTTGTGGACAGGTTCATTCACAGGGGCCTGAGGCTCACTGACTAGCCTGACTCTGCCTCCCCAGCAGTGGAATTATGTGGGCGCTGAGGATTGGACTCAGTCCTCATGCTTGTGTGCAAGCACTTTATCAGCTATCTCCCCAGATTCTCTACCTTCTACCTTTAAAAATGATTGATTTTTAGTTATATGTATGCATGGATGCCTGTGCATAGGTATTTGCATGTGAGTTCAGTTGCCTGCAGAGGCTAGATCTAGATTGTCTAGAGCTAGAGTTATAGTTGGTTGTGAGCTCAAAACTGAATTTGGGTGCTCTATAAAAACAGTATGCAGCCAGGCAGTGGTGGTGCACACCTTTAATCCCAGCACTCAGAAGGGTGAGACAGGTCTGGTCTACAAAGTGAGTTCCAGGACTGACCCCAAAGATATACAGGGAAATCCTGTCTCGAAAAACCAAAAAATAAAAATAAAAATAAAAGAAGAATAATATGCGTTCTTAATATCTGAGCCATCTCTCTGGTCCCTGGGTTCTGTCTCAATATTTCTATTCTACCGTATAGTTTTCCTTTGATGAGGAAGCCTATGGGAAGGCAGCAGCGGTTGCTCTCCTAATATACCTGCCTCATCCTGGTCTTCCACACTGAGCCTGTTTTTGCGGAATTTGCTGTAATGAGGAGAAGTTTGTTCCAGTTTGTTCTTTCTGGGGAGCAAAGGGCTCAATGCCTGGGATGCAGCTTTCCCACATGTAGAGGACCATAGAAGGATCTCTGAGCCATCGGTGCACACGTGTGTGCTGCACCTGTTGCAGCAACTAGGGCTCCATGGTGCCAGGCTCCTGAGGACACACTAACGTTTAAAGGCAGCTTGACATTTTGAGTTTGGGATCTTTTCTCTTGTTAGCTCAAGTGTTGAGCTGCACAGCTGTAGAAGGCACTTATTTTAGTCTCAATTCCATGGGTTGGGGAGCTCAGTGTACTCTGATTTGGTCTTCACAGTTGGAGCTGGGTCACCTGATACAGTAGGTGTTTGAAGCAGTTTTACTTGTAAATTAATTAATAGTATCTTTTGGCCTTGAGATGAGTTCTTAGGAGTGGAGGAGATAGCTCCATTGTAAAGTAAGCAAGTACCGTGCAAGTATGACTTAATTCAATCCCTAGCATCCATTGCAATCCCAGTGCTGGGGAGGGAGAGACAGGAGAATCCCTGGGGCTCACTGGCCAGCAGCTTAACCTAATCAGCAAGACTCAAGTCCCTGTTAAATGAGCTTGTCTCACAAAACAAAGTAGACAGTTCCTGAGGAATGACACTTGAGGTTGACCTCTGGTTTCAGCATACATGTACTCACATACACATTAACAATCGCCACAGAGGCCAAGGAAGGTGTTGGATCTCTTGGTGCTGAAGTTATAGCGAGTTGTGAACTACCTTATGTGGGTACATAAGTGTAACAGCTCTGAAGGGAAAATGCAAGTGTTAAAGGTCTGAGGGAAAAGGCATTCTGGTAGTCAGGAACTAAGAAATACCACAAAGTCACACCACACAACAAACCTTACACAAGAGATTTATTGGGAAAGACAAGAAGGTGGCTGCCTCTTCTCTATTGAGAATCAACAAGGAACTGAGGAAGAGACAGGCTTTATAGGGTTTGGGGGGAGGGCAGAGCTTTCCAGGGTGGGAATTGGTGGGATTTCAAGCCCTGAAATTTATGTTGTAGAACAGAGCTTGGTCGCCTGCATCTTGAGGGACTGAGTCAGGTCATTGTGGCCTTTAGAGTGTTTTGTGGGCAGAGCCTGGTGGTTGAAGGTTCCCAAGAGTGGGGCTTGGCCACTGTCCTGATTCAAGGGGCTTATAGGTAATAGGAACTGAATTTAGGTCCTCTGCAAAAGCAGTATGTGATCTTAAATGCTGAACTATTGCTTCAGTCGTCCTTTACCTTTCATTCCCCAGATAATTTTGTATACTTTATTAGTAACAGCCAAAGTGGAAGATCTAGTTTGGAAGAGAGTATCAAAACCTTTTAAAATGTTGTCCCCCAGGAGTGGAGGTTGGAAAAATGGCCTAGTGCTTAGGAGCACTTGTTGCTCCTCCAGAGGACACAGATTCAATACCCACCACCAAGGAGGCTGGCTGTCTGTAACTACAATTCCAAAGAATCTGTGCCCTCTTCTGGTTTCCATGTGTATTGCATGCATGTGATGCACAGACACTCAGGCAAGACAGCAGTATCAAACAAAACAAAACAAAACAAAAACCACCTTTTTAAAAAATAAAATAGCCAGACTTGATGGCACACCCCTTTAATTCCAGATCAGGGACAGAAGCAGGTCAATCTCTGTGAGTTCAAGGTCAGCCTGGTCTACAGAGTGAGTTCCAGGACAGCTAGGGCTATTACACAGAGAAACTGTCTCAAAAATCCAAGACAAACAAACAAATAAAAATCTTACCTTTCTTATAGGACCTAACCAAATCCAGCTATATTGTCTTAGAATAAAAAATATGGCATGAGTTTAATCTTTGCTACGTTTTATGTTTATACTTACAGAAAATCACAAATACTTTGTGACAATGAAATATTTTTAGCTCTTAAAAATGCTGCAGATCTGGTCTGGTAAAAGCAATTGCCATCAAGACTGAAGAGCTAGGTTCAATCCCCAGAACTTTTGTGGTAGAGGGAAAGAACTGACCCAAGTCTTTCTCTGCCTTTACATGTAGTAGGCACCCCCTACAGCAGATACACACACACACACACACACACACACACACACACACACACACACACACACACATATGAATGAATGTGTTTCTACAAACAATGCATTTCTAGCTATGAGTAATGCTACATGCCTATAAAGCTGGCAGTCAAGAGTTTGGCCAACATAATCAAACTTTGTCTCAAAAGAAAAGGTTACATTTTTTGTAGAAAAATTGCCTGAATAAATTGTTATACTAAAAACAGACAACAAAAACAACAAACACAAAACAGTTAAGCAGAGCTTCTTAATACATGCCTTGAGGGCCAGACTGGTCTGTAAGAGATAGTTTAAGCCAGTTTGTGTTGTACAGCAAAGCAAAGGTCTACCTAGCATGCATAGAGACTCTGTCTCAAACAACTAGAAACCCACAAAACAGAAAAGGTTATTTAAAAAAACAAAATAAAACAAAATAAAAAATGGAATGGGGCTGGAAAGATGGCTCAGATGTTAAGAGCACTGGCTTTTCTTCTAGAGGTCATCTATAATGAGACCTGCAGGCATACACGTAGGTAGAACACTGTATACATAATAAATAAATCTTTAAAAGAATTTTAAAAAACAGAATAGGACAACCAGTGTGGAAAGCAGAAGGCAGGCAGATCCCTGTGAGTTCCATGTCAGACTGGTCTATAGATTGAGATCCAAGACAGCCAGAGCTACACAAAGAAACTCTGTCTTCAAAAACCAAAATCCAAAACCAAAAAACCCCATAATTTATATTTTCCTAATTTATTATAAAAATAATGCATGTGGTTGGGAATTTAGCTCATTGGTAAAACTCTTACCTAATACCACAACAAATATAAATAAACAAAATGTGTATAAAATTATGTAAGGCAATATATCAAAATGGTAACTGTAGTTATCTTTTCATGGTGGAACTTATTAAGCAACATTTGTTTCTTTTCTTTTTCTTTTTGTTTTCTTTTTTATTGTTATTGTTTTTCAAGATAGGGTTTCTCTGTGTAACAGCCTTAACTGTCCTGGAACTAGCTCTGTAGACCAGGCTGGCCTTGAACTCACAGAGATCCACTGCTTCTGCTCCCCGAGGGCTGGGATCAAAGGTGTGCGCCACCACTGTCTAGCCTGTTTGTTCCTTCCTTCCTTCCTTCCTTCCTTCCTTCCTTCCTTCCTTCCTTCCTTTCTTTTTTAAAGTAAATTTTGTTGTTGCTAATTGCTTGTTTGTTTGTTTGTTTGAGATAGGATTCCTTGCGTAGCCCTGGCTGTCCTGTAACTAGATCTGTAGACCTGGCTGGCCTAGAGAGATCTGCCTGCTTCTGCTTCCCAGTGCTGGAATTAAAAGGATACACCACTAACAACAGCACCACCACTTAGTTTAAGATATTTTTTCTATGTATGTAGTGTTTCGCCTGCATGCATGTACGTATGTATGTGCCTGGTGTCTGCAAAGGCCAGAAGAGGGTGCTAAATCTCTTGGAACTGGAGTTATTGACAGTGTAACCCACCATGTGAGTTCTAGAGACTGAACCCCAGTTCTCCAGTGACAAGTGATCTTAACCACTGAACCAGTCCTCCAGCCTCTTTCTTTGGTGATAATTTTTACTCCTTTTTCTGAAACTTTTGTGATTATCATTCCTGTCATTCTAACAAGAATAAAGATAAAGATAGTATGTAGGAAGTCAGGCTGCCAAGTTGCATACTGGCTTACATTTGTCAGTAACTTCACTCACTCATTCATTCATTCATTCATTCATTCATTCATGGAACAAATATTTATGGGCAATAAGTCATACCTTGTCTTTGTGAGGATCATATTTCAAAACTATTAGATTCCCAAAGTTCTTTTTTTTCCACAATATTTACTAAGCATACAAATTTACTATGATCCCTGCAGTAATGTGATTTACTTTGCAAATGCCTATATTATTAAATTCATTTAGCCAGATTGGAATTGCTCAAAAGCAGGAAGGGTTTTTCCTGTCTCTGATCTTTCCTGCATGTCCTCAAGTGCTATCACACATAGAACATACATTCCTGGGCTGCTGCTGATTGGCTGATGGCGGCAAAGGAGAATAAGGGCAGTCTATGGGAGAACAAACAGCAAGAGTGATTGTTCTGCCTTCATACTCTTGCAGCCTCTGCCTGAAAATGACTTTAAGGTGTCTTTTCTGTTTGGTTCTAGGTCTTATTTCTCCTTCAAAGGGAGAGGCATATGTCAATGGGTATGAAGTTTCAAAAGACATGGTTCAAATTAGGAAGAGCCTGGGCTGGTGCCCACAACATGACATTTTATTTGATAACTTTACAGTAACCGACCATCTTTTTTTCTATGGGCAGGTGAGTTGGTGGATGATGTGTCTGTGTCCATTCATAGGAATGGTGAGAAAGACTACAGCTCTCTGATTCATTTTGAGGAGTCCTTTTAAGAGAACACATATAAGTTTCTCAATATTCTGATACCAAATATGGGAAGGCAGTTTCCCATCTAGTCCAATTCTCTACACACTGGGTGTCCTATGATTCATTTCCAATGCTACCTGGAGTTAGAATAACTCTCCCTTCCAGTTCAAGCACCCACACAAGACTTTACCCCACTTCAGATGTCACTGTAAATCCCAAGTTGTTTCCATAGCACACTCCTCAGGTTCGATGTTTTCTGTGTCTGCTCAAAAAACTCAGGAAAACATTTACTTAGTGACCATTTCATTGCACCAAAAAGTATGGACACAATGAAGCAAACAGAGCAAGGTCTTTGGGAAGGCACCTCCATGCTTCTTAGAGCACAAACCCTTCTAGCTTTTCAGTGCCTTTATCATCCCAAAACCTCAAACTTAGAAGCTTAGGATTTTTTATCCAAGATTTATTATGTAGATATGGTGAGTTATTTATCCAGTTTCTCTGAAGGATGGGGAAGAGAGCTTCAGACCATGGCTTAGTCTTTCTGTTGACCAGCCCCAACTCCAAAAGCTATCTGGTGGCATTCTTAGAGTCACCTCTAAGAATTAGAACAAGAGGCCATCCTTTCATTCAGATAATTCTAGGGAATTAAGGTACTCTGTGTAGAAAGGAAAATCAAGTGCAAAATTAAAAATCAAATATTAGGATAAAGGACACTTCTAGAATCCTTATCAATTTTTATATTTAAGTCTTTAATTTTTATTGAGATAAAATTCACATCACATAAAATTTGTTGTTTCATTATTTTTTATTTGTTTTGAGACAGAGTCTCACTATGTAGAATTTGGCTAGCCTGGAACTTGCTGGTAGACTAGGCTGGACTCAATTCACAGGGATCTGCCTCCTAAGTGCCAAGATTAATGATGTTCGCTACAGTGCCCAAAAATATTTCTATTAAGCCTTTGAGAATTTCATGCAATGAATTTGTTCATATTCACAAGAGTTGCATGTATAAACTCATAGCAATTATGACAGCATGTACAAGACGGGTGCAAGCTCAAGCCAGACAAAATCCCGGCACAGAGGTGGGGAGGCAGGCATGAAATCCCACTACTTGGTTTTTTTGTTTTTGTTTTTGGTTTTTTTTTTTTTTTTTTTTTTTTTTTTTTTGACATCCTGACTATGTTGCATCATGGAGACATTCTTCTCAGGGTATGTCTATTTGAAGTTCTATGTACCTCTTGTGTTTGGATATCTACTTCTGTTTGGAAAGTTTTCTGCTATAATTTCATTAAATAATCTCTGTTCATTCTTCTATACCATGAATTATTGTGATTAACTTTTTAAAAAATGTATCCCAGAATGCTTGGAAATTTTATTCATGCTCTTTAGTTTCCACCCCTTTATCTGTCCGGTAGTATTTTTATCTCTACTTGGTCCTCCATCACTGAAATGTATCCTTATATTTGGTCTTGTTTGTTAATGATGTTATTCAAGTATCTCTGTTTAGTTCTTTTTTACTGTTTCAATATCTTTACTCAGATTTTCTCCATATTTTGCACTTTTCCTCCAGTTTACTATCTTATTCACTTTGAAGACTGTGTTGTTAAGATCTTGGATAGATTTCTGAGTTCATGCATCTGTTTGAGTCTTTTGTATGGTCATTAATTCTTTTAAAAAGTAAGGCTCTAAATTCTTTCTCAGACATTTTACCTATGTCTGTAGTTGTGGATTCCCTTATAAATAGGAGCTGTCTGATTGGGAGTGAGTTATGCTGGCAGTTGGATTATATTCTTTGTTTTGTTTTATGTATCTATTACAGTGGGATTGTCTCTAAGTTTTGACTTCCCCTTCTGCTGAGTTTATCTGGATGTTTTATTTTCTGTGACTCTTCCTAGAGGGATATGTACATGGGACTTGCAGCTGATTGTTGGATGGTGTTATTGAGGCAATTTCATCTTGGCTGTCTGCCAACAGGACCAATGGTAGCCACAAGACAACCAGATGTAGTCAAAACCAGTGAACCCACTGGATATCAAACATCAAACTCACTGAAACCTATGTACTCCCTGGAGGCTGAGGTTAGAGCCACAGACCTGAAATAACTTTTAGAACCACAGCAATAAGATTTCCTCCAGTCTTGCAAGGAGTCTTGGAGCCTCAGAAGTCAAAACCACATACTCACACTGACCATAGGGACCACTGGAACCAAAGCCCCAATATCTCAGGGAACTCTGAGCACTCTGGAGCTGAAGCTCATACCCTGTACTGGCATATAAGGCCACGGGGACCGGAGGCCTGTTCCTATATTGCTTCCAGATCCCCCTGCTAGAGCTGGGCATCTAGGTGCTCTCAGGACTTCTGGAGAAGGCCTGTTCCTTCAATGCCCTTGAGCCCACTGAAGCCAGAGGCCTGATCCCTTAAAGTGTAGAGGCTATTTGTATACGTCTTTGAAGAAATCTTTCTCCATATCCTTTTTAAATTTTTCAGTTGAGCTGTTTATCCTTTAGTAATTTAGTTGTGAGACATTTTTATTAGGTGCCATATTCTAAACCTCTGTCAAATATAAATGATCTGCAGAAACTTTCTCTATACATGCACACGTAAAATATATAAATCTAACAAAGAAAAGACTCTTTTTTATTGTTTTGTTTTTTAAGACAGGGTTTCTCTGTATTGCTTTGGAGCCTGTCCTGGAACAATCTCTGTAGACCAGGCTGGCTTTGAACTCACAGAGATCCCATCCCCTTGCCCATGCCTCCTGAGTGCTAGGATTAAAGGCGTATGCCACCAATGCCCAGCAAGACTCTTTTCGTAGCAGAACATAGTGGCACATTCTTGTAATCCCAGCACTAAGAAGGCAGAAGGATTACTGCAAGCTTGAGACTACCTAGTAAATCTACAGAGCAAACACCAGGCTACCAGGGATGGATAGGCTTAGTGAGATATTCACTTTGTCTCCTTCTGTGGCACTGACCACGCCCATTGGGGGGTGGAGCCAGTGGCGGAAGGGACCAGTGGAACGAAGTCTGAGGAGGAGCCAGGAACACTCTGGCTGGCTGGACTGAGAGGAGAGCATCAGGTGGAACTTGCTGGTGTTCATCTGTCTAGGTTGTAAGTTATTTCTCCCTGAATAAACATCTATTCAGCCTATTTGTTTATCCTGATCCTTATTAAACCGTAATAGATAGGAAGAGTTTATCGTTTAAAAACACTTTAATCTCCTTTTGTCCTGGAAAGGGCATCACTGTTCTCAAATCAAAGTTTATTCCACTTTTCTGTATGTCTTTGTAAAATTATCTTAATATCATATTCCTGTAGCTTTACAAGAAGTGCTGAATCAGAAATTGTGGTTTCAAAAAGTCTTCCAACTTGATTCTTGTCTTCAAGACTGTTTTGATTATTTTGACTTCATTGAATTTCCATATGTGTTTAGGAACATGAGTTTTACCCATTTCTACAAAAAAAAAAAAAATCAGTATTTTAAGGGCTATCAGAATTTTGATAGGAATTGAATTTGTACTGTTCTTGGAATAGTAATGACATTTTAACATTACTAATAATACTAAAGTTTCCAGTCCTTGAATATGAATGTTTCTATTTATTTGGTCTTCTGTAACTTCTTTCAATAATGTTTTTATTGTTTTCTGTGTACAATTTTGATTTTACATGGTTAAATTTAGTCTTAAATATTTTTGTGATGCTAATGTAAACAGACTGTTTTTAGATTGTTTATTGCTAGTATAAAAAGACACAAACTGTGGGTGAGGGATGAAGCTTAGTTGATAAGAGTGCTTGCCTAGCATGTCTGAGGCCGGGGGTTCAATGCCCAGCACCATGGAAAATCAAGTGTGGTGGTAGAGACAGGAAGATCAGTAATTCAAGGTCATGCATAACATGGTGTACCCAATATCAGCCTGAATCACATGCCTCAAAAACAAAACAAAACAAAACATGGGCTGGGAGATAGCTTAGTTGGTAAAGTATTGGAAAAGCCACCCATAAAAGTTGAACATAATCTGTTATCCAGGTCTGAAGTGAGGTGGGGAAGGCTGGGGGTGGTTTTGTAAGTGAAATGGAATAGGTGGATCCCTGGTGCTCACTGGTTTGCCAATCTAGCCAATGGGTGAACTCTAGATTTAGTGAGAGACCTTGTCTCAAAAGGTAAGATGGAAAAACAAAGCAGAAAGAGAACAAAATGCACACAAAAATGGTAAGGTGGAAGGCAACAGTGGAAGACACCAGCATCAACCTCTAGCCTACATATATACATGCACATGTGTACATGCATACACTCGCATACGTGCTCACATGAGCATGTACATGCACATGTACTAACCTCTAGCCTGCATGCACATGTGTACATGCATGCATTCACATACATATGCATATGTTAAACACATGTGCAAGTACAAGCACACACAGGAACAGGCATACAGATACATAGATATACACACAGATGAATAGACAGACAGGCAGACACAAACACACAATTGCAGAAATACAAACTTGTACAAAGCTGGCTTTTCAGAGCGGAACATCTCCTTCGTGTGACCTCTAGTATGACCTTAGGATCTAGTGGTAACAAAGATGCTCCTGTCACTTGGGAAGTTCCAAAACTCAGAGAGTCCTTGCCAGGAACCAGGGACAAAGGCTATATAAATTAATTACTATAAAACAATGACTTTTTAAAGCAATGTGGTGATTGCATGTGCCTTTAATCCCAACACTCAGGAGGTAGAGGCTGGCAGATATCTGAGTTCAAGGCCAGCCTGATCTACAAGATGAGTTCCAGAGTACACAGGGAAGCCCTGTCTTGAAAAACCCAACCAACCAAACAAACAAACAAAACCAGCGATTTTTTAAAACATATGTTGAAAAATCCCACTTAATTATAATGTGGGTTTTTTTTAAGAGTTCTGTTCGTTTGTTTGTTTAACACAGAGTTTTTCTGTGTGGCCCTGGCTGTCCTAGAACTCAGATACTCCAGCCTGTGCCTCCCAAGTGCTGGAATTAAAGATGTGCACCACCACCGACTGGCTCATTATGCGTTTTTATTTTAACATGTTAATGTACTTAATTTTTAAGTCATTTACTGTTAGAAATGGATCTGAGGGCTGGGTGGTGGTGGTTGCCTCTAATCCCAGCACTCAGGAGGCAGAGGCAGGTGGATCTCTATGAGTTTGAGACAAGCCTGGTCTACAGAGTGAGTTCCAGGATAGATAAGACTATACAGAGAAACCCTGTCTTGAAAAGAAGAAGAAGAAGAAGAAGAAGAAGAAGAAGAAGAAGAAGAAGAAGAAGAAGAAGAAGAAGAAGAAGAAGAAGAAGAAGAAATGGATCTGAGTGCCCAAGGTCCCCAAGGCCATGACCACACAACCCAAAGTATTTCCACAAGCAAGTAAATGTACACAGTGGAGGTGCTCTGCCTCAGCTTGAGTGGCCAGAAGCTGGCCTCACATTCTTCCATAGATGACTAATTCAAAACAACACCACTGATAAGCAAAGTGCAATTTTTGAGAACACGGTGCAATTTTGAGCCAGGAAAGTGTTGATTTGATAGGCATGGTACCACACGCCTTTCATTTCAGCACTCGGGAGGCAGAGCCAGGCAGAGCTCTGTGAGTTTGAGGCCAGCCTGGTCTACATAGTGAGCTCCTGGACAACCAGACCCACATAGTGAGATCCTGTCTGAAAATATGGGAGTGGAGGGGAAGTGAGGTGATTCTGCAGAGGTATTTTTGCAAGATGGTATCTTCATAGATTTCTTTAAAGATGGGATTTCCTTTGACTCATTTAACCCTTTGATAGAAAAGTGCATTTCATTTACATTTCCCACATTTATTTATTCACTTACATAGTTCAAATCATCCTTTGTTCCTTTCCCTGAAAATAATGTTTGTTTTTCTTGTCCATATTTTTTGTGTATGAATGAGATGTTAATTAGACATCTAAGCTCCCATCAGTATCACTTGTTTCATTTCCTGCCTTTTAGTTGAAAGGCCTGTCTCACCAGAACTGTCGTGAAGAAGTAGAGGAGATGCTGCACCTCCTCAGTCTGAAGGACAAATGGAACTTGAGGTCCAAGTTCCTGAGTTGTGGGATGAAACGCAAGCTCTCACTTGGCATCGCCCTCATAGCCGGTTCTAAGGTATAGAGCAGGGGTCTGGCTTCTTGATGCAGCCAAGTCAGGCCCCCACACAAGGACAAAGACAAGGTGGTGAGGACATCTTGTCAAATCCCCAGCTGCAGCTGCACAGGGTCCCACAGCATGGCCAGCCAGAACCTGGGATGTGGCTCTGTCCATGTTAAAAAAGCTTCACCTCTGTCCTTGTAGGTGCTGATTCTGGATGAGCCTACCTCAGGCATGGACTCCACCTCTAGGAGGGCCATTTGGGACATTCTTCAGCAGAAGAAGAGTGATCACACTATCCTACTGACGACCCATTTCATGGATGAAGCTGACCTGCTGGGGGACTGCATTGCCATCATGGCCAAGGGGGAGCTACAGTGTTGTGGGTCGCCACCATTCCTCAAACAAAAATATGGTGAGTACTGGGCAGCAGGAGTCCAGGTCAGCATCCATCCTGTGACTGGGTCAGTTCCACTCTCCACTGCCCTTGTGAAGGACTCTGACCCTTGCCGGGCACAGCCTTCCCTAGACTTCCTGTTCTTCCAGTCCAGTGGAAAATCTGTCTCTCTGTCTGTCTGTCTGTCTGTCTATCTGTCTGTCTATCTTATCTATCTATCTATCTATCTATCTATCTATCTTTCTATATTGGTCCTATCTATTTCTCACATTTCTGGCTACATTCTAGCATTCTGGGTCACCCTTTCCTCCTACCTAGGTTATTACAAATGCCTCCCAGCCTATCTCTCTGTCTCTAATCTTACATTTTCTCACTCTGTTGTCAAATTAGTTGTCCAAGTAAGTATGTTCTTATGTTCATAATCCCATGGATCACCCTACTGCCACCCTTACTGCAGTCCTTTATCACTGCTGAGCACTTTGATTTGCCACCATTCATCTCCTAATTATGAAACAGAAGGGAAGACTCTAGAATAGCATTGAAGAGCTTCTGAAGCCAGGTCATTATGGTTTAAATGAACCTTGCAAGATTTCTTTCTCTTTGTCCTAAATCTGTCATTCTGAGATACAGAAAACTAAATATGACCCAAGAATAGTATAAAGAATAAATTGATTTCATAGTCTTTTACATGGTATTTCAGGTGCAGGGTATTATATGACTTTGATAAAAACACCTCTCTGTGACACAGTGAAACTTTCTAGTGTGGTTTATCATCACATACCAAATGCAGTTTTGGAGTCCAGCATTGGAGAAGAAATGATATTCATACTTCCTAAGAAGAATGTGTCCAGGTATGGATCAAGATGCTAACACAGTCCACCGTGGCTACAAAAATCCACATCCTTAACACATGCCCACATAGGCTCAGCATAGGATTCAGGACCCCCTTATCTGAATTATGTCTAGCATAGAATTTGGGTTTAACTCATTGGGATTGGCCCTTCTTGAAGAATTGTGAAATAGAGAGAGATGTTATCTGATCCACATACACTCAAGTGGGCTGAGCATGTAATGGCAATCACAAGAGACATCATTCAGAAACGAAAATAAAGGCAAATAACACATATCAGTCTTCAGCAATTCTATATTCTGGGTGGACATGAGTCTCTATTTTCTGCTTTCTCTGTAACAGAGAATGAACATTGATGATTTTGCGTGGGTTTTGGGGGGTTTTGTTTTGTTTGTTTTTAGAGACAGGGTTTCTCTGTTTAGTTTTGGAGCCTGTCCTGGAACTTACTCTGTAGACCAGCCTGGCCTCAAACTCACAGAGATCCTTCTGCCTCTGCCTCTTGAGTGCTGGGTTTAAAGGTATGCACCACTACCACCCAGCTTCATAAGAGTAATTTTAATCAGCCTTTGACTTCATCCACTGGCTGTCTACTCTGTCTTTTGAATAATTATTTCTGCCTACAAATTTACTGATACAGATGAATAGCTAGCTTCATTTGCTAGATCCTTGACTGTAGAAGAGTACCTAAGCTGGGCTATTGTAAGTACTTTGTAGGTGTCTTCTGTATCAAGTTATGAAACACACCCTTTTAGACTAAAGCCATACTCACAGCATTTAAAACATGTCCTGCCATATCACTTATTCCCAAATACAGTTTTAGTCTTTCCTGTTACTACAGCTGAAAGTGTTGCCAAACCTTCTGCTACTAAATAACAATCTTCTCACTATTCTTTCAGTCCCTGTCTAGACTTCTCTTGAAGCTCCTCTTGCTTGTATCTCACTATCTTGTACCAAAAACATGACTCATATTCTAGAAGTTAGAGGGTTTTTAAAAGTGTCATAATGCTTCTAGTTTCAGGTTCTGGATCAGTTGTATATTATTGAATAACAACTTATCTCAAAAAATTCTGACTTAAAGTGGCAACTATTTTCATTTTTTTTCTTTTTCCTACTACCAGAGATCCAGTCCATGGCCTTGCACATAAAAAGCTAGGGCTATAACTCTGCCCCCAGCAGTTTCTGTCTGTTGGATGTGCTGCACTGAGCTGGATAGTTTTTATGCTCCACATTAATTTTTTTCTGGGTCCAGAATGATCTGGAATATCCAGGATGGCTTATTCTCACATCTGGGAAATCAGTGCTGGGTGCTTACTGGAACTGCTAAGTGTAGCATCCTGTGCTCCTCTAAGTGACTCTCAAATGACCTGGGCTTCTCATAACATGGAAGGTAGAATCCAAGAAAAGGCATCCCAAGAGAGGCTGAAATGGGGACAGTCACTTGTCTTTAGGCCTGGGCTCAGAAATATCAAAATTTCACTTTTGTATTAGATATATTTTACATTTAGTCCCATAGGAACCTTCCAAAGTAAATATTACATGTTAACAAGCTATAGTTGTGAAACTAAGTGATTAATTTGAGATTTGAACACATATCTGCATAGCAAACTCCATGTCTTCTCCACTACAAAGAGCTCAGGATGGTAAAGGATTCCTCTTCCATCTTTCAGAAACAATATTCTTTCTCTTTTAGCTTTGAAGCTTTATTTACTGACTTGGAACAGAGACAGACAGAGCTGGGAATCTCCACTTTGGGAGCCTCTGTCACTGCTATGGAGGAAGTATTCCTACGGTGAGCAAAACTAAGATAACTGGAAGGCTGGGGAGGTGGCTCAAGTGGGTAAGAACACTTGCTGTGCAGGCATGAAGATGGGCTTGCTGGGCAAAAGCCCAGTGATCATCAGGTTCAGTGAGAGAGACTTGTCTCACAGTGCAAGATGGAAAGCAATAGAGGAAGACACTAGACATCTCTCTGTGTTATCAAAAGTATCTACACACACACACACACACACACACACACACACACACACACACACACACACATGACAGCTCCAAAGATCTTAGGGTTGGAAGGAGTCTTACACACCATCCATCTAAACATTACCCAATGCTTTACATTTTTTCCTAATTGTCTTACTGAATGGGCATCTAGCCTCTGAAAGTACTTTTGATCTAATAGGATATTAGATAATAAGAGATTGTGTTAAATGTATTATCATCCAACAGAGATATTTTGGGGAGGGGTGAAACAGAGTCTCTATGTATGACTATCCAAGACCTCTCTATTTAGACCAGGCTGGCTTAGAGCATACAAAGATGTGCCTGCCTCTGCCTTCTGAGTGCTGGGAGTAAAGTATGTACCACCACACCTGTCCTAACAAATTTATTTGTTTATTTTCTTTTCTTTTTTTTTTTCTTTTTTTTTTTTTGTTCTACTTTTGACAAGTACATAGTAAATGTGATTTTTTTTTCTCTCCCATTTTTGTGTGTGTGTGGGGGGGGGACACATATGAATTAATGGTTGGCCCTGGTATTTTCCAAGAGCAGGCTAAAGATTCCAATTTCTTTGAGCCATTGACAAAGATACTGTATTTCAATATCTAGACTGATCATTAAAATAAAACAATTGTAGTACGTAATTTCCAACAAGTATGTATGTAACAGGCTAGAACTTGGTAAGGAGTGCAAGGGTGATTTTATCCAGTCTGACAATTGTCTGTCTTTTGATGTGAATGTGTAGATGTTTATGATTATGCATAAAATATTCAATATTTTTGTTTGTTTTTCTAGACAGGGTTTCTCTGTGGCGTTGGATGCTGACCTGGAACTAGCTCTTGTAGACCAGGCTGGTTTCAAACTCAGAGATCCGCCTGTCTGCCTCCCAAGTGCAGGGACTAAAGGCGTGTGCCACCACCATCCGGCCAAAATATTCAAATTTATAACTGTTATTTTGCTTAGTATGTTCTTCTATTAACAAGTATATATTGGATATGATTTTTCTTTCCCATTTTTTGTTTTTTCCCTATTCTGTTTTCAAACATCCATACATACTTGTTGGATATTATGACTACAATTGTGTATTTTAGTGATCAGCCTAGATGTGGAGATACATACACTATCTTTGTCAAAGGCTCAAAGAAATTGAAATCTTTAGTCTGCTCTTGGAAAAATACCAGGACCTTTAATTCACATGTGTTCACCATTGTCAACTTATATATTATTGTGCATTTTAATTTTGTATGATTTTAGCCTTCATAAAACATTGTTATTGTTGTCTGAGATACAAAATAATTTAGCTTCTCATATTTATCAGTGTTGTTCCTCTGCCTCATGTCTGCTCCATCACTGATCTACATCCCCAGCATTCCTGTAGTAGTTTTATTCTGGTGCCAAGCAGTAGGTGTTTTGTTCTTGTTTTTCAAGATTGGTAACGTTTTTTTGAGACAGGGTCTCACTATGCTGCCCTATGAAGTTCATGTATGTAGACCAGAATGGCCTTAAATTCACAGCTATAACCTGCCTCTGCCTCTGGAGTGTTGAGATGAAAGCTCTCTCTGTGTGTGTGTGTGTGTGTGTGTGTGTGTGTGTGTGTGTGTGTGTGTGTGTGTGTTTATTGGGGGACTGAATTTAGGATGTCATGCATACTAGACAAGCATTGTACCATTAAGCTATATTGTCAGCCCTCTCTCTATTTTAATGTGAAGTAGAGTTTCATTAAGTTGAGTAGGCTGGGTTTAAAGACATGTACCCACTACCTGGCATCACCATCATAATTTTTTCTTATTTTACATATCGATCCAAGTTCCCTCCCTCCCTTCCTCCCATGCCCCCTGATACCCCCTCCCATCCCATCCCCCCCCACTCCACAGAGATAGTGATGCCTTCCATGAGGGATCATCAATATCTGTCAAGTCATTTGGAGTAGGGTCTAGGCCCTCCCTCCTGCCTCTAGGTTAAGGGAGTATCCCTCCATGGGGAATGTGCACCCAAAGTTTTTACATGAACCAGGGATTCATCCTGGTTCCACTGTCAGAGGTCCCTTAGACTGCCCAGGCCTTCTGAGACCCTCTTTCAGGGGGTCTGAGTCAGTACAATGCTGGTTTCCCAGCTATCAGTCAGGGGGGTTCATGAGCTCCCCCTTGTTCAGGTCAGCTGTCTCTGTAGTTTTCTGTAGCTTGGTCTTAACCCCCCCCCCTTTTTTTTATTACTCCTCTCTCTCTGCAACTGGATTCCAGGAGTTTGGCTCAGTGTTTAGCTGTGGGTGTCTGCTTCTGTTTCCATCAGCTACTAGATGAAGGCTCTATGATGGCACATAAGTTATCAGAGACAAGCAAGGCTTCTTCGTAGCAGCATTTTTCATGGTTGGGCTCTTGCTAGAGACAAGCAGAGACTCCTGTGGCTTCTTTAAGGGATGTTTCCTGACTCAGCATAAACAGCAAACCCTGATAACAACTTAATGGTGTGTACGAGAGCTGGCAATGGCAGTGACCACATCTCCAAGCTGGCAGCATGCTGCTTGATGGCAGCATAGACCTAGGCAATGAGCACAGCCAGATAGCATTTTATACTATGTAAGCTTAGAAAATCAGCATATTATATAGGTACTTATGTAAGTACCCAACATGTAACCATTTCAAAATGCAAAACCATTCTAAGTTCAGTACCAGGAAATATGTAGGCCCTGGCTGCTTTTTTAGGCAGGGTTTCTCTGTGTAGCTTTGGAGCCTATCCTGGAACTAGCTTTTATAGACCAGGCTGGGGTCTAACTCACAGAGATCTGCCTACCTCTGCCTCCCAAGCGCTGGGATCAAAGGTGTGTGCTGCCACCATCCAACTAACCAGCACTTATTAAAATCTTGGTCTGTAATCTTTTGTTTGTTTGTTTGTTTGTTTGTTTTTGCTTTTTAATCTGGCTTGGTTTTTGGAAGCAGGTTTTCTCTGCTTTTTTATTTTTTGATACAGGTTCTCTCTAAGGCTGTCCTGGAACTCACTCTATAGAGAGAGAACTCTGGCTGTTCTGGAACTTGCTCTGTAGACCAGGCTGGCCTCAGACTTAGAGATCTGTCTGCCTCTGCCTCCTGAGTGCTGGGATTAAAGGCATGCACCACCAATGCCTGGCCCATTTTCTGTAATCTTAATGGTGCAAGTTTTTTTATTTTTATTTTATTGCTTGTAAGATTAACTAATACATCATTTGGTTTAATTTTCATATAGTACTTTTCAAAACAAAATAACATAATCAAATCATGAAAAGACAATGGCGTTTTAATGAAATGCTCAGTGCTTATGAAAGATCATGCTATCCATTATACAACTTAGACATAGCCTCTTTTGCCGTCATTATTTTTATTCTAGCTTATCTTTCCAAACATTATATGAATTTCATTGTTTAAACACAAATGAAATGTATTTTGATTTTGAGACTTTGTATTTGCTTTGGTTTAGAGTTTGTAAGTTGGCTGATTCTACCACAAATATCTTAACTGAGAAGCGACCCTCTATCCATCCTCATCCCCGAATTCACAGAGTTCCTGTTGACAGAATTAAATATCTTCACTCAAGGATCTTCTCAATGAAGACTGGCCTGCCAATCAAACTAAATACTGGAGTAAGCAGCATATTTTAAATATGTGTGGAAAATGTGATTTAATAAATGAAATCATGCTATCATTCTACCAAGAGCTGGGTTTAGGCTGGGTGTGGTGGCGCACACCTTTTCTCCCAGCACTCAGGAGACAAAGGCAGACAAATCTCTGTGAGTTTGAGGCTAACCTGGTCTAAAGAGTGAGTTCCAGGACAGCCCTAGAGAGAACCTGTATCAAAAAATAAAAAAGGGGCTTGAGAGGCTGAAGCAAGAAGATGGGCTCATGGCCAGCCTTGGCTACCTGTAGAGAGCCTTCACCAATAAACTAAGATAAAGAGTGGGTCTATCAGGCTTCAGCAGTATTACACAGCCTGCTCTAGTTCAAAGGCAGAAAGGTCGTAAGGTTACTATTGTTGTGATGAAACACCATGACCAAGGCAGCTCAAAAAGAAAGCATTTAACTCATAGGAAACCTGCCCTTTTCTGGATGGAGACAGAAGGGGGTGGGGGTGGGAGGGAGAGAGACTGGGAGGGGAGGATGAGAGGGGAGGCTGAATCTGGAATATAAAATAAATAGAAGAATTTTTAAAAAGCATTCAGTTGGGGCTTTCATACAGTTTCAGAGGGTTAGTTCATCTCTATCATAGCTGAGAGCATGGCAGCAGGCAGACAGGTATGGCCCTGAAGTAGTAGCTGACCGCTTACATCCCAATGTGTAGACAGGGGCAGAGAGAGAGAGAGAAAGAGAGAGAGAGAGAAAGAGAGAGAGAGAACACCTCAGTGGCACACACTCCCTGACAAGGCCACACCTCCTAGTCCTTCCTAAGCAGCCACCATCTAGGAACCAAACATTCAGAAATACATTGAGCCTATGGAAGCCATTTTCATTCAATCCACCACAAGAGGTAATTAACCAATAAAAGAACAATATCCAAAAACATCCCAGCAGAGGTCTGGCCATTTTTCATCTGGTAAGAGATTGAAAGAACTACTTGTACTGGCCAGAACCCATAGCTTTTGCATTGTGCAGTAAGTTATGTGTTACAGCATCTAGAATTTAAGTTTTAAAAAGTGTATTTATAATCCCAGCTTGTGTGAGGATGACAGAGGAGGACCCTAAGTTTGAGACTAGCTTGGACTTTCTAGGGAGACCTTTTGTAAAACAAAAAAAAAAAATTTACTTGTATATATACATATGTCTATGAAATGAGATATCTATGATGTTTTCTTAATATTGGAAAATAATATTGATATATAGTTTGTTAAGTATTTTTCACTTAGTATTAATCACATAGTAATGGGAAAATCATAATCCAAAAAGCCAGTTTCTGGGGTTGGGGGTCAACCATCTGCCTCTTAAAATCCTTAGCAAAGCATTATCTGTTGCCATGTGGCCATGGTATGCTTTTGAAGGCAACTTCCCTAGGCTTCTTACAAAGTACTTCTATGTCTGTCCTCAGTGTAGTTGTAGTTGTAACAGATCTTTGGAGAACTTTGAAGGTGAGTGTCCATCACATCAAGGACAGTGACTTGTTGGTATTTTTGGTCAGGAATCTGGAATGCCTGATTAAATGAGGCCTTTCCACAGGGGCTTCTAGGCAAAGGTTGTATGTGTAAACACTGGAACCTGTTTTTGAAGGCCCTTTCACATGTGCTCTGTCATGCTGCTCCCCAGAGAAGCCAAGTGAGCACATGCAGCACTAACCCAGGAGGCTTCCCACTCCAGGCTCAGTGTCAGCTCCTTGGACTTTGGAGCATATAACTGTATATTTTGATTTTGACTCTCATTGCTTATAGCTCCTCCCTATTTATACACATTATCTAACTAGAAATGGAACATAAAAGTTAAAGATTACTTCAAAATTAGGTTGTATTCATTTAGAGACTTTTTGTTGTTGTTTTTGTTTTGCTTTTTGTTTTTTGAGACAGAGTTTCTCTGTGGCTTTGGAGCCTGTCCTGGAACTAGCTCTGTAGACCAGGCTGAGATTTTTTTTTTTTTTTTTTTTTGAGATAAGATTCCACTACATAGCCCTGGCTGGCCTAGAATTCATTGTGCAAACCAGGATGGCCTTGAACTCATAGAGATAACTCCTGCCTATCCCTCCTGAATGCTGGAATTAAAAGTGTGTGTTACCTTGCAAGATTTTTTAAAAAAAAAAAGAGTTATTAATTTCTTTTTATGTGCATGATATTTTGCCTGCATGAATGTCTGTGCACCACATGTGTGCCTGGTGTTCATGGAGATCGGAAGAGAGTATTAGATTCCCTGGAACTAGAGTTACAGATGGTTGTGAGCCACCATGTGGGTATTGGGAATTGAACCTGGATCCCCTGGAAGAACTACCAGTGCTGTTAAGTAATAAGCCATCTCTCTCCAGCCCCCAATGATTTCTTTTAAGTTGTAACAAATGAAACATCCACCAATGAACTATAACATAAAAATCCATCATATTCTCATCAAACTTGAATTTTTACAAGTCAGGGGGAAATGCTACCATTTATATCTGAAGTACCTTAGGTTCTACCTCCAGAGCTGTTCCAGTCTCCACTTCTTGCTGCTAGTTAGAAGGATGAAATCATCAAGCATCTTAACCTGAAGCAAATTCTGAACACAACTGAAAAGTGGGCTGTACAGTGAAGGGCTGTAGGTGGGCAAGCAGAAGCCTCTTCAGTGCTTCAGCTTCTGCCCCTGTGCTGAGGCAGCACCTACCTTCTCTTTTAACTGCAGCTCTGCCTTCTCTGCCAACAATTCTATGCCATGTTCCTGAAAAAGGTCACATATTCTTGGCGCAACTGGATGCTGATGTTGTTTGTGCAGATTCTGCTGCCTCTGGTGATCATTATGTTAAGCCTCACTTTTTTTGACTTCAAATTAAAGATAATGGAAAATGTACCCTTGGAGCTGACTTTAAAAACACATGGTCAGACTATTGTTCCATTTTTTGTTTCTAAGAATTCCCACTTGGATCCTCAACTTTCAGATTATTTTATAGAGATGCTTGTGGCTGCAGGACAGATTCCTTTGCATATTCAAGGTAAGCACCAGGATGAGGGAGCTGAGCCAGAAGTAGGCCTGCTTTTCTTTTCAGGGAAGCTGCATCTTTCTGGACCACATAGTGCTCTTTGAAGTCAGACTGAATATCTGAAAGCTCATTTAGAAACGTCATTTAGACTTTGGATAACAGGAAGTAGATAACTTCTAGAGATGAGACCATTGTCTCTCTCCTGAGGTTATGGAGTCTTTGTTTGTTTGCTTGCTTTGTTTTTTTCAAGACAGTTTCTCTGTCTGTCCTGGAACTCATTCTGTAGACCGGGCTAAACTGAAACTCAGGGATCCACCTGCCTCTGCCTCCTGAGGGCTGGGATTAAAGGTGTGAGCTATTGCTGCCTGATCAACGTTGTGGAGTCTTTAAGAAACTGATCATGGTGGAAGGTCTTCAAGTTATTGGCAGCATATCCCTGAAGGGAATGGAGATATCCCAGACCCTTCCTCATCCCTTTACACTTCTCATCCATTAGGAGAGGAGTTTTCACTTACATACACTCTTTCATGATATTCCACCACAGGCCTCAATGCAGCAGGGCCAACAGACCATGAATTGAACTATTAACCGAAACAAACCTTTTCTCTCAGATATTTGTTACAGTGACAGAAAGCTGGCCTAACACGCTGTGCGTCTCAAAGCTTCAGTTTCTCCATACATCAAATTGGGAGAACCCTGTTTTGAAGTATTGCTGGGACAATTTTATAATGAACATTTTGTACAGCTGGTGTCCAATGTAATAATGTCATCATTTTTGTTTTTTAAGATCACTAAAGACCTTTTTTTCAGCTTTAAAAGTTCTAGAAAACACCCACAAGTAAACACTGAGCTGAACTAGGATCCAGATGCAGAGAAAGAGGACAAGACCAGGTTGCAGAAACATAGAGATAGCTGACCTGAACAAGGAGGAGCTAATGGGCCCCCCAGACTGATAGCTGGGAATCCAGCATGGGTCTGATTCAGAACCCCTGAACATGGATCTCAGCCAGAAGGACTGAGCAGTCTAAGGGATCTCAGACAGTGGGACCAGGATATATTCCTGGTGCACAAAAGGACCTTGCGGACACATCCTCCATGGAGGGACACTCCCTTAACCTAGAGACAGGAGAGAAGTCCTAGTCTCTACTTCAAATGACTTGGCAGATTTAGATGACCCCACCTGGATGGCATTGCCCTACATGTGGAGTGGGGAGGTCATGGGAGGGGAGGGTGGTCGGGGTGCATGTGAGGGGGGAAGAGAGGGAAAGAAGGAGGGAGGGAGAGGGAACTGGGATCAATATGTAAAATAAAAATAATTTTAAAAAGTTCTAAAAGTATAGGTAGGTTGTATATGAGATGAGGCACTATGCACTAAAAGTACAGTAGTGAACAGAATTAATACCGGCCTACAAGGAACTTCTAAGCAAGAGGTGTATTGATAACTGATATATAATTACAGAACTAGTAGCAGTGATTACAATGGATACATTTCAGCTCAGAAGGATCAGAGGAAACCCCACAGTTAGTCTGCCAGCTGAATGGATTGGCTAGTGGGAAGGGAAAATAACCAAAATACATTCTAAACATGAAGATCTGAAAGCTTGAAGAACTCATAGGTATAGAAGAATCTAAAGACATGAGGCAAGAGCCTGGAAAGTGATGAAATTCTGTTAGAATGCAACATCAAAGAAAAAAGGTTTATTTTGGCACATGGTGCTAAGAGTTAGAAGTTCAAGAGTAAGGTATCATCTGTCCAGCTTCTGAGGAGAGCTTCATGTTGTGTGCTGGAACATGATGGATAGGAGGAAGGAATTTCATTGTAGAAAGAGGAAGTTAAGTAAATAGCCCACTGTTGCCATAACTAACCACTCCAAAGAGAAGTAACCCACTCCTACTAGAGCAGCAACAACCCCTAAGGGTGAAGCATCAAACCCACACAGTCATTCACATCAAAGTTTTTACCCCCCCTTTCTGTGCCATTACATGGCACAGAAACGACACACAAATGACATCCAAAACACAACATAGAAAATGGGTTCTAAGCCAGGCATGGTGGTACATGCTTTTAATATCAGTACTTAGGAGGCAGAGGCAGGCCAGTCTCTGTGAATTTCAGGCCAGCCTGAGACCTTGTCTCAAAAACAAAACAAACAAGAACTCCAGAAAGTTCATTTTATAATATGTGGATATGTGGCTTTGCCTAGAGGTCAGAGTCACTACAAGTTGGTAGGTCTGAATATACTATTATTAGGTATGTCCTTTTTCACCAAGTATGGAGATTTTTTTATATAGAAGATTTTGTTTGGAACCACATGGTCCAAGAAGACATTATGGGACTAGACCTGACTGAGGTGATAGTGAGGGAAAAAGTAGCTGGAATTCAAAAGGACTTAAAAGATGGAAATTTGAAGGTCACGTGGAAGGGCAGGAAGAGGCCAGCTGTTGGACGTATGTGAGGTTGGTGGTGGGGTACCCAGAAGGAACAGAAGAATGGGGTTGAGGTGGCTTGTGATGAATGCATTGTGTGCTACGGGGCCTGATGTGATATTTTCTCAGCAATTCTTATTGCCCAATGTTCCTTTGGCTCCCTTCTAGGTCCTGTAGAGGACTTCCTACTGAAAAAAGCAAGAGAGGCTCCTGAGGACTTTGATAAGCTCTATGTGGTGGCAGCTTCTTTTGAAGACATGAATAACCGCACCATAGTGAAGGCACTGTTCAACAACCAGGCATACCATTCCCCGGGCATGGCTCTGGCTCTGGTGGACAATTTTCTCTTCAAGTTGCTTTCTGGTGCCAATGCTTCCATTACCACAACCAACTACCCTCAACCTCAGACAGCCGAAGAGCTCTCAGAGAGTATCTTGTACCAGTATGTATGACTTCCTTTCTCCCGGCTTCAAGCTTACACATCTGTAGGGACTCTCACTTTCCCACCTACTTCTTTCTTTGTCTCATTTTAATTCCAAATGATTGTTTTGGAAGAAGGCTGCTAGTCACAGTTTTACTTAAACTGCTGCCTCGTGTTCTAACTTTTACAGGGGCCCTAAAGGACATTACCTTGTTATCAACTTTCTTTTTGGAATAGCTTTCCTGTCAAGCTCTTTCTGCATCTTGACAGTCACAGAGAAGAACATTAAGTCTAAGCACATCCAGTTTGTAAGCGGCGTCAGTGCAGTTGCTTTCTGGCTCTCTGCTCTGCTATGGGATCTCATTTCTTTCCTTGTTCCCACTCTCCTGCTAGTGGTGAGTACTGGGTGGTGCTGGACTCATTCCCTGTGGACCAGGAGCTCCTCTTAAAGTCTCATATGCAGTACCAGAACCAGCTGGGAAGTTCACTTGGGAGCCGTCCCTGTGGATACAAAAGCTCTTTCATCACTAACCCTGGTATCTTGAGGAAGGGGGTTCCTTGCTCCCTGGTGTTTATGTAGCACCCATAGAGCTGCTGCCTCCAGTCAATGAGAAACAGTATTTTGGAGACATGTATATATTATTCAGAAGTAGATAACCAGAGAACTGGGGTTGGAGTATTTGATTGTGATTGAATCAAGTAGTCCAAGAGTTCCCTGGTTATTCTGTGCAGTGTGTCCTCACCTGCTTTGTTCTGTGTGTTTTGTGAACATCTCTCCATCTTTTATTGTACTTCACTGTGTACTCAGGGCGGCTCCCTGAGAGCATATCTCAGAGTTTGTGGGCCTGTGAGATGGCTCAGTCAGTAAAAGTATTTGCTCACAGGCCTTATGATGTGAGTTTAATCTCCAGATCATACAAGATGGCAGAAAGAACCACCTCTAGAGAGTTGTCCTCTGTCTTCCACACACACGTCCCTGGCACACAGCAGTAACTCCACCCCACCCCCCACAAATAATAAATTAATTAAAGCTGAAATTACTGTATTCTTGGCACTTGGAATGAACGCTCACTGAATTTTCCCTCTCCCCTTCCTAAGTTGGTGTTTTTGTGGTATAAGGAAGAAGCTTTTGCACATCATGAGAACACCCCAGCAGTGATCTTGATAATGGTACTGTATGGCTGGGCTGTCATCCCCTTCATCTACACAGTCAGCTTCTCTTTCAAAACTCCTGGGAATGCCTGTGTTAAGCTCGTGGTAATACTCACCTTCTTGAGCATCAGTCCCCTCATGCTTGTCACGGTCACAAGTGAAAAAGGTAAGATCACATCTATGTTTTGCATAAAGCACTAATCTCTCCTCTTGCAGCCCCAGTAGTTACACCCTCAAAAATGTGCATGTACCAAAGACCTGTGAGACAATGTTCACAGCTGCCATGGGCTGGAGATCCCCAACTGGAGTGTACCAAATGCATCTCCATGGTGGATGGAGAAACAGTTCAGTCGTACTCAGTAGATTATAGCTCAGTTTTTAAAAAGGACTATGTTGAGCAAAGAGTCTACCATGTCTTGTGTGAAGTCCATAAACAGACAAAGTGAATTCTGGAAACACAATCAGAAAGGGGGTTGCCTCTGGCTTGTGGGGAAAGGGATGACTAAAGGAACAACACACTAGGGAACTTTGGGAATGAAGAGATGGTCTTGATCTTGAATTGGGTACTACTGTACATGGACTTACATATTCACTAATCACTGTTTACCTTCGATCCATGCATTTCACTAAAATGTAGTGGTCTTTACTTTAAAAAAGATGAGTAAATTAATAAGTCAACATTGGAGAAAGGGTTTCTGGTAAGTAAAAGAAACTAAGATTGAGTCATTATTTATAACACACACCTGAGACTGACATCTTCATATTTATGCAGTCATCTCTGGGTCAGGGTTGGACAAAATGACTGATGTTACTTCCACAATGCTCTTCTCACTAAGGATTTATTTTATTACCATGTGTATGGGTCCATGTTTTTCTGTGTGAATGTGCACGTGTGGGGATTCACATGGAGGTCAGAAGAGGGCATCGAATCTTCTGGAACTATAGAGACAAGTGATTGGGAGCTGTCAACATAGTTGCCTGGAACCAAACTCCAGTCCATTGTAAGAGCAGCAGGTTCTTAACTGCTGACCATCTCTCCAGCCCCTACAATACTCATTTTCATTTGCATTTATGCCCCACAACTTCTTCGGGTTGACTTTTCTTCACTTCCTCTTTTTTCTTTGGGGGCTTGGTGAGATGAGTCAGCAGTTAAGAACACTGGCTGCTCTTCTAGAGAACCCAGGTTTTATTCACAGTACCCACATGATGGCTCACAAATGTCTGTAGGTCCAGCCCCAGAAGGTCAAGGGTACTGCACACATGGTGCAGGCAAAACACACATGTAAAAGTTAAGAAAAATTATTTTATATGCATAAGTGTTTGGCTGAATGTCAGTATGTACATCTCTTGCATGCCTGTTACTCACAAAGGCCAGAAAGAAATGTCAGATCCCTTGGAACTGGAGTTAGAATGCTTGAGCTGTCATATGGGTACTGGGAACCAAATCCAGATCCCCTGTAAGAGCAGAAAGTGCTCTTAATCACTGAGCTATATCTCCAGCTCTCATCTTTATTTTTTTTTCTTAACTTGCAATCTGGCTTACAATTTCCCTTTGCTTTTATTTGGGGACTTTTTCTCTCTCCCAAGGGAACTTATGGCAGTTTAGTCTCCATAAACTATGGAGGAAGGGACCATATACTCCTTGACTGACTGCAAGATGACACTCCAGAGCTAGGGATGTGGTAGAGTGTTTGCCTGTCATGAGTGAGGCCCTCAGTTCAATTCTCAGTATAGGGGAAAATAAAACACTGAGCAACTCTGGAGCTGGCTCCTATGCCCTGTTCTGTCTGTCTCAGCTCACCACCAACCCGTACCCTTCTGCCTTTCCATCTCTGTTCACACATGCCTGCTGGATTTTCTCAGACACAATGTGTCTTCAAGTTCACCTACAAGAACAAGGGTATGGAAGTAAAGGGATAGATTCAAGGAGCTAAGCAAGGAAAAGTACTCATGTCTTATGGGTTGAATGAATAGATGGAGAGTCAACACCAGGAGTGAGGGAAGCCAGGTTTCTGGTGGACACCTGAAAGTATGATGATCTGGACTAAAGAAATGAGTTAGGAGGGAAAGTGACATGTGCACTTTGACTCATGCAAGTAAAATCTGCTCGTTCTTTGTAGACCTTGGCTATGCAGAATTCTCAAATTCCTTGGATCACATGTTCTTAATACTTCCTGGACATTGCCTGGGAATGGCTTTTTCCAACTTGTACTATAACTTTGAACTTAAAAAGTTTTGCAATGCTAAGAACTTGAGTGATATTGACTGCAATGATGTTTGTAAGTATTGTAAACAAAACTTGCTGATAACAGTTTTGTTAATTTTTATTTCATGTGCATAGGTAAGTGTTTCTCAAATATGTCTGTATAAGGGTGTTGGATGCCCTGGAACTAGAAATATAGACAGTTGTAAGCTGCCTTGTGGGTGCTGGGAATTTGAACCCAGGTCCTCTGGAAGAGCAGCCAGTGCTCTTAACCACTGAGCCATCTCTTCAGCCCCCATGCTAATAACATTTTTATCCTGATATGATTTACATAATATGATTTGATTTTTCTTTGTGAGACAGGGTTCTTCTGTGTAGCTCTGACTGTCCTGGAACTCACTCTGAAGACCAGGTGGGTCTCTAACTCACAGAGCTCCATCTGCCTCTATCTCCTCAGTGCTGGAATTTAAAGGCATATGCCACCACTACCCAGATGATTTGTCTTTTTTGAAACAAAGTTTCTATGTATTCCTGGCTGTAACTTGACTTTTCTCTCCCACAAGCCGGTTCCCAAATAACCAGTCAGAGACTTAGTATTTTTTTTGGAAATGCTTGGTTGATAGCTCAGACTTATTACTAGCTAGCTCTTACACTTAAATTAACTGCCACATGGCAGTGCCTTTGTTATCATGGTATGTTCATCTTCTGAGTCCTCTAAGTTTGTCTGGCGACTCTCTAATTCCCTTCTTCCTCCCAGAATTCTCTCTGTGTCAGACTGTCTCGCCCAATCTCTTCCTGCCCTGCTATGGGATAATCAGCTTTTTTATTAACCAATGAGAGTAATACATAGACACAGTATACAGAAGGATTATTCCATAGCACCTGGCTGTCCAGGAACTCACTATTTAAACCAGGCTAGCCTTGAACTTGCAAAGCTTCACCTAATTACAGGTATGTGCCATCCCACCAAGGTATAATTTATTGCAACATTCACCTTTTATATGAAATAAAATGGTATTTGCATATAAGCTATGCATATCTGCACATTGTCCCTATGCCGTGTGTGTGTGTGTGTGTGTGTGTGTGTGTGTGTGTGTGTGTTGCCTGGAATCTGACACAGAGCCTTGTGCATACTAGGCAAATGTTTTACCACTAAGATATACCCTAGTCTGCTCCCACATAGTTTAAATTATCTTTAAATTTCTTAAAACAGTTACTATAGTGTAAATGTTATATAAATAGTAGTTACACTATATTTAAGAATAATGACAAGAAGAAAACTATAGATATTTAGTACAGATACAGTTTTCATTTTCTGAAATGTTTTGACACCCCCAATTTCTCATTGGTTGAACCCATGTATATAGAACCTAGGAATACAGAGAGAAGACTGTGCTATGCCATTTTATATGGAACTCAAGAATCTGTAGATTTTTTGTGTTGATGTGAACCACTGCCATGCTAAGGGAAGACAGTAACCTACATCTATACCAAAAGGAGACTGTTAACAAATTGTGGTACAACTATACGGTAGAAAATGATACAAGTATCAAAAGTGTTTTATCTGCATATTTTTATGCAGTAAATGTCCATTATATATTAAGTGAAGCAAGTACATTGGAGAAGATAATGCATAGAATTGTTACATTTTCATTTAAAAGATAATATTTAGGCCAGTGAGATGGCTCAGTGCTTGCTGACAAGTCTGATGACCTAAGGATGATCCCTAGGTCTCACATTGTGGAAGGAGATGATAGACTGCCACATGTTGTCTAACCTCCAAACATGCTGTAGCATATGTGCCCACTGCCCTATGCATACATAATACACACACAAATAAGTAAATAAATAAACAAATGCAATTTTACAAATTAAGGTCTATAGAGGTGGCTCAGCTGTGAAGAGCACTGGCTGCTCTTCCAGAAGCCCTGGGTTTAATGACCAGGACCTGCATAGTGACTAATAACTATTTGTAATTGCAATTCTAGAGGATCCACTGTTTTCTTTAGACCTCTGTGGTCATGATAATATACAGACACACATGCAGGCAAAACACCTATGCACATAATAAAAAAGTAACAAGATAATATCTGTGGGTTGAAGCTTAGTAATAATTTGACTAACATGCATGATGCAATAAGTATAAGTATAAAAGAATATGCACAAAAAACTGTGCAATCATTACAATAATTAAAGAAATGAAAAGTAGTTTCATTGCCTAATTCATTCTTTTTTATTTTCCCCAGTCAGAGTATGTTCACTGCATAATTTTTAAATATACATATTTATAAAAATTTAAGGCAGTTCAGATTTTAAAAAGAGAATAGAGACCTTCAGAGCTGGTTTGGTTTGGTTTGGTTTGGTTTGGCAGTGATGGATGAAACTCCTAGGGTCTCCTGCATGCTGAACAAGTATTTTCCACTGATCTAACCCCCAAGTCTCTCCTGAGATTTTTCTATGTGAGTGGTCAGTTCACTTGCAGGGGGATTGATGGTTGAAAGGACAATCAAACAGTAAGTATTTTGTGTTTTAGATAAATGTCTCTAAACAAGAAAAGTCTTTTATTATTATTAATTTTTGTCTCAAATATGATAAGCATGCTTTACTGCTGGGCTACTTTTCCAAGCCCTTTTATTTCTTTTTTAATACTTGTTTCATTTGGTTTTTAAATTTTATTTTTATGTACATTGGTGTTTTACCTGTATGCATGCCTGTGTAAGGGGATCAGATCCCTGGAACTAGAGTTAGAGACAGTTGTGAGCTGCTATATGGGTGCTGAGACTTGAACTCAGGTCAGTACTTTTAACTGCTGAGCCTTCGCTCCAGCCCCCTTTTATTTCTTAATTGACAAAAATTATATAAATTTATATAATACAGCATTAGAAAAGTATTTTATTGCATTCTTTTAAATAATGTTTGTATTTGCTTTTTGAGAATTTCGTGAAATATTTGACTTTTCTTTCCCTTCCCCCAACTCCTTCCAGATCTTCCCCTATCTCCTATCCACCCAACTTCAAGTGCTTGCCAAAAAAAAGGGGGGGCTGGAGAGATGGCTCAGCCATTAAAGGCTAGGCTCACAGCCAAAAACCAAGCATAGAGCCCAGTTTGTGTAGCAGATTACTTCTAAGCATGGAGCCTGACCTGAAGTGTGGTTGATGTACTCAGTGTCACTCCATTGAAAAAAAACCCATGTTCTTTCTCCCAACAACTATCTACTGCAAACAGCTTCCAGGTTAGGGGTGCAACTTCATGCCCATGTGTCCTCCTCTGTGTTGGGATTTTTGTCTGGCTTGAACTTGTGACGATCTTATGCATGCTGTTACAGCATCTTTCCCATTGTGTTACCACCTCTAGGTCTTACTATCTTTCTGCTCCTTATTTTGCATAGATCATGAGCCTTGAGAAGGGTGTAATATAGCCATCCCAGTTAGGGCTGAGCCTTCTAATGTCTCTTATTTTCTGCAGTAGGTTTCTTTGCTAATTACCATCTATTATAAAAAGAAAATTTCTCTGATGAGGGCTGAGCAATGCATTTATCAATGGGTATAGAATATGTCCTTAGAAATCATTTGATTGCTACATTCTAGGGCTCATGACCCTAGTTAGTTGCAAGTTCTTGGATGTTTTGTTTGTTTATTGTTTTGTTGTTTTGTTTTGTTTTTTGATACAGGGTTGCTCTGTATCTTTGGAGCCTGTCCTGGAACTCACTCTGTAAACCAGGTTGATCTCAAACTCACAGAGGTCTGCCTGCCTTTGCCTCCCAAGTGCTGGGTTTAAAGACATGTGCTGCCACCACCACCTGGCTTGTTTGCTGTTGTTTTTAAGACAGTCTCGCACATATATCACAGAAATCCCTAGAAATGCTAAATAGTCCAGACCAGTCTCATGTTTATGGCAATTTTCCCACCTTAGCCTCCTGAGTACTGTGATTACAGGTGTGAACCACCATGCTCAACTAATTGCATTGTTTTTAGATAGCATTTGGTTACAGCAAGGAAAAGATATTCTTACTTACCATGTACTAGGATGTGGTGATAGCATTGATAGCAATGATGCTTCTTTTAGTAATATTTGTTACTATGGGAATTTACTTGCTATATATAAAGATGAGGAATAACTTTGAAAAATCTCCAAAAAGGTATGCTAAAATGTGTTTATTTAATATTAGCAGAAGGATATGTGGTCCAAAAGAACATCTATGCCTGGGAATCTCTGGGGATAGGGAAATACCTGACAGCTTTGGCTATCTTGGGACCTGTGTACATCACCCTGCTTTTCCTCATTGAAGCCAATACATTCTGCATACTGAAATCCAAGCTATCTGGCTTTTCTAGGAAGGAAAAAATGGTGAGTAAATAGAGGTGAAAGTCGTGTAAAAACAGGTCAAGGCCTGATTCTAGAGCAGTGGTTCTCAACCTTCCTAATGCTGCGACCCTTTAATATACTTCCTCATGCTGTGGTGACCCCCAACCATAAAATTATTTTTGTTGCTACTTCATAATTTTGCTTCATTAATTTTGCTACTGTTATGCATTGTAATGTAATATGATATGCAACCCCTATGAAAGGATTGTTAAACCCACAAAGGGTTACAACCAACAGGTTGACAATCACTGCTCTAGAGCTTCCTTCCTGTGTTTGTTAGCTTCCTTGATTCTCCCTGTCAGAGGGATCCCAGAGGGCCACTTATTTAATCACAGGGCAGAGAGGCAACAGCCTATGCACAGGGAGAAAAACCTGATTCAGCCTTTGAGACCCTGATCCACATATGGGATGTTTTAAGGGCCAGCTCCTCAGCTGAACAGGAACAGGACCCCAGCTTGCTAGAACAACTCACTTTGTGAAACACTACTTCTGCAGTCAGCTACAAGCAGAAGAAAGGGCTGCTCTATTAGCTCGTGAGACCAACACCCTTTAGAGGAAACTGAAGAAAATGGGCTTTTCTTACATCTTCACTTTCCTGGGCTTTAAACTTGCTTTCTTCAAATGCTGATGCTTTGTGATTTGCATGTTTACCTCATCATGGTCACGAGAATGGAGTGGTAGTGTGTACATGGCACTGTGTTCAGACACAGTACCTCCAGGGTATACCAGAGAGGCTTGATCCCTTCCAACTCTAGTCAAGCTCTACCTTCTACCCTTGTAAATGTAAACCAGTTACATGTCTACCCTTGTCTTGGGAATGTAGGGAATGTTCCTTGATGAGATGGAAGATGAAGATGTATTAGAAGAGGCAAAAACCATCAAGTTTTATTTTGAAACATTAATAAAGAAAAATCCAGTTATTGTTAAAGAAGTCTCAAAGGTAAAGTTAAATTCATCATTGCTCCTTTATCTGTTTGCCTGTTTGATTTGGGACAGGATCCTGCGGTGTGGTTTACATAGACCTTGAAGTCATGATCCTCCTACCTCTGCCTCCTGAATACTCTGATTACAAGTAAATGTCATGCCTGGATCTCATGGCTTGTGAAAATGTTCTTGTGAACATTTTACACACAGAATCAGCCTTCTGCTGGGCTTGTGGCCTATGCACAGCAGCGATGGGCTTCCAGGGAAGACAGACTTAGTCAGGAGGTTTCTCTCCTGAGAATGAAGCACATCTAAACTCGTGTTTATGCCCAGAGACAGAAACTGTTGTACCTTTGTTGCCTCCTCTGTGGTCATCTGGATAAAGGGAGGGCCTGAGATAGTAGGGAATGGGAGCCATGCTTGCTAAATCCCCGAGAAGAACAGAAGGAGAGATGTAACTTGCTTGACCTCTCCTGTGTCCAAATAACAAATGTGGAGGTGCCATGTGGAATAAGGGCTCTAGAAACTAAATGGAGCCTCCCAAGTTTCTCTAAGATTCTTAGGAGGAATTTCAAAAGATCTTTCAAACATCCAGCTATTTTATAGCATTTCCCCAAGGTTTGTCAGTCATATTATTTTCCTTCGGTATCTAGTGGTTAAAAAACTGAAAACAGTCCAGCAATGGTGGTGCATGCCTTTGATTCCAGTACTGGGGATGTGCTGTGGAACAATTTTGTACACTGTAAATATGTATTGCTCTCATTGTTATTAAAAAGCTTATTGGTTGATGGCTAGACAGGATTTTCAGGGCAGAGGGAATACTGGGAAGAAGGGTGGAATCCGAGAAGTTCCCAGCCAGATGGAAAGGAAAAAGGACATGCAGGAGAGGTAAAAGCCTATGTGCAGCACATAAATTAATAGAAATGTGTTAATTTAAGTTGTAAGAGCCTGTTAATAACAAACCTAAGCTCTTGGCTGAGCATTTATAAATATGAAGTCTCTGAGTGGTTATTTGGGAAGCAGCTGGCAGAACAGAGCTGATACCATCCCAAACAACAAATACTCTGCCTACATTGAGGATACAGAGGCAGGTGGATCTCTGAATTTGAAGCCAGCCTGTTCTATAGAGTGAGTTCCAGGACAGCCAGGGTTATATAGAGAAACCCTATCTTGAAAAACAAAATAAAAACAAACAAAAGAGCCAAACCAAGAAAGAAAACCCCGTCAGCAACATCCAAGAGTTTTATTTGCTCAGGGACAAAGAAAAGCAGATTACATCCAAGAACTAAGTTCACAGTGTGTAGGGGTTGGAGGAAGAAGGGAAACACAGTGGCTGGGGGAAATAGCTTGTCTGAGCTTGGGTCCTAAGAGGTAACTCAGACCTGCTAGATTGAAAGTGTAGTGGCTGCTGGCTGCTGGCTTCCTGCCTCCTCTCTGCATCTCTGCCTTGTGTCTCTCAGGTCTATAACAAGAAGGTACCTCTGCTGGCTGTAAACAAGGTGTCCTTCACCGTTGAAGAAAAAGAATGCTTTGGCCTTCTTGGCCTCAATGGAGCTGGGAAGACTTCCATTTTCAACATGCTGACTGGGGAGCAGCCCATCACTTCAGGGGATGTCTTTGTCAAGGGTTTCAACATCAAGTCTGACCTTGTGAAGGTGGGTGTGTCTGCAACAAATCTTGGGGATTGATACAAGATTCAGGGTCATGAAGCTTGGAGCTTGATCTCAAAAGGTCCATATGTCTATTTCATTTGTAACCCCTCCAAATCTAAGTGATTCCTAGATGCTTCTCTGAACTCTAGGTCAGATATCTAACTGCTTATATAACACTCTCTCTCAAGTGCCTACAGGAACCATAGTGAGCACCATAGTGCCTCTACTACCTTGTCTTCCCCCCTCCTGTCCTTCCATAGCAATGAGACAGCACACATCCACTTGTCATTCAGGGTACCATCCAAGTTATCCAGTTGGCATTTGTGATCCATGTAGGCTCCTACCAAAAACTCCTCAGATCTGCTCACTTGAACCCATTTCTACCATAGTCACCCTGGCCTGTATCTTCCCTATTTCTCTGTAGAACTTGGCTTTTTCCCACTTCAAGCCTGAGCCTTCTTTTGCTTACTCAACAGCTTTCTTCTCTCTTTGTTCATTTCTATCACTAACAATTATTTTTCAGACTCTTAATAGATATTTTGTTTTGCTCTGAGAAAGGGTCTCAGGATGTAATCTAGACTGATCTCAAGTGTGTGGTTCCAAGAGTTGGTATTATAGGCATGTGCCACCATACCTGCCTCCTTTGATAGATTATTATCTGTTCCTGAAGGTTATAGTGTTCCTAGATGCTATACGCACATCCCACTGTCCTCACACTCTCCTTGCTTGGCCCTTTGGTTTCTCTAGCTCCCATTACCATCCACTTGATGATGCTTCCCAAGTAGCCATGTATCTACCCAACTCTAGTCCTGTGTCAAACTGTAGAACCCAGCTTCCATACAAGCCAATCCCCCATGGCCTTCTTTTTATATATGTATACATACATTATACATAAAAACATACATTGAGAAGATTTTTGTTTTGCTTCTTTGTTTTTTTTTTGTTTGTTTGTTTTTGTTTTTGTTTTTTGAGACAGGATTTCTCTGTGCAGCTCTGGCTGTCCTGGAACTCACTCTGTAGACCAAGATGTCCTGGAACTCACAACAATCTGCCTGCCTCTGCCTCCTGAATGCTGGACTTAAAAGTATGTGCCAATTGTTTGTTTGTTTGGGGGACAGTGTCTCCTGTAGCTTTGGCTGGCATGGAACAGAAGTCCTCCTGCCTCTGCCTTCTGGTTCAGGGATTAAAGGTGTGCTACAACACTTGGCAGGGCAATTGCCTAATGTGTTTGTGTTTGAAGCCTACAAGAAGGAAAACAAAACAATATTTGAAGTTCATAGCTAATATTTATCCAACATTATAAAAGAAATAGATTATAAATGAATTAAGCCCTGCTGACCATAAGCAGGATAAATAAAAAAAGGATTAGCTCCAAGGAATATTGATATAGTAAAACTTCTGTAAACCAAATATGATAGAGAAAATCTAAGGTAACCCAACAATAAAAGTTGGGGGCTGGGCATGGTAGCACACACCTTTAATTCCTGCACTTGGGAGACAGAGGCAGGTAGATCTCTGAGTTCCAGGCCAGCCTGGTCTACAAAGTGAGTTCCAGAACTTCCTCATTGCTTACACAGTGAGACCCTGTCTCAAAAAAACCAAAATAAATACTAAATAAATAAATAAAAAGGTGGATTACCTTGAGAACAGCATTTAGGTTGTCATCGGACTTCTGAACAGAAACAAGCGCCCAGAAAACAGGATAGCAATATGCTATATGAAGCTGTACTTTAAGAAAAAGCCACTTTGGAGGTTGGTGGTTCCACCTCCAGCACCACACATACAGAATTTGATTTTTATTGCCATCAGGTGTATTTAATTTTTATTAATCATATGAATAATTTTCTATAACATCCTAGGGCAAACTAGTGAAATATGACAGTCTGACTGGTGGGGTTTCCCTTTCAGAGACCCCCATTGGTTGCATTGGTACAGAGTGCCCAGACTTGTGGCACTATAGTTTGTGGCTGGGGTCTATCTTGTAGGTGGATCTTCCTCCGTATCATGAGGGAGTCTTAGAGATGACAGGATGGTGTTGGGGATTCCTCCATTGAAGGTTTTTAGGAAAAGTGGTCTCTTTAGTAGACAAGGTAATACCTCTTGCATTGTCCATTGTCAATTATGGCCTAATTGAAGCTGTTACTTTTAGTCAAAAAACTGGCATGTCTGCCTCTTTTTTTTTTTTTTTAATACTTCTGGAGCTCCCACTTGAGCTGCTGCAGCAAAAGACCACACAGAAATTTTTCTTTCTGTTGTTTTGTTTTTGCTGTTGTTCTTGTTTTGAGACAGGTTCTTTACATGTAGCCCTGACTGTCCTAGAACTCTCTCTGTAGACCAGGCTGGCCTCAAACTCAGAGATCCACCTGCCTCTTCCTCCTGAATTCTGTGATTAAAGGTGTGCACCACCACCCCCTGGCCAGAGAGTTCCTTTTTTGGTGTATTTGGTGTTCTGTGTACCTCTTGTAGCTTGATAGGTATTTCTTTACTTAAGATTTGGGAAATTTCCTCCTATGATATTGTTGAATTCTTTTCTGTGCCCATTGATCATTTTTATCTGAAAACCTTTAAAATCTTCAGGCATTTTACCTATTTTTGTGTCTGTGGTTGTTTGAGTAAGAAATTAACCCACCACAGATACAGAAATAGACTTAGGTCTTTGAGCACTTGATTAGTGTTCAAAGTTAGTGGCACTGTTTTTGGAGATTATAGAACCTTTAGAAGGTACATTCTTGCAGGGGAGCAGACTTTGAGAGTTTATAGCCTTCCTCGCTTTGAGTTCACTCTTTTTGCCTGTGTTTGTGGTTGATATGATCTCTCTTATTCCTGCTCTTTCTGTCTGATGCCAGGCCTCCATTATCATTAAGGGCATTCCCTCTGGAACCATAAGTTGAAATATACTCTTTCTTCCATAAATCACTTTTGGTCTTGGTATTTGTGGTGGGTTGAATAGGAATGGACCCCATAGAATATGTGTTTGAATGCTTGTCCCATAGGAAGTGGCACTATTAGGAGGTGTGGCCTTTTTGGAGTAGATGTTACAGTGGTGGTATCTTGACACTGGTGGTGGGCTTTGAGGTCCTGTCTGCTCAAACCACACCCAATGTGGCACACAGTCTCCCTCTTCTGCCTGCAGATCAAAATGTGTAACACTTGACTCCTTCTCAAGCACCAAGTCTACCTGCAGGCTGCCATGTCCCACCATGAAGATAATGGTTTAAACCTCTGAAACTATAAACCAGCCCCCATTAAATGTTTTCCTTTATAAGAGTTGCAGTGGCTGAGCAATGGTGGCACACACCTTTAATCCTAGTACTTGGAAGGCAGAGACAGGCGGATCTCTGTGAGTTCCAAACCAGCCTGGTCTACTGAGAAAGTTCCAGGACAGGCCCCAAAGCTACACAGAGAAACCCTGCCTCGAAAAACTTGGAAAAAAAAAAAAAAGAAAGAAATTGTATTGTGGTGGTCATGATGTCTCTTCACCCTAAGACAGTATTCTATCACAATAACAAAATGTATCTTTAAGTTCATAATCTTTTTAAAAGTTGAGTTATACTCTTTTTTAAAATTTCTTTTTTATTTTTATGCATGGGTGTGTTTTGTTGGACTTTCTTTAGACCAGTAGCTCCCAGATAATGACATGGAGAATTACTATTAATTATGAAAGCTTGGCCTTCAGCTTAAGCTTATTACCAATTAGCTCTTTTAACATATTAACCTGTTTCTATTAATCTACATTCTACCACATGGCTCTTTACCTCTCCTCCATTCTTCATGTCCATCTCCATCCATGTCTGGCTGGTGAAATCTGTGCACCTCAGATTCTTCCCCAGTTCCTCCCTCTCCCTGAAGTCCTACCTATTCCTGCATTACAAATTGCTCATCTGTTGCTTTGGATGTCTCGTTTGGATTTGCAGGGAAGGGAGATCTTATTGAAAAGCCTACACTTGAAGGCTCAGTCCCTAGTAACAGTAGGAATGTAAGACCCTAATTCTGGGGTCCTGATGGGCCGATGGGAGAGCCCCACGACACAAACACCAAAACCAGGAGATGCAACAAGCAAGAGGTGTTTATTGAATGAGAGCACTCGGGTGTCAGCAATCTCAGGGAAAGCTGCACACCCCTCAAAGGGTTCAGGCTCTTTTTATAGAGACAAACCACAAATCAGCACACATGCATGAGGTACAAGGTGATTGATTACAAAGTATAATCTCATGTTTGAGAGATCACCCAGGTGTGACCTGTTTTTCTTCAAAGGAAAAAGGAAAAACCATAGAATGTACCTTGGAAAGTCTCCAGATTGTCCATTGGCCAGGTATGATCCAGACGGGTCCATTCATCTGGAACCATTTGTTCCAGGGTTGGGGGCCTATTTCCTTGTGGTGGGCCAAGACCTGTGAGAAACTTCTTATCCTTTGTTTCTTTGCAAACTGGAGTCTTTCATATTCTGGCTTTCTCTTGGCTGTACACTTAGAGCCTTCAGTTATTCCACAAAGGTTTGATGATTCAGTAACTAGCCCTATTTAACAAGATCAGCCTAGCATATAACCACTAGCCCCATCACCATAGTAACCTTTCTTGTTCTCATAATTCCTGATCTTTCCACCCATGTCAATGTCCATTCTTTATGATTTTCTATATTCTGCTTGCAAGAACTATTCTCCTGCCCCTTTCCTGCATCCTTGCTCTGCAAACTAAAACCTTTCAGAAAAAAGGAAACGAAAATTTGGAAGCAGCTTCTGAGTCCCCTGCGCTGACTAGGAAACTGCTGCTGAGGCTGAGTTAGTTCCGTTTGCTCGTTTCCTCTGTGTCAACACAATGTCTCCAGTACCCTTAGTTGCTTTCAGGGCTTGCTGAGGGTAAAGTCTGTTTATTCTGATGCTCACTCAGACTCTCCAAAGTAGAAATCTCCATGGGAATCGATGCTTCTGGTAGGAAAATGTACTCTATAGTTCATAAATTGTTCAGTGTTCTGCATGGACAACTCCAAAAGACAAAGGCCTGTGCTCTGTGAACTCTACTTCTAGAAGCTCTGTCTAGCTCTCATAGCAAGTAGAGCAAACCTCTTTGTTCTCCCCATAGAGAAAAGGAAAGAAACCATTTTGAAACATAGGAGGACATTCTCTATTTATTTGTTTGAGACTCTTCTGCCTCCACCTCGCAAATGCCAGTATTACAGCTCTGTGCCACCATGCCCAGCTCAAGTTTTGTTATTATTTTTAGTTGGCACACAAAGTAATTGCTTTAACTATGACATTTCACACATATATATTATTATACTTTGTTTTTATTTCTTTCCTGCCCTCTCCCATCTCCTTCCTCCCTCTAAACAGTCCTTCTTCATGCTTTTGCCATGTGTATTCCTTTGTTTGTTTGTTTCTTCTCCTTTTAGCCCCCTTTCTACCCACTCTTAGTGCCCATTCCACTTTCATGTCATTCATTCATAGAGGATGGATAGGTCAATGCCACTGAATAAGATGGTAGACTTAAATCCACATGTATTAAAAGTTACATTAAATAAAAATGGACTCCAGTTGAGTGTGATGGCATATACATATAATACTAACAAGAGAAAGTAGAACCTTAAGATCTCCACAACTTCCAACCAGTCTGGTCAACATAACAAGTTACAGACACTATAACATAGACCTAGTCTCAAAAATACGTTAATTAATTAATTACTATTTAGAAACAGCTAAGAACACTTAGTGCTCTTGCAGAGGATCCAATTTTGGTTCCCAGCAACCACATGGAAGCCCACAACAACCTGTAACTCCCAGTTCCATGTAATCCAATACCTTTTCTGGTCTTCATAGGCACATACATGAATGTGGTACACATACATACACCCAGACATACACATAAGATAAAAAAAAAATCTAAGTGTAGGTCTGAAGAGATGGCTTGCAGTGAACAGCCCTGGCTGCTCTCCCAGAGGATCCAGGTTCAGTTCCCAGCACCTACAAAAGATTAATTAATCCATTCAATTAAATGTCTTACATGATCATAGAGGATAACAAAATGTTAAGCATATAATGATTGACTCCAAACAACTGAAAAAAATATCTACAAGAGTATTCACAGAAACATTATTCTGTAGCCAAAATGGAAACAAATCAAATGCCCATCAATGACAAACAAACATGAGATTTGAGAAATCAGTGAGGTATTTATCAGACATAAAAAGAAATGAAGCAAGTCGGGAGGTGGTGGCGCACACCTTTAGTCCCAGCACTCGGGAGGCAGAGGCAGGTGGAGCTTTGTGAGTTGAGGTCAGCCAGCCTGGTCTACAGAGCTAATTCTAGGACAGGCTCCAAAGAAATACAGAGAAACCCTGTCTCGATAAACCAAAAAGAAGAAGGAGAAGTAGAGAAGGAGGAGAAGAAGTAAAAAAAAGAAGCTGTTCTAGTTTTTTCTCTTGCAATGATAAATACCCTGACAAATCAATTCCAGATTTGCTGGCTTACCCTCTTTTATATAGGTCAGGAACCCATGCCTAGAGAATGGTGCCCCAAAGTGCATCAATTAACAATCACCACACACAAATTAACAATCACCACACACACCCAGATATACCTAAAAGCCAACCTGATCTAAATTGTTCCTCATAAAATTTCTTTCCAGGTGATTCTAGGTTGTGTCAAGTTGACAGAAGCTACAGTGGGGTGGGCTAGAGAGGTGGCTCAGGGGTTAAGAGCACATGCTGTTCTTGCAGAAGCCCTGGTTTTGATTCCCAGCCCTCACATTGTGGTTCACAGCCATCCATAATTTCAGTTCCTGGAGAAATTATGCTCTCTTCTGACCTCTGTGTTCACCAAGCACATACATGGTACATAAATACATGCAGGAAAGACACACATAAAATGAAATGAAAAAGAAGAAAACGCTTAAGATGGATGACCCTAAAATGCACTCAGTGGAGCTAAGCATTACGTGTACACCTGTAACCCCAATACTTGTGAGGTAGAGGTTGGAGAATCTCGAATTCTAGATAAGCCTGGGCTAAATAGCAAGACCCTGCCTGAAAAACAGAAATAGTGCTCCTTGGCAATCCCAGATTAGCTACCCTATGTGATAGGTGTAGGTTCTACTCTGGACTCAGGAGTGTGGGAAATGTAAGAAATAACACACCTGTGATACCAGCTGAGGCAAAAGGATGAAGTTTGAAGCCAGTCCTGTGAGACATTCAAAACAAAACAAATGTCTCATTCCTTTGTTTTCTTTAAATTAACTTACCACATTTCTAAGCCTTCTAGCCCCAAATTGCTTCAAGAAATGGAAACCGTGTACAGACTAAAATGGGATGTAAAATCTAAATGATAGCCAAAATCTACTTTTTGACTGAAAGGGACCAGTAGATAAACCCACCAATGTTCACAAAACAGATCATTTCCCTCTTGCAAAGTATGGGAGAAGCTGGGATACATCCAACTCATGGATGACCCCCCAGGAGGAATCCAGGGTAGCTTCACTCAGGAACCCAATATCCCAAATGTTAACAGACAAATGTAGCAGGTATTAAAAGGATAAAACAGATAATCAAGTCAGGTTTAACCCATAAATATAATTAAGGCCCAACGGTTCCACCGACACAGATTATTTGTTAATAAATAAAAGACAGTGCTTATCCAAAGTTATTTAAACAGTACTTATCAAAAACTTAGCACTCATGATTTGAAAACTTGTCAGCATGGGGTTGGCCTGATACTGTGTGCCTGTAATCAATACTCAGAACATGGAAATGGGAGATTCATGAGTTCAAGGCTAAATAAGTTCCAGGTCAACCTGAAATACATAGTGAGTGGTCTCAAAAAAACCCCCAAAACTTAGCCATTTTCTTGGAAATCAGAGATAGACCTGGTGAGAGAGTTCATCAACCTGGCCAGTATTGAATCAGACCTTGCTTCAAATTAGACTTTAAAAAAACAAAAACATGCTGGGAGTTGGTGGCCCATGCCTTTAGTTCCAGCACTCAGGAGGCAGAGGCAGGCAGATCTCTGTGAGTTTGAGGCCAGCCTGGTCTACAGAGCAAGTTCCAGGATAGGCTCCAAAGCAATACATAGAAATCCTGTCTCAAAAAACAAAACAAAACAAAACAAACTCAAAACATCTGTATTGCCTTAATTTAGTGTCTGCTACAGGAGTGCTTGAACATGATACAAAGCAGAGTGGTAAGCTCTACGTTTATAATAACAAAAAACAGAAGTAACTCAAATATATCTAAAAATCCCAAGTTAGTTATTTTCTAAATTAAACCTAAGAAACTTCCCTGGCCTTACCCATTCCTGTTGAACTACTTATTACTGACACATTCTGGGAGAGGGGAAGGCATTTTCTTCAGTTGTATAGGTATCAGTGAACCCACCAAGCGCCATGGGTAGTTTTAAATCCGAGTTTACACAGGCAGCCCTGGTTAAACCCAGTGTGTCACAAAACAAAACAGAAGGCATGCATGTGGGAAAGGTATTTGTAGGAAGGGGACGAGAGAAGCTACAGGTGAGAGTAATTAGAATGCATTATATACCATATGGAATTATCAAAGAACAAATTTAATTAATTTTAAAAGAATATTTTAAAAACCTCTAGGTGTATAGTGGCTAAACTGACTTGGGAGTAGGGCTGTATTCAGCAACATAAGAAGATCTATAGAGATCCAAATGATGTGACAGACTTTGAAGACTCCCCACGAAAGGCCTCACCCTCCCTGGGGAGTAGAAAGGGGATGGGGGGGACAGGGGAGGACGGGAGGGTGTGGGAACTGGGATTGACATGTAAAACAAGCTTGTTTCATATTTAAATTTTAAAAATTACATATTAAAAAAAAGATCTATAGAACATGATATCCAGTTAGAAAAACACATTAAGCTATGGTAAATATGGGACGATGTCATTTGACAAACTTCATACACAAAGTCTTGTTCAGGAGAACATGTGTGTAGGATCCTGCATTAGCACAGAAGTCTGGAGGATACATACCAACCAGATCACAGGCCCTGGTGGAGACTCCAGTGGTCTTCATGTAATTGTTTCATGAAGAAAATCTACTAATAGATTGCATGTCTGATAGAAAATATTTCTAAAGAGGAAATGTAAGGGCCAATGAGATGGTTTTGTGGGTAAAGGCATGCTGCAAAAGCCTGAGTTCCATCTCTGAAACCCATCTAAAGGAATAAGGAGAGAACCAATTCCACAAAGTTGTCCTCTGGTCTCCAGTTATGAACCCTGGCATTCTTGAACAAATTCCTCCCTCTACACATACACACATCATAAAACAATAATAGTAATAATAAGAGGAAAAGTGAAAGCCAAGATGCTTCTCCTGACTTCTGAAATAGGGGGCACTTAAGTGCTTCTGTTTTTAGGACTTGTGGGCAGGAGGAGCCAACCGAGCCACACCCCACCTCCTCCATCCTTTAGAAGCCTGTTCACCAACACTGCCAGCAAAGGCTACAAACTGAGACTGCCCAGCATTGCCATCTTCCCACTCATGGCTCCCTCATACTGTATGTCTTTTCCTGTTGTAGACATGGATATTAACAAGGCCAAGGGAGCATCCTGGAACTGCTGGGGTGACAGAATGGGGAAACTAGCCAGAAGAGGCTTCACTCTTATGTGTCTCCCTCCCCCCAGGTGCAGCAGTGGATTGGTTACTGTCCTGAATTTGATGCCCTGCTAAACTTCATGACAGGAAGAGAGATTATGGTCATGTATGCCCGTATCCGGGGCATTCCTGAGTGCCACATTAAAACCTGTATAGACCAGATCCTTGAGGATTTACTCATGCGTGTGTATGCAGACAAGCTGGTAAAGACCTACAGGTAAGATCTGGGGGTTCCCTCACTCTCCCCACCTCCATTTTCAAGATAATCCCAGTTCTCAGTCCTGGAGTACAGGGTACAGTCCAGCAGCTCAGGCATGGTGGAGGAGCTGTGCAATCCATGCCACTGTAGATGTGAGTGGGGGCAAGCTGACCTCTACTCCAAGCCAGAGGCAGTTTTTATGCTGAGAACAGGTATATTTTACCATGTGTGAATATAACAACAGGGTAGGCAGATCTTTGTGTCTGCTACTTCACCTCAAGCTTCCTATTTTTGGTAGATTTTCATATTAGACTCATAGTTGCCTCATCCTGATGTTTCCCAAGAAGTCTGAGGTAGTTTATCAGTGTTGCCAGTAAGAGTCCTTACTCAGATTAGCTTATTCAAAGCAAGGCACTGAGTGTCCAAATTCACAGGCTCTTCTCCCCTAAAACTGTAGACTGTGTTCTTATAGGCAGGTGTCTGGCTGTACTCCATGTTTGGAACTGGGAAGTGGAAAGATGCCTTTGACTGGCCAAATGGATCCAGGTGTCAGATAAAGAGTCCCTGTCCCTTTCCCAATCTGTTGGTCTGAGTACCAGAAGCTTTTCATATCTCCTTGCATATTTTGAGGATCAAACAAATTTACATTTTAAAAGTTTAGAAGCCAGGCAGTGGTGATACATACCTTTAATTCTAGCACTCAGGAGGCAGAGACAGGGGGATCACTGTGAGTTCAAGGCCAGCCTGGTCTACAAAGAGAGTTCCAGGCTATACAGTAAAATCCTGTCTTGAAAAACCAAAAAAAAAAAAAAAAAAAAAAAGTTTAGACTGGAGCTTTACTCACAGTAAATGCTATGTGAGTTTAATGTGAGGGGCCTGGAAAGATGGCTCAGTAGGTAAGAATTCTTACTTCTCTTGCAGAGGACCCTGGTTTAGTTCCCAGCACCCACAAAGCAACTCAGAACCACTTGTTAACCCAGGCTGTCATGAGCACCTGCATGCAGGCACACACACATATACATATTTTGTTTTGTTCTGTGTAGTGAGATAGTCCTTCTGTGGCACTGACCACGCCCATTGGGGGGTGAAGCCATGGGCGGAAGGGACCTGTGGAAGGAGGTTGGAGGGGGCCAGGAAGGCACTCTCTTTGTGACTCGGACAGGAGAGGATTGGGTTGAATTTCCTGGTGTTCATCTGTCTAGGTTGTAAGTTATTTCTCCCTGAATAAACATCTATTCGGCCTATTTGTTTATCCTGATCCTTATTTACCGCAATAGTTCTGTTCTGTTTTGTTTTTTGAGACAGGGTTTGTCTGTATTACTTTGGTTTCTCTGTATTGCTTTGGAGCCTGTCCTGGAACTTGCTCTGTAGACCAGGCTGGATTCCAACTCACAGAGATCTGCCTGCCTCCCTCCTGAGTGCTAGAACTAAAGGTGTGCACCACCAGTGCCCTATACACAAATTTTAAAAATTAAAAAAAAGAAATAAAGCCAGCATGGTAGTTAGTGTGCACCTGTAGTCCCAGTGCCTCTTAAGAGGCTGGGTCAATAGGACAGAGACGTAGAGGCCAACTGGGACTACGTAGTGAGCATCTTAAGAACAGTTAACTAAAATGGCCCTTACTCTCGGATGGGCAGTGCCCTACCCCCAGCACTCATAGAGACACTTGAGGTGTCTCATGACCACATCCTCAGCCTGGACATCTAGATCCATTTAGACCCTCAGTGAACAAAGTCACAATTCAACCTCAGTGAAGGTGATGGGGCAGTCTTTGAAGGCCCCACCAGAGTAGGGATCACCTCAGAGAAAGGAGGAGTCAGGTACTGAACCAGTGGGCTTCAACACTGGAGACTACACCACTCTCCATGTCCCACCTTTATCCCATCCACCTCCAGTGGCGGTAACAAGCGCATGCTGAGCACTGCCATTGCCCTCATTGGAGAGCCCGCAGTCATCTTCCTGGATGAGCCATCCACTGGCATGGACCCTGTGGCCCGGCGCCTGCTCTGGGACACTGTGGCCAGAGCCCGTGAGTCTGGCAAGGCCATTGTCATCACCTCCCACAGGTAGAGCTTGGGCATCTGTGGGTCAGGGGCAGAGCCAGAATGGTGGGGGTGGAAACAGGTGAACAGAAGATATGGCAGCAGCTAGCATGGTCTGTAAAGACATTCCCCAGGCTCTGCATGTGGGTACATTCAGCATGAGTTAGGTTTTACCTCCCGGCCGCTGGTCTTGTCCCGCTGCCGAACCAGCCCTAAATAACAGAGAGACTTTGTATTAGATATAATGCTGTTGGCCAGTTACTTGTTTCTTATCGGCTAGCTCTGTCTTAAGTATTAACCCATTTCTGTTAATCTATGTATTTCCACGTGGTCTCTCCATCTTCCATCTTGACTCCTCCTTACTACTTCCTCTCTCCTCCTTGTCTCCTAGTCCCCCCTATCTTGCTTTCCTATTGGCCAACAGTGCTTTATTCATTAGCCAGTATGAGAAACATATTTATAGAATGGCAGCTCCCATCATCTCTTTTCTGTCTAAAATAAAAAGAAGGGTTTTAACCTTAACATAGCAAAATATATAACATAATACTTATCAAGTAAGAATCACAGTTAACAATATTTAGTCCATTAACATTTAGCAAGATTTGAAGAAAATATTCCATCATCTATCCTATCTTTGTGTGTCTAAAGTCTACATGTAACTTATCTTCAATCCTAACTAAGGAAAACTATAACCATAACTATTTGTCTTCAAAGACCACAGAAGGATAGTATATAAACTCTAGAAATGACAGAGACAACTCACTGCCTGGTCAGTCACCCAAAGTTCTTCTGTAATCTTCCATCTTCAGCCCATAGGCCATAGTGTGTCTGGCAGACTCTTCAGCAAAGCAGGAAACTTTAAACTGCCTTCTTGTATTGGCAGTTTGTCAGTCATTTTTCTCTGTGTCCTGCAGAATGTCTGGCAGACTCTTCCATGAAGCAGGAACCCTGTAGCAGTGTCCATCTTGAATCAGCAGTCACTTTCCTGTGGGTTCTTCATGTCCAGTTTATACAGCATAAAGTCAAACAGTCCAGACAAGAGCAGTATCTTGTCCAAATGGCCAGTCTTGCCATATTGGAAGTAAACTCCATAACGAGTTTCTTCAATGTCCATCTTCCTTTTTTGACACAGGTGGTATTGCCAGGAGCAATTGTGCCTCACTGTTAAGAAAAACCCCATTTTAAATGCCATATTCTGTAGGTCTTTGAAAGGTTTGAAGAATGCCTATTCTTCTCAAATACATCTCTACATATCTAGAAATACTAACTCACCTAACTATAAGTTTTGACTATTATAGGTAACTATAATTGTACTAAATGCACTAAATTAGTATAAATGCACTAAATTGTACATTACATTTCTAACTGAGCTATACAAATACAACACCTAAATAAAAGGAGAATATACACATCACAAAATTGACCTTAAATTGTATCAATAAATGAAAATCCATTCCAACACAAAGTATTCATATCTCTACCATAATTCCCTTTTTACCTTTAAAAAGCGATTGGTTGTTGTCATTAACCATTTATAATCAACCCCATTTAAATGAAAACAAACATTTATAAACAATATTTGGGAATTTGGGCGTCATTCTTTCCAAACTACTTCCTGCTGGTAGGGGGCGCTGTTATTGGGGAATCCTAAGAAGATGAAGAAATCCTGGTTGTAGTCTGCAAGGCTGCTATGTCCCAACTGTTTTGAATGTTGGATCACCTGCGACTCTGTTTCAGGGTGTCTGGCTTGATCAAACCACATTAGTCTGGAAGGAATCCACAGCTTTTCATTTTCTGTGGAAACAAAAATAGAAATCCTTTTCCCAAGTAACTTGTCCTTAGACTTAAATTTGGAAGTCAAAGCATTTTTAAAATATATAAATTGGATTTTGTTTTAACAGTTCTTGTTATTTCCTCAGCAGTCAAACGATACAAATATAATGCCGTACAGTATGCAGATTCTTTCCATCTTTATTTGGCTTTTTTTTATTACTCTATTTTACTTTTTATTTTTCGAGACAGGGTTTCTCTGTGTAACTCTTATCTGTTCTGGAATTCACTCTGCATGCCAGGTTTACTTTAAAATCACTAAGATCTGCTTGCCTCCATCTCCTGAGTGCCACCACACCCAGCTCCTTGCTGTCTTTCTAAAATTATTTTATTCCTTTTCTCTCCCAAGCCTACATATATTTTAAAACACACTATAAACCTTTAGCGCTTTTTCTTAATGTGAATCTGTCTTTACTGTAAGTCTTTTTCTGGCCACAAGTCTTTTATCTGGTAAACAACAACATTGCTAAAATGAAAGTCATAGTTGTTTCTGCTGCGGTTTATCAAAGATGGCGGCTGGTACCTTTACCGCCAGCAGTGAGAGCTGTGCTCACCGCCTTGGTCTATGCTGCACCCAGCAGCATGTTGCCGGCTTGGAGATGTGGTCACTGCCATTGCCAGCTCTCATACACACCAATAAATTGTTAGCAGTGCTTCTTAAAAAGCCGTACGGTTTTATGTTGCTTATGCTGAATCAGGAAATTGCCCTTAAAGGAGTCGCGCAAATATCTGCTTGTCTCTCACAAAGCAGAGTCCAACCGAGAAAAATGCTGCTACCAAGAAACCTTGCTTGTCTCTGTTCTTTTGTTTCTAAAACCCTTTTTTAAGCTTTTGTTAAATTTTAAGTGGAAGTTTTTATTAGCCACGTGGGCGCCATATGGGTTTTCCGCCTGTCGCTGGTCTTGTCCCGCCGCCGCGCCAGCCCCAATTAACCACAGAGACTCTGTATTAGATATAATGCTGTTGGCCAGTTACTTGTTTCTTATCAGCTAGCTCTGTCTTAAGTATTAACCCATTTCTGTTAATCTATGTATTTCCACATGGTCTTATTTTACCAGAGAGGCCGCCAGCTTTCTGCTCTCTCCGTCTCCCATCTTGACTCCTCCTTACTACTTCCTCTTTCCTTCTTGTCTCTTAGTCCTTCCTATCTTCCTTTCCTATTGGCCAACAGTGCTTTATTCATTAGCCACTATGAGAAACATATTTACAGAATGACATCTCCCATCAATGGGGAATCAAAAATGGCCTGATCTGGGCATAGATACCCTCCTGTCTGCACAAGCCTTTGACAGGGTGGGCATCAGCCTCCTCCAGCACTGTCTCAGACTTTCTCCTTTTCCCCAGTATGGAGGAGTGTGAAGCCTTATGTACCCGGCTGGCCATCATGGTTCAGGGCCAGTTCAAGTGCCTGGGCAGCCCACAACACCTCAAGAGCAAGTTTGGCAGCGGCTACTCCCTGCAGGCCAAAGTCCAGAGGGAATGGCAACATGAGGTGCTAAAGAAGTTTAAGGCATTTGTGGAAATGACCTTCCAAGGTGTGTGATGGTGCTGGATGTCCTGCCTGGACCTGTTAGCTGTCACACAGTCTGTCCCTAGGGATTCCTGCACTAGGGCTGCCCTTTCTAGCCCTCCAGGTCAGCCTTCACAGAAACAATTTCTGTTTTGTACAGACAGCAATCTGGAAGATGAGCACCAAGGCATGGTTCAGTACTACCTGCCTGGCCACAACCTCAGTTGGGCAAAGGTGAGTGCAACTCTTATTTCACCTACTATCTATAAGTGGCATTCATGTGTCCTCTGCCAACACCATGGGAATGTTTGTGTGGACGTCATAGAGCATAAGTATGAGCTAGAAGAAGCCTTAGAAGCCAGTTCTTCCCACCCCCAGAATTCAGAGAGCAGGGAGCAGGCCTAGAGAGGAGCCACATGCCCAGTGTCACATAGCAGGCCAGAAACCCCCTTCCTGCCACCATTCCCACCAGGAGAACAGACAGATTTAACTCCTCTGAAGGTACTCTTTGGCAGATGAGCAAAACCATCATTCTGTGCCTTGTCAGAAGTTCTCAGAAGGTGGCTCTCTCTGCCCTTTCCCGAATCACCTGTCCCTATGTCTGACACATCACCTACAGGTGGACTTATATGCAGCAATTGGCTTCTCTCTTCTACAGGTGTTTGGCATTATGGAACAAGCCAAGAAGGATTACATGTTGGAAGACTACTCCATCAACCAGGTGTCTCTGGAGGACATCTTCCTGAGCTTTACCAGCCCTATGTCCTCCCCTAAAGGAAAATTCCAACAAGAGCAAGCTGTCCTAGCCAGCCCCTTAACCCCCTCTCACTCTAAGCCTATCTCACTTCCTCCCTCACAGTCCTCTTCTCAGCCTCCCAAACCACATCCATCTCCACCCCCCTCAGAGCCTGTACTACTGTAATAAAGATCCTAGCAAAGAGTAGCCTTTATGAGGACAGCCTGCTGTGTTAGTCACTCTGTCTGCCACTGTGACCAATTCCCTAACAAAAGCAACTTCCAGCAAAGGGGTTTATTTCAGCCTGTAGTTCAGTGATACAATCTATCATGGCAGGGAAGTCAAGGTACAGGAGCTTGAAGCAGCTGGTCACATGACGTCCACAGTCAGGAAACAGAGCAATGAATGCCTGTGCTTGGCTCACTTTCCCCTTTTTGTACAATCCCAGGACCCCACTCAGGAAATGATAGCACCCACAGTGGTCGAGTCTTCCCTCCTCAACCTCCCCACAGGCATATGCAGAGGCCTGTCTGTCAAGTGATGCTAAATCTCATCAGGCTGACAATTGCAATCGACACCAAAGCACATCATTTAAATAAATTACATGCTCATCTCATAGTACAAGATAGAAAACTTCAAAAGTCCTCATAGTCTTTAACAATTTCAACAGCTGAAAAGTCTAAAGCTCACATCTCATCTGAGGTTCAAGGCAACTGCTTAACTGTTAAATTCTATAAAGTCAAAACAAGTTATATACTTACAACATACAATGGCACAGAATAAACATTCTCTTTCCAAACAAGAAATCCCAGAAGTAAGAGCATATGAGGAATGACCACACTAAAGCAACACTAAAATCCACGGTTTAAACACCAAACCTTATAGCTAGCTCCATGCCTGGCATCTGGAGCTCATGATGTGATTTTCTGGGCACCAAAGGATTTAGGTAGCCCCACCTCTCCAGCTCTGCTGCCTGTAACACATATAACCTGTTCTGGGGTTTGTTGTTGTTGTTGTTTGTGTTTGTTTGTTTGTTTATTTGAGTCAGGGTTTCTCTGTGTAACTCAGGCTGTCCACTTGCCTCTCCTTGCATGAGACTAAAAAAACCAGTACTATCTGGACAATGCTGCCAATTTCTGCTGTGGGCTCAAGCTGCAGCCAAGCCTCCTTGGATCAAAGCAGTGTCATCTTCTGTATGCTGACCCTGGGGCACTGACCTAGGGAGTTTCTTTTGAAGAGTCAGGAACCGCTTTAGTTCATTCACCTTCAAATAAATTTGGATCCTGACAAGATAGGTGGGGGATTACCCGGAGACAACTTTCTTACTGCCTCAGTACAGTGCAGGAGGCTTCTCTTCAGTGGTGCTGACCTCCTTAACAGTTGTATTTGTTTTCTCTGAACCACCTTGAATGCTGTGTTGGAATTCCCTCTTCCTAAAAACTTAGTCCATTATCTTAAATTCTCCCTCACTCTAATTCTCGTGGTGTGGGGAGGTTCTTAGTGGAAATATTACACGAAGGACCCCTAATCCTGTGCCTGATAGAGTCCTTGTTCACCTCTGAAATCCATGACCTGAGCTTCCACAGCCCAAAGATGCCAGAATGGTTTGTTAAGCTCTGCCTACAGCGTTGAAAAGCTTTTCTGGCCCAAAGTTTCAAACTCTTCTCCACTTCCTCCACTTGCAAAGGTCCAGTTTATTACAGCACAGCAGTGCTTCTTGACTGTATGAATTCTTTGTCGTTATTTTCTTTCTGCTGTGATATAATATCTTGACAAAAGCAACTTCAGAATTGACTTCGGCTCAGTTTCAGGTCCCTGTCTGCTATGGTGGAAAAAGTCAAAGTGGCAAGAGTTTGAAGCAGCTGGTGTCATCAACCCACAATCAGGAAACAGATCATGAATGCCCTTCTCACCTCACTTTCTTCTTTTTAAACATTTCCAAGACTCCCATGGAATGGTGCCTCCCATGGTCGGTGGGTCTTCCCATCTCAGCCATGATAAACAAGCATGTTCCTCCACAAGCATGCTCATCAAGCTGACAAGTAAGATTAGCCATCACACCTGCATGGTTTCAAGGCTAGCTCACAGCCCAGTAAACCAATATCATCCTGGTGCAGAACTGGGGCGCGTTTCAGTGGAAATGAATGGCCCCAGAGTTATCTGATGGCCTGTGGTCTCAACAAGACCTGGATGTAGGAACTCATTAAGCTAGGGAGATCACTACAGGAAAGCAGGTGTGAGAACTGAGAATTAGACCCCACATTTGAGTCCTCTGCAACTGACATTGCATTCAAGTCAAGCTACCTGAAAGAAAGTGGTAGAAACTGTGGGATTGGTGGATATGTATTTATTTTCTAATTAGATCCCATCTCCTAAATGATTTTAGAGCTACCTCTTTAAGGGGGAGAAATGTACAGTTACATTAAAGGCCCATTAAGGGAAAGCTATTACCTCCCAGCCAAATGATTGGAATCTTTCTGTGTGGAGACATGCCATTAAGAGTTCTAGCCAGCGTGATGGTGCATACCTTTAATCCCAGCTCTTGGGAGGCAGAGACAAGCTGATCTCTAAGTTCAAGGCCAGCATGGACTACAGAGTGAGTTCCAGGGCACCCAGGGCTACACATTTAAACCTTGTCTCAAAATAAAATAAAACAAAACAAAAAGTTAATTCAGTTGTGAAGGTCAGTCACCTGACCAAGGCACAACCACTCAGGAAGGCAGGTTCACCTAAAGCCATGCTGAAGAGATGGGAGATGTCTTAGTTACTTTTCTATTGCCATGAAACCATATGAACAAGGCAACTTATAAAAGAAAGCATTTAACTGCAGTCTTACTTAAAATTTCAGAGGGTGAGTCCATGACCCACATGGTGAGGAACAAGGCAGTAAGCAGGAAGGCACGGGGTTAGAACAGCAGCTGAAAGCTCACATCAGACCACAAGGCAGAGAGAGCTAAGTGGAATGGTGTTGCTTTTGAAACCTCAAAGTCCACCCCCAGTGACACACCTCTTCCAACAAATCCTTACCAAGCAGTTCCACCAACTGGAGAGCAGGCATTCAAACATAAGAGACCATGAGGTCTATTCTCATTCAAACCACCACAGGAGGAACCATTGTCCCTTTACTGAAGTAATGTACTTTTCTTTCTCAGAATATTAGACATCTTCCACGTGCTTACATGTCTCAGTAGTAGCGATGTGGGTGTGGGTTCACTTGGATCTGTTAAAAGAAGATTCAGAGACATTTTTAAGAATGAATTTAGCCTTTCTCAGCTGCAGGCAGGGGTCCCCAGCCTCAAAGGACTGAAGCTCTTTCCATACACCCAGGGCATTTTTACTTTTCTTAATATTTAATATTTACACTTTAGCCAGTTGATTACCATATGTTCAGAACAACTTGAATGAGGCCTCAAAAGCAAAACAAAACAAAAGCAACGCCAAGTGCAGAGTCTGGATTCATCAGGTACCACAGTTTTCTGGGTTTCCTGGGTTTTGCATAGGCTTTTGTATCCTTGGGGAACTCTCAGAAAAGGTTCACACAGGGAAACAAAAAGTATCTGCTCAACAAAGGTGCCAGCTAGCGTTCTGTAGCTAGGCCAGGTGTGGCCTAGGGTTGAGGGGTTGGGGAATTGGGGGATTGGGGAGTTGGAGGGGCTAGTGCTAGTTAATAACTCTCTTAATGCCAGGCCAGCAGGGTTCTACTACACTTACATACCACAGCCATGCAGTTTTGTGGCCTGCCTGGTGTTCTCAGTCACTCAGAGAGGCATTAACCACTTTTTCTACCTCTTTTCTAAGCAAGCATGCTTTCCCCAATACTTTGAATGTCCTCAATTTGGCTCTAAAGCCCCAACAACCCCACTTTTGCCCTGTGGCTGCTTCCTGTGATGTTGCTGCCTGCTTGCCTAACTTCCATGCCTAACTCAAAAGGTCATAGCTTTCTGTCTTTGTCCTCTCCATCTTTCTCCTCTGGGCAGCTTCAGATATTTATGGTCTGCCTGTACTGAGGTTTTTCTTTCAAATGCTAATAAAATTGTTTGGAGCTTTGAAAAGAAAAATAAAAACTTAAAGTGAAGTGTTCTGCTCACATACTGTGGATCTGCAGGAACAGAACAGACCTCAAGAGGAGCCTGGAGGGGTCAAGGGAACTGCTGAACACAGGGGCTGCTCAGCCCTCCCATACACAACACCAAATGGAATCTACAAGAACCAGAGGAATCTGAGAAGTACATCTCTTGACTCAGTGCTAATGTGCCAGCACCTCATTTCCTAAGTATGCTTTTTATTGCTTACTGTCCAATATTTAATCTTCACTCTTGCATATATATATATGTCATGTTGGTTTCCCTTTTTTCTTTTCTTTTCTTTTTCTTTTTTTCTTTTTTCTTTTTTTTTTGGTTTTCGTTTGATTGTTTTGTTTTTTGAGACAGGGTTTCTCTGTGTAGCTTTGGAGGCTGTCATGGAACTCAGGATGGCCTTGAATTCACAGAGATCTGACTGCCTCTGCCTCCAAATTAAAGGCGTGAGCCACCAACGCCCGGATATAATGTTTTTTCTTTAGTTTGTATGTTGCTCAGTTAGATTTTAAGATTGTTCTGTATGTTTCTCCATCTGGTCTTCTAAGGCATTCTTTACTAAAACTTTTTCCCCTGACAGGGTCTCTTCACATAGCCCTGGCTGTCCTGGAACTTGCTATGTTGACCAGGTTGGCCTCAAACTCAAACCATCTGCCTGCCTCTGCCTCCTGAGTGCTTTTTACTATACTTTTCATCCATATCTCATATACTTTTTTATTTCTATGTCTTTCACCTTCCAGGCTTTTCCTTTCATTGTTTTTACTTTTTAGTTGTAATTTTCTATAGGCTTAACAGTTCTTAGAATCTGTGGACTCTAACAGTATCCCAACACCCCCCCCATACCTTACTTCCTCAATTTTTTTTCTTTTTCAAAAATCTATACTCCATTTTTAAATTGGATTATTTGGTATTTTGATATTTAGTTTCTTTTTGTTCCGTTTTCTGGGATTAAAGGAGTGTGCCACCACCACCACGACTCCTGTCTAGTTTCTTGTGTTCTTTATGTACTTTGGAGATCAGCCCTCTGTCAGATGTAGGGTTGATGAAGTTTTTTTCCCATTCTGTTGGCTGCTATTTTGTCTTGTTGACCTGACCGTATCCTTTTCTTTTCAAAAGTTTTTCAGTTTCAGGAGATCCCATTTATTGTCGAT